CTAACATTTGTAGTAAATTTCTACGAATATGAGAGAATGACATTTTGATTTTTGAAATAGGCCTAGTACAAATATCGCTTTTAGGAACCAAGATTCATTTTTATAATCTTTTTATAAAAATTAACTCATTTATAAAATCACGATTAAAATAATTCACAATGAATAAAATGTGTTTTTTTATTATTGTGTGAACTTTTTTCTTAAGAAATAAAACTGCAAATAATACACCCATACATTGCGGATTCATTCGTGTGGAGGTGTCACGTCATCTTCACATAAAATGTCACTTTTAAAGGCATGTGTTTGTTTTGAATTGACTTTTTTTGTGTTATCGATATTTTCGGATATTACCGAATCGAAGATGGTGAATAAGACAATGACCTGCCAAAAGGCGTGGATTTCCAATTCTAGATTAAACCCTAAATGGTTAATTGGCATTTTCTTTTTAAACGCAACAAATATGGGGAAATCGTGCAAAAATATTAAATGACAACGTAGCGTGACAGGTGAATGACCTGATGACTAACTAATATAAAAATAAAAAAAAACAAAATCAAGATAAAATTAAACAAAATATAAAAAATATAATTATTGCGTGCATAAAATGGGCATGTAAAGTAAGTCATCAATTAAGATAGCAATTATCTTTGTTTTATAAAAAGTCGGTTATTTAAAATAGTTTAAAATTACTAAAAATGTATTTGATGGTGTGGAAGTTATTGCGACAGTAGTGATGTTATTTTTATCAATAGAATTTTTTTAATCACAGTAATAGACCCTATTTGTTGTTTGGATCCATCACTTTTGTTACATGGTACACCATTTAGTCATCTAAATCTAAAACATCTAAAACGGATGGAAATATATATGGAAACTATATTTAAACCTGAACCGATTTCAGAAAATTCCAATCCAATACTCTCTGCAATATTTAATGTAAAGCGAACAAACATAAGCTTCTAGATGCACCATTTACATGAAATTGGGCGAAAATATATATGGGTGCTATATCTAAATCTGAACCAATTTTAACAAAACTGCACGGACATCAAACTGGACTTAATTCAGTATGCTGTACAAAATAGTGTCTAAATCGGACAAATATTGGGAGTATGGTGCACAATTTAAATAAAATCGGACGAATCTATATATGGATATCAAAATCTGAACCGATTTCAACAAAACTTCGCATACGTTTAACTGGACCTCAATACGTTGCGCAATATTGTGTCAATCGGACAAACCTTAGGAGTTTGGGCACCATTTACCCAAAAATCGGACGAAACTATATATGAGACCTATATCTTTATTTCATCCGATTTCATTGAAACTTAACACACTCTATTCTAGCCTCAATTCCATATATTATGCCAAATTTCGTCTCAAAAGGACAAACAATGGGAGTTTGATGCACCATTTACATAAAATCGGACGAAGCTATATATGGGAGCTATATCTAAATCTGAACCGATTTCAACAAAACTTCACTGACATCAAATTGGACCCAATTAAATACGCTGTTCAAAATTTTGTCTTAATCAGACAAATATTGGGTGTTTCGTGCACCATTTAAAAAAAAATATGGGAGCTATATCTAAATCTGAACCGATTTTCTCGAAAAAATGAGCTATGCCAAATTTCATACAATTAAGTCCATAAATACGACCTGCTCATAAGAATACATGGACGGACAGACGAACATGCATAAATCGACTCAGTGACTCTATAGGCTGTGAACGGCTTCTGACTATAGATCATCTGTGGAATGTCTTCCGTAAAATATTTTATGTCTATAAAAGGTATTTATGAGGCCTATGCCCTACAGGAGACCACTAAAAGTGAACCTGTAGTCTTCTGTCTATAGAAGATCTAAATTCTTTCTATAGAGGTCTGGTAGGATACATTCTGTCTGTAAAAAATGCATGGACTCTCGAATCTGGCTCGGAAAGGTGGGCTGTTCCTATATAATAATAGTTGGAAAGTTGAATGGGCTATTTAGCTATTTATATTAATGTGAAAATTTCTAGGCCTACTACACATATTCCGCGCCTATGGGGCCACAAATTGTTGCTTGGCGTCATCTAACGTTTCCATTGGAATGTTTGACTATTTTGGCAAAAGAGGTACTGGACGTATGACAATGTGTTGGCACCCTTGGGCATTTCTTCCACCAACATACATTCGATATTGCAAGGATAACCGGTACTAAAAATTATTTCTTCTGTTTGGATTCCGAACATTTATACAAAAACTCAAAAAGGGCTCGTATCGATTGGTGCAAAGAAATTTTAAAAATTCTAGACAACTGTGCTTTAGAAGGCGTTTGTTAAATCGTCACATGTAATTTATTCTTGATCTATGCGTATGAGCTCGAAATAAAAGAATACCTTTTGGGGCTTCAAAGTGAGCCCAATCAGTCGAAAGTTGTTCGTGGAGAAAACACTTCGAAATTCTTCTCTTTTCTTCAGCATTTCTGGCCATTTGGCGACTTTTCCACTTGAAGTCAATTCTAAGGGGTACACCAAAATTAATTTGGCAGAAGTCTTCGGGGTAATTTGAAAAACGAACAAGAGGAGACTAATCATTGTGCACCATTAAAGGGGGAGTTCTCACACATCACTTCAAATCAACTAACGTTTTACCGCCCAAAAGTCGAATTTATGAGTCATAGTCCATACAACCCTTACTTGGCACCCAATTACTTCATTTTATTCCCACATATGAAGGAAAATTGAATGGTCAACGATTTTCTTCGTTGGCAGAAGCGTTGCAAACTATGTTTTGGAGGTGCATCTATTGGAGCGGAAAAGGTGTTGCGATAATTTGTGTTGCCGACACATAAATACTCTCAGATTGTGAGGTCGACATTTGTGAGGGTGGTACCAGAACAATATAGTAGATATTTGCACTGCATTTATAAATATTTGCAAAATTTAGACCTTCGTGAGGGGGGTAAAATATTTCGATACGAAAAGTTTGAAGCAAATCTCATGCTTTATTAGCTTCATATTATATGGGTGATGTTCCAGGTGATGTTCCAAAAGATTTCGTTCTATGGGTCTAATTATCTAACACAATCCGAATACACTGTTCTCTGCATATTAGATTGTTGAAAATGTTGATCCTTTGTTAGTAATGTACCAGAATGAGTAGACCGATGGGACCACCTTCAAACATCGTAGTTAAAATATTAAATTGTTTAAAGTTTAGATATCATAAATTTATTATTCAACAAAATTTTTAAGCTATTATGCTCAAACGCCCTGAAAACAGACACATACACTTTCTAAAACAGATATTTCGATGAAGCATATTGTTTGTACCTCATTAGCATTAAAACTGAGGGTATAATAAATATATATTCAGGTCCAGATTTTAACATAGCCCCCATATAAACGCCCCGCCCTTTTTTAGACCTTTGCACCATTTTATAAGCATAACTTAAAGTCTTCTGTCTGTACTATGGAAATCGTGTGTCTTTAAAAGACCTGCATAGGGTCTTCCCTCAACAAAATACATGTGGAACGTTTTCAGTCTAGGGCAAATTAGCATTTCACATTTTGTCTCCCTAAGCTTCTGCGAATTCTGTGTTTTTAGTGAAGTATTTCAGTCTTTTCCATTCCCACCCCCTTAGGTCGGGTAATATTGAGTTCAAAAGCTTGCAAAGGCTGGGTAGTGGCATAGAAAGTTTTCCAAAACGTTTACAGTCTTCTCCACACGTCCTAAATCTGCTACTTCCCTCGCACCCAATCTTGTGTAAATGACCCTGCCGACTAAGATTTCCTGTGAAAACATCACTCAGTCTGCTTTTTTGCAAAGCGAATTCGGAGTTCTTAGTGAAATCTTTCAGTCTTTTCCATTCCAAACGGTTTTGGTCGTTTGCATTGGGTTAAAAGGTTTGGTAGTGACATAGAAAGTGCTCCAACGTTTCGCTGTCTTCCCCACATGCTCTACAACCTCGCACCTAATTTTGTATAAATGTGCCTGCAGGCTGAGATGTCCTGTGAGATGTACCAGACAGCCTGCAGATTTCCTTTTGATTAGCTTTATAATTTCCTTAGTCTTATATTCATTTGGGTTTTACCATAAAGTCCTCACGATATTCTAAAGGGTCCCTTTCGCCCATGACCTCATTTCTAGACGTGTAACGAATAATGAAATACATAGAGAAAAACATTTTTATCATATATCCATATTTTGAAGTAAATGTATCGGTCCCAGCTGCATTTCCGTTTTTCAAATGCAGTCGAGAGCCTCCTGACAAAATTAAACCTTTAAGAGCGGTTCTAAAGCAACAATCACTTCTTAAAAAATAATCCACACTTCCTCAACCTGATCATATTCCAAAAGAAATTATTCTAAGATCCACTAATGACAGATTTTCAAAATTCAAAAATATTCACTAACAAACCAGATCCTAACCGAAATAATAAGCCATACAAAAACCTTTAATCCCCGATTGTATGTTTTTTATAACTTAACCGTGATGTGTTGAAAAGTTGAGTTCATCATTCCAAGCTGTTACTCCCGCGCTTGGAATTTTTAATTACGGCAAAGAGTATTCCCCCGACCGACGTTGGTATTGGTAGGCTGGCTGCCTTACTGGCTGTGGAAGTCTGTTAATGTCAATGATCATCATCGTCATCATTACCATGATTATCGTGGTGATTAAGTCGTGGAGAGGTAACAAACAACAACCACAAAAATGTATTTACCTTTACCTGAAAATTAAATTTGTTTATTCGACACGTTTAAAGCACTCGGTAATTGACGGACGGACAGACAAACTGCGTCGCATACGACGATGACAATGATGCAATTTTTGGCTGTATAATACGTTCCTATAGTTTTTTTCTGTAAACCATATTTATCGTTGTTGTTGTTAAAAATTATTCACTTTCCTGTATTTCCTTTGTCACATTTTTTAAATAATAATAACAATTTATTATAATTCATTTCTCTTTATTTTCTCGTTTCTTTGCAGTTTCTCCTTTCATTAACAATATCAACATCTCACGGAGTACATCATGACCTTCTATTGGTGGTCCCATTGGTTCTGGATAACATTAAGTTGTAGTGAGTATTCCTTGAAAATAAGTTATTTAAATATAAAATTGAAGAAGTAAAGTCGTCAGTTCGGACGAGACCCCTTTTATCATGAGGTAGTCATTCAAAATACCTAAAATCGATCGGGTCTTTTAAAGCATTGGGGACTACGGCATGATACATTTCTATCAATCACATCGCAATGCTGAAATGAGGTCTCTTCGCTTTTAAAATACGCCAATGATCATGAAATAGCGCTGGACCTTTATTTGGAGACTATACCCAAATATCGACCGATCTTTATAATTTTTAAGGCAAATTTACTACCCTATGAGAACTAATAATATTAAATCAGAATCAAATAGTTAGAAAAAACATGTCTGAAATCTGTTAAAAAATAAAAATTAGGTGTGGACTGATAAGTCCCATATTTGGTTTCACAAAAACATTACGATTTATCGGCTTAAATCGGAAATTTTCAAAAAAGTTGGGATCGAATCGGAAAATCGATTCGTTTGATATTGGATTTATAAGATTTTGACAATTTTCGAGGAGGTACCAGAAAGAGTTGATCGAACCCATTTTCAGACTTCATCTAGGTCTGGTAAATGTATTACAACGGGCTATTGGATTTACAATTTAAAAAAAAATGTTGACACTTTGTAGAGGGTGTACCAGAACGGGTGGGCCGATTAATGTTTAGCAAAAATATTATTTCCTCCATATAAGACATACAAATTCTCAAAATTTTGAACATTTAGAAGGGGATAATTTGCCAGACTCAAACAAGGTTTCGAGAGGCTAAAATCCCACTCCAAATGAAATGCATCCGAAAGGTACCTAACATTGTAATAAAAAACCTTGACATCATATATGAGGACAATGAGAAATGACAGAAGGTAGCGACATCCAGAGAAAATGGCTGCACTTATTAAGCAAGGATCACAACTACAGCAAAAATTCAAGGATCCAGGGTTCGAATACTAGTGGTGGAAAAAAATTAATTAATTGTAAAAATATACCTACATCCCACTCCAGCTTAAATGCGCCCGAAAGAACCCTAACATCCTAATAAACAACCTCAGCATCAACACAGATGGATAACACGAATATAGCGCCACCCATAGAAAAATAACAATACTAAAATAGCAAAGACCTCAACCACTGCGCACAATTCAATGCAGGTATTTATTCTATGAAAAGATAGATGACATCCCTATCGCGTAGGACAAGCTACATCAGAACAATTAACAACTTAGCTCGAATAAAAACAACGATTAACGAAACTGGCACAAGGACTAATCGAATAAGATATATCGATATATTGGGCAAGCCCTATGGTCCCAAGAGGAGTAACAGGAAAAAATAAACCAGATAATAGATGAAGTGAACCGATTATTATATAAACCACTGCCATTTGATTTAAGTACGGTAAAAATATAATGTTCAAAGTTTCGAGTTGGTGAAGCGAAGTGGAATGTGTGCCGGACTACCAAACGAAAGGGTACAAATCCCAACGAAGGAAGGGAAAATTCCTAAAAAAATTGAATATTTTTAAAAAGAGTCTTATATGCGACTTCAGATGAAATGCATCCGAAAGGACCCTGACATTCTTATAATCAACCTTGGCATAAACACAGTAGGACAACACAAAAATAAATATGACAGGATATAATGCCATCCAGTGAATAATGGCAACACTAAATTTAGCAAGAATACCAAACTCTACCAAAAATCAAGATGGTGTTGATTCCAGGTAACAATAGATGTCAGCCTCATAACCTTGGACAAGCTACAGCAGAATAATCATCTACTTAGCTGTAATAAAAACAATAATTAGCGAAACTAACTCTAGCGTCAATAGAGTAAGATAGCGATACTTTGCGGAAGCCTTATGGTCGCAACTGGAAAGAATGAACACGGAACGAGAAGGAGTGAGCCGATAACCTCAGTTTTAATAGTATGCCAAACCAAAATAAATTGAGTTTTCGAATATGAAAAGTGGCATACATCCTACTCCATATGAAATTTATTCGAAGCCTTCCTGACATTCTCATAATCTTCAGGAATATAACAACAAAATAAAAACGACAAAATATAGCGCCAACCCTGCACCAAATTCGAGGGAGTGTTGTTTCTAGGCAACGATAGATGGCAGCCCCAACACCTGATCAGAAGATCAGTCCTCTAACTACCTGGTATAAAAACAATGATCAGCGAAGGTAGCATATGGAATATTCGAGTAAAATTACGATGCTTTGTGCAATCCCTGTGCTCCCAAAAGGAGTAACTTGAAAATATGAAGTAGGTACTATGAGGCGTTGATCCGATCTGTCCCATCTTTAAACATTATAAAGGCTTGGTTAAAAACCCATATTGTGGGAGAGGAGCCGTGGACCGACATTCCCAATCTTCGAACTTTTAAGTTCGGTTACTTGCTTAAATAGTTATACTGTCTTAGAAAATTATTGTGGATACCAGCCAAGCAGACGGATTTGGTCCCAAGAAACATATGGTATAAAACCCATAATTCGATGAGGGTTAAATAAAGGGGATACAAATATCTACTGTGGAAATGTTTATGTGTATTGACACCAGCAGAAGCCCTTCTGTCTATAAAGTACATGAAAAAGTTCTTCTATAAAGGCACTATAAGAGATCTTCTGGTTATACAAGATCTATAAAATAGAGCCTTTAGTAGAGTATCCGTAGAATTTATTCTCCATATAGAAGATCTATAGAATATATTCTGAAGTTCTGTGGCAATTCATCTGAGTATTGGATACCAGTCTACGGAAGACCTGTAGAAAGTCTTCCGACTATAGTAGACCTGTAGACGTTGTTCCATCTACAGATGACTTTTACAAGATCTCCTGTCAATAGAAAACCTGCAGAAAGACTTTTGCCTATATAAGCTATTCTGCTTTTAAAATACCTGTAAAAAATCATGTCTGCAAAGGACCATTACAATAGATTCTGTCTCAATAATGTCCTTAGAAAACCTAATTATGGGTGTATACCAATTGAAAACTTTTAAAAGGCTTTCAGTCTCTAAAGGGCCGGTCGAAGTTTTTCTGTATATAAAAGACCTGTAGACGGACTTCTGTCAATAGAATACTTATAGAAGTTCTTTTTTCATAGAGAAACTGCAGAATGTCTACGGTATATAGCAGACCTGTTGATTATTTTCTGTCTACAAAAGACCTGCAAGAGGTCTATAGAATACAAACCTTCTGACTGTAGAAGACCTGTAAAAGTCTGAAGAGCTTCGAAGAGAAAGTTTACGGTCTTAAGAAGACCTGTAAAGACCTTCCATTTATAGCAAAACTACTGAAGGTAATTTCCTAATATATCTTCGACTACAGATCTATGCAAGGTCTGACCATAGAAGACCTGTAGAAGATGTTCTTCCATATAACACTTTTGATCTACCCATTGAATGTCTTCCGTTTATTTTGTAAAATAAATGAAAAAATCAACAGACAATATAAAGTCTGTGGAGGGTCTGCTGACTAAAACCTCTACTAGGTCTTCTGTCTATAGGTCTTCTGTCTTGTAGAAGGTCTCGTTCCTATAGAAGATCTTGCGCTCGAACTTTGGAAGGTGTCTATAGACGACGATTAGCCTGCAGAAGACCTGCATAGGACCTTACGGTCTATAGAAGAGTTATAGGAAGTCTTTATAGAACACCTGTGGAAGTGCTTATGTATTTAGATCTGAAAAAGGTTTTCTAACTACAGAAGACAGCTGGTCTTCTGTTCATAGGAGACTTGTTTATAGAAGACCTTTAAAAGGTATGTTCTCTATAGAAAACCCCTTGGAAGTATTTAATGAAGAAGATCTGTGCATGTTTTTGCCCATTCATGATATACACAGATTACTTTTTATAGGAGGGTTGTAGAACATCTATAGAAGATCGACAAGCTGGTATTCTACAGAAGGTATTTTTTTCTCGGTGTATTTTGTTGGTATACAAGATCTCTTTTATAGATTTAATTCTTCACCAGTGATTTTATATTAATTCATCTTTCACTCTCTCTCTCCTCCTTCCAGATCTCTTGATGTCCCACATTATGATTGTACACGCATATCCAAGTTTGGATAGTTCACTGGAACGTAATCGACATGAACAGGAAAAGAAAATGGTGACAAAGTTGTATCAGGCCTCGACAACACTGACATGGTTCGGTGATGCCTCCACAGTAGCCTCAGCGGCTAGGGCGGCAACCACCACATATGGTGGCGACGAAAAGACCCGATTACAAAGTGTTAGTGCCACAACGCAACAACCGATGTCAAATACCACACCTCTAACACCCGAAACGGAAATGTCAAACTTGAAAAATAATAACAAAAAACTTGCCGATGGTTTTGAAGATTATTATTACTATGATGATGAAGATGATAATAATGCCGATACGGATATTTCAGATAAAGTGAAACCTCTGCATCTGGAAGATGTAGAGGTGGAGGAGGAGGAACAAGAAACAAACCAGCAAAATGATGGAAAACAAAATGAAATGAAAAGATCGGCAGAGGATATGAGCAACATGAATACAGCTACCCTGTCGACAACCATGACCAGTACACCCACAACCAATGTGAACGGCGGCAACAACAGCTCATCTCATTCCAGTGGTGTGCGTAATCATAATAATTACACAAATTTTACAGAACCATTCCATGCCAGTGATGGTTCCAACAACACAATGTCACAAACGGAAGACTTCAATAATCCCTCCTCAGATAGTCGGCTAAAGGCCAACATAATGATGGCCTCAGCCTCAATTTTGGCCACCTCGGTTAATTCTTTATCGGCCCTCATTGCCAATAATGTTACACAACTGCCGCCGGGGACACCAAAAATCACAAGGCCATCATCACCACCAGGCGATTGGCTGCGAAGTATGGATGCTGCTGTTGCGGCCGTTTCACCGCCACCCTTAAGTGTAACAGCCACCGGCACCACCACCGAAGTTACCGATGACAAATTCCCATTCACTTTGGAAAATGTTCACAAATCTGAAGATTTGCGTCGCGATGAAAACGAACCACGACGCAGACAATCGAAGGGCCTATCGGCTGATTATAAACCGCCCGGTTATATCAATTATTCGCCGGAATCGAAAAATTTGCTGACACGTTCGGCCTCGACGACTGTCAATGATTATGACAGCGAAGAGAGTAATATATCGTCGGAAGCGTTGTCTGTACAGGTGAGTGATTCTTTTTTTTTTTTTTTTTTGAGAGAGGGGAGGGGATTTAACTGAAGGCAAATTGTAGTACTTCAATGAGCAGAAGTTCTCAAGACCTTGAAAGACAATAATAAATTCTCAAGACTTCTAAAGAAATAAGAATTTGTCAAGACTTCTACACAAAGTAGATCTTCTGCAGGCCTTCTTCTGCAGGAATTCTTCAATATATAGAACACCTTCTACGAGCCACCCATAACAGGAGGCCTTCAACAGATCTTCTGTAACCAGCAGAACAAGATCTTCAGTAAGTCTTCCGAATACAGTTAAATTTTGCATGACTTTTATAGAAGGAGAACCTTTTATAGGTCGCCTATTGTCAGAATATCAGGCCTTCCACAGACAGTAGGTTTTCTTATAGCTTCTTCTTTAATAGACAGCAGATTATCCCCAGGTCCTTATATCTTCGGCATGTCTTCTAAATACAGATGTGCTTTTGTAGGTTTTCGATGGGTTAAAGGATTTCTTTACTTAGGGGACCTTCTACAGATTTTCAATTGGCAGAAGACCTTCTACAGGTCTTCTATAGCCAGATGTCCCTCAAAAGATCTTCTACAGTCAGAAGACCTTCTACAGGTCTTCTATAGCCAGAAGTCCCTCAAAAGGTCTTCTATAGCTAGAAGACGTTCTACGTGTGTTTTATAGCCAAAAGATTATCTACAGGATTACTTTAGCCAGAAGACCTTCTACAAGTCTCATATTTTCCGCAGACCTTCTACAGGTCTTCTTTAGACAATACCTTCCACATATCCTTTTATAGGCAGAAGACCTTCTGCAGGTCTTCTATAGTCAAAAGACCTTCTATAGGTCTTCTATAGTCAGGAGACCTTCTACAGGTCTTCTATAGTCAGGAAACCTTCTACAGCTCTTCTATAGCCAGAAGATCTTATACAGGTATTCTATAGCCAGAAGACATTCTACAGGTCTTCTATAGCCAAAAGACCTCTTCAGGTCTTCTATATCCAGAGGGCCTTCTACAGGTCTTCTATAGTCAGAGGGTCTTCTACAGGTATTTTATAGCCAGAAGACATTCTACAGGTCCTCTATAATCAGAAAATCTTCTACACGTCTTCCATAGGCAGAAGACCTTCTACAGGTTTTCTATAGTTAGAAGTCCTTCTACAGGTATTTTATAGAAAAAAGTTCTCTTAAGGTCTCCTATACTCAGGTCTTCTATAGTCAGAGGGTCTTCTACAGGTATTTTATTGCCAGAAGACCTTCTCCAGGTCCTCTATAATCAGAAAATCTTCTACACGTCTTCCATAGGCAGAAGACCTTCTACAGTTCTTCTATAGTCAGAAGTCCTTCTACAGGTATTTTATAGAAAAAAGTTCTTCTAAAGGTCTCCTATACTCAGAAGACGTTCCACATGCGTCTTATAGGTAGAAGACCTTCTACAGGTCTTCTATAGCCAAAAGATCTTCTAGATGTTTATTTATAGTCAGAAGATATTCCCTTATATTTTCGTCATCCATAGGCAGAAGACCTTCTATAGGTCTTCTATAGTCAAAATACCTTCTACAGGCCTTCTATAGTCAGAAGACCTTCTATAGGTCTTCTATAGTAAGAAGACCTTCTGCATGTCTTCTATAGTCAGAAGACCTTCATCAGGTTTAAAAGACCTTCTACAAGTCTACAATTGACTAGAGACTATGGTCTACCGGTCTTCTATAACCAGAAAACCTTCTAAATGTCATTTTATAGTCAGAAGATCTTCTACAGGTCTTCCATAGGCAGAAGACCATCCACAGGTCTTCTATAGTCAGAAGACCTTCTATATGTCTTCTATAGTAAGAAGACCTTCTACAGGTCTTCTATAGTCAGAAGACCTTCAGCAGGTGTAAAAGACCTTCTACAAGTCTCCAATTGACTAGAGACTATGGTCAACAGACCTGTCCTTGAACAGGACTTTTATAGGAAAAAGGTCTTCCAGTGGCAGAAAGCCCTCTACACCAGATTGTAGACGAAGTCCTATAATCAGGAAAACTTCTTGATACCATGGTATTGATCTCCTATTGACTGAGGACCTTGTACAAGCTTCCTATAAGCAGCAGAACCTCTAGAGGCAATATATATAGGTTCATAATAGCCACATAAGCCCTTCTACAAATCTTCCGGAGCTCTTCCCGCCAATAAACATTTCCGCCTTAAAGAATATCCCTTAAAATATGTTTCAAAACTTTCTTACTTTTTTTCAGCGCGCCTATTTCATGGATGTCGGTGCAATATCAGCAATCTGTTTTACAGTATTCGGTATTTGCTGTACAGTGGGTACCATAGGTATGGTTTTATATCGTCGTCGATTCTTAAATAAGCCACAGGCATTAAGTGAGCCGGACTCCAGTGTTTATATCGACGATAGCACGATGCGTGTTAGTGTGAGTATCCAAAAAAATCTATTTTTGAAAATAAAAATTTCACACCTCACCCATCTCTCTCTCTTTCTTCTACTTGCAGGATAATTCAGATGAAATGTATAGCTTGGATAATGATTCGTTTTTGAATTCATTGGAGGCCATGACAATACAAAACTATTGGACCGATACTGTTAAACATACAAAGCTTTAATTACTAATATCCCCCTAACCTATAACAAATTTCCACCCCCCCCCCCCCCCAAATTGTTTCCTTAGATTTTTAGAATTAATTTTACGTTTCCTTTTTGTAAAACTTAGTATATTTTTACTAGGTTTTCTCTTTAACTTTGAAAAAAAAAATTATTATTATTATTATTATTAAAAAAACTATAGTTTAGGATACTTACTTAATGTATGTAGTGATACTAATACAATAAATACTTACACTTAACACACATCTACACTTACACAATAAAAATACACACGCATACACAAAAATACAATTAACACAAAACAAAACAAAAAAACATAATCATAGTTGAAATATTTCTTATTAATTTATTTCTTATTAAAAAAAATGATACAAACACAAAAAGAAACAAATTGTTTAAATAAGAAAAAGTTATTTTTTAAATTATAAGTTACAAAAATGAAATTAAACCATTCCTTCCACACAAACACAAAACATTTTGAAAGGCATTATGAAATAAAGAGAAATTTAAAAATTAAAAAAAATAATAATAAATTATTATTAATAAGGATTTAAGAAATCATTGTATGAGAACAAATACAACAACAAAGAAACAAGTTATTAATTAATAAAGAAATCGATAAAAAGAAACAAGAATGAACAAATCACAAATTTTAAAACTTTTGAATGTCGTGTAGACATCGACCCTAAAAAAAGGAAAAATAAAAACATAAATAGAAAACTGTCGTTAAGTTGGGCATGGACAAACTTTTTATTCCCTCCACCATGAGTTGAACATTTAAAATACATGTAATCGTTCAGGACCTATTACCAAAAGACCTTCTACAGGTCCCCTATAATCAGAAAATCTTCTACAGGTCTTCTATAGTCAGAAGTCCTTCTACAGGTATTTTATAGAAAAAAGTTCTTCTAAAGGTCTCCTATACTCAGAAGACGTTCCACATGCGTCTTATAGATAGAAGACCTTCTACAGGTCTTCTATAGCCAAAAGATCTTCTAGATGTTTATTTATAGTCAGAAGATATTCCCTTATATTTTCGTCATCCATAGGCAGAAGACCTTCTATAGGTCTTCTATAGTCAGAAGACCTTCTATAGGTCTTCTATAGTCAGAAGACCTTCTACAGGTCTTCTATAGTCAGAAGACCTTCGGATTATTCCCTGGTAAATTTTTGGTAGTAAGCTTTGAATCCCAATGAGAATTAAATTACAGCCAATTCGTTTAGAAAACTTGCCCAAACTATCCATAACCGAATAATTGGCCCTCTCCTAAAAAGTGGACCAAGAAATAAATAAATAAAATAAAAATAAAAAAATAAAAAAAAGATAATTTTTGGTAATTTCTCTTTCGTGATGTTGAGTTGCAATGAAAAGGAAGGCCAGAGATATACTACATTTCCACCACTATGCGACGCGTTTCGCCGTTGGTTAAGCCGCTCATCAGGCATATTGGGCAATGTGACTTACAAATGTCTTGATAAGTTGTATTTATGTCGACTATTGTTGCGAAATTGCATCTACGAATTAAATTCAACCGTGCCAAGGTTCGGACATTTGGCATTACACCAGAATATTCCTTTTCAGAGCAGATTTTTCTTGTAGTGACGGACTTTTTTTCCATATGGACTACAATATTTTTCTTCAATGGTATGCAACTGCATATTGTGCAACCTTAGGAAAATAAGCAGGTGGCTTTAACCGCTAAGGCACCGGACATCAACAGATGCCATGGGAACCAGGGTTCAAATCAGGGCACAAGCTGATTTTTTTTTAATTTTGTTTTTATGCCTTTTTAGGGCGAAGGATCATTTATGTAAATGTTTTTTGGTAATTTCTTTTTCGTGATGAGCTACATGATCGGAGTTGCAATGAAAAGGAAAGCCAGAGATATACTAAATTTCCACCACTATGCGACGCGTTTCGCCGTTGGTTAAGCCGCTCATCAGGCATATTGGGCAATGTGGCTTACAAATGTCTTTACTTGATAAGTTGTATTTATATCGGCTATTGTTGCGAAAATGCATCTACGAATTAAATTCAACCGTGCCATGGTTCGGACATTTGGCATCACACCAGAATATTCCTTTTCAGAGCAGATTTTTCTTGTAGTGACGGACTTTTTTTTCATATGGACTACAAAATTTTTCTTCAATGGCATGCAACCGCATATTGTGCAACCTTAGGGAAATAAGCAGGTGGCTTTAACCCCTTAGGCACCGGACATCAACAGATGCCATGGGAACCAGGGTTCAAATCAAATCATGCGACGCGTTTCGCCGTTGGTTAAGCCGCTCATCAGGCATATTGGGCAATGTGGCTTACAAATGTCTTTACTTGATAAGTTGTATTTATGTCGACTATTGTTGCGAAATTGCATCTACGAATTAAATTCAACCGTGCCAAGGTTCGGACATTTGGCATCACACCAGAATATTCCTTTTCAGAGCAGATTTTTCTTGTAGTGACGGTCGTTTTTTCCATACAGACTACAATTTTTTTTTTTTTTTTCTTTGAAAAATCTACTCAAATTCCATAAAATAGTGAAGTGAGAGGAACGGATACAGTGGGCACCAACGTGTGCAGAATTTTATTTCGCGAGCCCGGTGGTTCAATATGAAGATTTTCATGCATAAACTCTCAAAATATCAAATTACAGACAATTTAATTGAAAGACGTGTCAAAAATCCCGAAACGAATGCACTAAGACGTGGACCGTTATATCCTATTTTGAATTCCTAACATACTAGAGTTCCGTTCCAGAACCCAAAAGAATCTACTAATTTTACAAGTTTTGCAACTTTTTACTCGAAACCCGTTCCTGAACCCACAAAACTGCTAAAACATTGAATCAAATTTAAGAGAGCACAAAACAAAATGGCGATCTCTTTGTGAACTTTTTACTCGAGAAATTTGGTCGAGTAAAAATGGTAAACAGGAATGATTGGCTGTTATGTTGATTTTGAAGTATTGCCATCTAATTTTAGCATATTTACCAGATTTGCGTTCCCCAACTTTTCAAATTATTTTCTACTCTGAGAGCGATTTTGAAAAGTTTCCCTTTTACTAGCTTTATTATTAAAAAAGTACTGGAACAGACCATAGGAGGTATAATAATGTATGTGCAAAATTTCCAACTCGAGCTCTATAGTCATTTCAATAGACAGGCGGACGGACAGGCACACATCGACATAGAATTTTATTCTGATCAAGAATATATATATATTCCTTATGGGATCTCCGGCGAATATTTGGAGGTGTAGTAAACGGAATGGCAAATTTTATATACACTCCTCCTTATACTGGAGGGTATTAAAATGTGAACGTAGAGGTTAGGGTTTAACCATGACAAATTTTTGGCAAAACTGTAAATGAAGCCGTTACCTCTTTATCCTCAGATAGTCACCGGTTCTTCGTCACTATTACATAATTTCTTGACTAACTCTGCTACTTTCTGTCACTCTGGCAGACAACACGCATATTGTTGCGCATAGGCATATCGTTGCCAAAGGTAATTTCGTTACGATTTACTCAACCTACCAATAAACTATTGAATTCTATCACAAAGAAACCTCTGTGTTTTCTTTATTCTTTTTTACTTTCACGGCACACTATGCTATTTATACACCCCTCCCCTACGGTCCACTGCTCGACGCATTCGGTGTACCGACTCCCATCGGCGTTTAGTTTGAGAGTTCTTAATTGAAATTTCTTCCACTTTCTGTATAAATGGACAGACCTTCTAGAAGAGGAAGCCTATACGGCCAGAACTTTATTTTTAAAATCCTCAAAGTCGAATTAGGGGGACATACAATCGCTTGAAAAAAAATTCAAGATTGCCGGTCAATTTTATGGCATTTCCATGTTCAGAGTCTGAAAAGAGCCACGTCCCTGCCATCTTCAACATAAACGTAATTCTGGTTACTTGAAAGCGTACTACATGTCAGCCCCCAACGCTTTCCCATTAAGTTCAAGGATATGTTGCTATTATACTTTTCGTCTAATAAAAAAAATCATCCTTCTCTAAAAATAAAAACTATGCCAGCAGTTGTTTCAGTAGAGTTGATGATTTGTTTTTCGAAGGAGTTTGTTACGTGGTCGTATTTCAAGAGTTCTTTTTCAGAACGACCTGAAAACGCCCCTGTTTTTTTCACACTGCCCGATGGTATCACGGATATCTTTTCACCCAGAGGCTACTCGAAGGTTCTGGTTAAGTGGACATCCCTGACAATATTTTCCCAACTATAATTGGGCTACTCACAGTGGATTAAAAATAATTCATTGTCCGTAATGGTATTCATATCCCGTTCAACAATCCGATTGCAGAAATTGAATATAAATTTTATTAGGACGCTTCATTGACCTTTGCACACTTCGTTGGTGTTGTAGCAGCTTTTACTGTGGGTTTTTTCAGCTTAATCTGGTTATGCATGTAAGCCAGGATTCAAAAAGTTGCGACCTGTACATGCAAAGATGAGTTGGCCTGGAAAACACCCAACAAGACACCCAGGTATTAACAAGGTCTCGATAAAACAGCTTGGGCACGAGGTCGTCTAGTACCTAAACCGACCTCCTTAAAGGTTTATGGGAGCATTGACGTAATGCCTCACCCTCGACGATCTTGGTTCTCTACCCCAAAACTTGACGACTGTCCGCCATGCTTATCTGATTTGCAGCTACATATTGAATTATATAGATCTATCCACTATAACCTGTTGATAGCTCCGATTGCATTCAACTGAGTATTTTATGTGGTCTGTAGATAAAATATGATCTACATAACTTCTACAGATATTTTTTCGAAGATATTTAAAATAGAAATCTTTATTTCTATGATAAAAAACAGCCGACATGTATTTTAAAAAATGGAGCACCAGACGACTTTAGAGGTTTTTCAATTAAGGGGACCCCCATTCTCGGGTCAAAACTGTTGTTGACATAATTCGAATCTACACTAATTAAAGAATTTCCCTACAAAATTTCAAATTAATATCTCAAGAAGTCTTGAAGATATAGCCGATTTATTGTGTCAGCATCAAGTGACGGCTGAAGGGCTTCTCAAACTTTAAACGCGTTTTTCTCTAAACATTTTTTTGGGAATGGCGGGCACGATAACTCAAAAACTAATAACCCAAATTTTTACACATTTCTCTGTGAGTGTGTAGCTATCGTATGAACTAGGATAAAGCCAATCGGTGAAGATCTTCCTTATTTTTTAACATGGTTTTTGGTCAAAAATCGGCGATTTTCCAAAAATATTTTTTCAAAGGTCCGCCATTTTGTTAATATTAGAGCGAAGTCAATAATCCTAGTTCATACGAGAGCCAGACATGTACTCTTTCTAACACCGTTGGAATTTTCGGATTCCGATGTTGCAGTGAGGAGTTATCACGCCCGCCATCGAAAATAAGGACTTTTCTTTAATTACAAAAAACAACAACAAAACAATAACAAAATTTTTTTGTAAATTATTGTTCTTCTCTTTTAAATCTTCAATTATATATGTGCAAAGTTACAAGCATTGGTATTGATTTACCAGCCCATTGAAAATCTTGAAAAATTAAAATCGAGAATGGGGGGGTTCCCTTAAATAACATTTCTAGAGCTATTCTACAGATCTTCTGCATATAGAATAGACTGGAAAATTGTGAAAAATTATGACAGTCGATTTCGAGTAAGTTTTAATTTGACATGAATTTCGATACGATCACGCCTTCTGTATGACACCATCCGATCGATATCGACTGTCATAATTTGCCCCACTGGACTAAGAACTTCAATATACCGAAAATAAAGCAAGGCCTTGTATGAGGGTTATTTAAACACTGGAACCTTGGAAATCCCGGTTGAAATCGTAAAAAAACAGAAAATCAGGCAGGCCCTGATTTTCTGCCCTCATATAATGGCTATATCAAAAAAGATCCCACATTAACCCTTTTAAATAATATTTTTTTTCACCCTCCAGGTAAATAAGCGGTACTTTTTAATGTCTGGTATTTAATTTTGAGATATTTTAACAAAAATGTTAATTATAAATTTTTCTAAAAACAGATGTGTGAAAATAAAAGTCTCCTCTGGTTTTTAAGAAGAAAAGGAAGTTTTTGAAAAGTGTACACGCTCTGACCTCCAGCCTGCCCCTGAGGATTGCCGTCAGTTCCGGAAATACTACCTTCAGCTCGTACGTACAAACTTCTGATCAGCAATTTCTCAAAGACCACCATCAGCATCAATCCATAAAGACACTATTCCGCTAAGGTACAATAGATGCGTGGCTGTGAATGTCGTATGTTATCCCCGTAGTACGATAATAATTATTAGTTCTGATGGTAGTATGTCGTCCATAAAGACGCTATAAGATTCCCTAGGCTGGTGTATTCTGTGGGTCATCATTTCCCGAAAAAGCAGGCTTGTATTACGCTCGACGGGTGCCTGGAAGCGAATTCGTAAGATGTTGGTAGTCACTTTTTCCCTGTTCAATGATTGTTCCATTAAACAGGGCCTGCAGTTATTAGTTTTAATGGTAGCAGCTGCGGCTATGATGCTGAGCAAAAGCTATAGAATGTGTTTGACCAGTCCCGAGCTGTTTAGGGTTCTACTGGGAATGGTTTCGGCTCCGAACTGGGAATACACCTAAGTCTGTTTTTACACCGTCTTTTTATACACGGTTTGAAAATTGAATATTTTTAATTTTTTTTACACGATTTTATTCCATTCAGCACGATTTGAAATTTTATGTACTTAAATTTTTTTGTCAAATTTAATTTTTGCGAAGCATGTTCATATCACAAAAAAGTATTTATGAAAGAAAAAAGTCTGAAACCATCGATAGTATCGATAGTTTGCGAACACTAGCTATATAAAAAGTCGTTTACATTTAACCGGATTTGGTTAACCCAGTGGGTTTAAATTTTCAATTCCTTTGAATATATGCCAAATAAATCCTAATAAAGTAGGTTAACCCGGTAAAAAGTTCTAATGTAAATGCCGTATAAGTTTGTATACGATCAATGTCTTTTTTTACATGGCTTCTTCTGGAACCAATCTGCGGTGTAAAAACAGACTTAGTTGTAGTTGAAAGGCTATGAAGATTTTCAGCAACGTGGCTGCCAGTGTCCGCTAGATACGTGAAACTAACCTAAATATTTAGAGTTTTCCTACGGGTGGCTGTTTATCGCGTATAGAATTCGGCTTGGGATTAATGTAAAAGAGAATGACATGTCTTGCAAGGATCACGAAAAAGTTGTATCTTTTTTTGAAATATAAATGTTAAAAGAACACATGCAACAATTCTACATGCCCCATCCCAAAATAATACAAGTTTTAAAAATAAAAAAAAAATCAATTGTCATTAATGTATAATAAAAAAATAAAACTCAATTGTACAAAAACAAATATTACAAAATTATTTTCATTTAAAATTATTCGTTTAATATATATTTAAACTAATAATTGCAAAGTGGATTTTAATATTTATTAAACAATTTAAAAAATAACTGTTATAAAACAATGTTGAATTATTCGATATTTTATTATTAGCTATTTTAGTTGTTAAATATTATTTCGTTTAAAAATAAAACAAACGATAACATTTTAACGAATATTCGATTTGTGAATTAGTTTTTGTAAGAAAAAAAAAGAAACAAAAAAAAACGATAATATAAATTAATATTAGTAACAGAAAATTAAAAAAAAGGATAATAATTCAAATAAGGAATCACATCACAAGACATCTTTCCCATAATAAAAAATTATAAAAATAAAATAAATCTTTTAAAAGAACTAAATTATTAAATGTTAATTGTTTTAATTATGGGAAAGAGAAATATCAAAAAATAGGTTTTTTTATTTAATTATTAAACCTTCAGCTCGCCTATAAATCCTCCTAGAATTGAATATATGCGGTCTATACATACTCGCCATGCATTTAGCTCTTCAAAATCTAAATATAGATTTTTCAAAATCCATTTATGTGGAATATAGCCCATTGTGATCAAGACTAGGATGTGGAAAGTAGATCGTTGAGTATACAAATGATACAATCTCAGGTCGTCTGTAAATACTATCTGATCGCTTTTTTTAAAACTCAACGGCCTTTAAATAAAGACTCTCGGTCTTCGGGTGGCCTATAAGAACTGTTATTCAGCTCGGCTATAAACACCTGTTCTTTAGTTTGTGTATAAAAACTTCAGATTGCTTTTAAATATTTCCAACCCTTCAACTCGTCCATCAAGACTGCCTTGGTTATACGTACTTCCAACCCACTCTAGTGTTCGATATACTTTCAGGAAATTTTAAACTGAAATATTTCAAATAATTTTCCATATTTTTCGTATTCAATATTGCATTTATTTTTTATTCGATTTTTTTTTATATATACAACGATATAATGGTGGAAGCGGCTTTACAACCATGGGAACGCATAGCCTGGACACCGGAACAGGAACAGGTTATATATCGTGATTGGGGCCTATTTTACACACACAAACAACAATTGGACAAAGCTGTACATTATTATGACAAGTCGTTGGAACTGCAATCGGATGATCCGAAAGCGCTATATTTTCGAAGTCGTTGCAAGCGAAATATAGCCCAAACCGAAGGAGCATTGGATGATGGCCGAGCAGCATTGGGTATGAAAAGCAAAATCTGACAAAGTCGCAAAAATAGTTCGATATTTCGGAGCCGATATATGTATTTATCTTAGCAGAGCTAAGTTGGAAGTTCGTTAGGAGCTCACGTCTGGCTGAGTTCGTTGGAGCTCTCCTATAGCTGAGCTCATTAGGACCCCATATATTGCTGAGCTCATTTGGAGCTAACATGTAGCTGAGCTCATTAGAAGCTCACCTATAGTTAACCTCGTTAGGAAACCACCTATAGCTGAGCTAATAAGGAGCTCACCTATAGCTGAACTAATAAGGAGCTCACCTATAGCTGAGCTAATAAGGAGCTCACCTATAGCTGAGCTAATAAGGAGCTCACCTATAGCTGAGCTAATAAGGAGCTCACCTATAGCTGAGCTAATAAGGAGCTCACCTATAGCTGAGCTAATAAGGAGCTCACCTATAGCTGAGCTAATAAATAGCTCACCTATAGCTGAACTAATAAGGAGCTCACCTATAGCTCATTAGGAGCACATCTATAACTGAGCTCAATAGGAGTTCATCTATAGTTGAACTTATTAGGAGCTCTCCTATAGCTGAGCTCATCAGGAGCTCACGTATAGCTGACCTCATTAGAAGCTCTCTTATAAATAAGCACTCCAATAGATATAGAGCTCACATATTGTCCAGCTTATCGGGAGCTCACATATTAGTGAGCTCGTTAGCAGCTCACCTATAGCTGAGCTCTTTAGAAGCTCACATATAGCTCGTTAGGAGCGAACTTATAGCAGATCTCATTAGTAGCTCAACTATGGCTGAGCTCACTAGGTGCTCACCTGCGAGTTCATTAGTAGCTCTCTTAAAGCTGAGCTCGTTAGCAGCTCTCCTATACATGAGCGCATTAGGAGCTCGGTCTGCAGCTCCTCTATAAAGACTTCCTGGCCTTCTGTTCGTTTATAAAACTCCTTGACCTTCAGTTTGTCTTTAAAGAACTTCCAGCTCATCAATATAGACCCGATCGTCTATAAAGACATTCTGCACTTCAGCTCGTCTATAAAGACACCCTGACCTTCAGCTAGTATATAAAGACTCCCTGAACTGATCTCATTAGGAGTTCACCCATAAATGAGCTCTCCTATAGCTGATCCCATTAGCCGCTTACCTATAACATTCGTGATTTTGCTGGTCACCTATAGCTTAGCCCATAAGCTAAGAGATTAGCATTTTTATGCCTGATCTCATTTTCCACATTTTTAAAATTGTCATTCTTTCAGCTTTGGATGATTATAATGCCCCGCTAAATTTGGAGATCTGTGATGCCTTGTACGAATTAAATCGATTTGAAAGTTGTAAAGTGGAATTGCACGACAACACACGGAAGTATTGTAACAAAAAAGTTACCGCATTTCTGAATCGGCTGACAGTGGTACGTACGCATGGTTTAAAAAAATGGAATATATTACTTCAATAAAAAGGTCTACAGGTCGATGAAAATTTCAAAGATAATCTCGGCGACACTTTGGGTCCGTTTATTATAAAAAATGGCAAATATTTCGATGAGGTATTGGAGGCATATAAACGATCACAGCATGTCGATACACGTCCGCTATGGAAACGAATGAAGGAAGACGAGAAATGTGATGTCCTGAGTATTTTGGAGAAGGAGGTTAGTTCAAAAGAAATATTTCTCATTTTGGAATACGGAATATTTCTCATTATAATATCAATTTTTATAGGAAATTCTATTGTCACCCCGTGAATTGGCTAGGCGTCATCGTGCCTTCAAAGTTTTCAATCAAATCTATTTCAATAAAAGTTGGATAGACGTGTTGTTTCTGAAACAGCTGCGTGAGAATAAAAATCTTCTCTGGCCTCAATCGAAGGTGTCCACCCCGTTTCTACGTGACCTATGCAATACGAAATACGATGTGCTGAAGAAGTTTTTGAAAATGTTACAAGCTCGCAGTCCCCTCTATACAGAACAATGGCGTAAATGTCCCAATAAACGTATCGGTTCGAAGAGGAAGGAAGAACACTTGAATCGTGTCCAATATCAAACTAGGCGCACTATGTTTTCACAGTTGCGTGCAATACGTCGTCTCCGGGAGGAGGGAGATATTGATGTAAGGTTTTTTTGGGAAATGTTTGTTACATTTAATTCGTATAATAGGTTATCCTTTGTGATAGCAATATTTCTTAAATCTGCGGAGACGTCCCAATCCTAATTGTCCCAAAAAATTTCATTTTCAGACGGTATTTTAAAGATTCCCTTAACTGATCATATGTATAGTTCTCCGTCTTCAGTTTCTAGTTTTCAGGTTTGCAGTTGGCAAAGAAAGTCACTCTGGACTTCAGATAGGCGATACATACTAAACTCAGTCCGATGATGAAGACTCATAAAGCATCCCTGGCCTTTAGTTTGTCTATAAGAACTTTCTGAGCTACAGCTTGTCTTTAGAGACTCCCTTCATCTGGTCTTTAAAGACGCCCTAACTTTCAGATCGTCCATATACACTCCCTGACCTTCAGATCGTCCACATACACCCTTACCTTCCGCTGGATTCCCAGCTCTTCAGCTCGGCTATAAAGACTCCCTTCAGATCGTCCACATACACCCTGACCTTCCGCTGGATTCCCTGATCTTCAGCTCAACCATAAAGACTCCCTAACCTTCAGCTCGCCCATATACACTTCCTGACCTTCAGATCGTCCATATACACTCCCTGACCTTTCGCTGGACTACCTAATTCCCTTCACATTCCCTGGCTATCAGTTTTTAAGACTCCCTCCCGCTCGTTAATAAGGCTTTCCTGGGCTTCAGTTTGTCGATAAGAACTCTCTGACCTTCAGCTCGTATATAAAGACTCCCCAAACTTCAGCTCGCCTTTAAAGGCACCCCGACCTGCAGCTGGCTTCTAAAGTCTCTCTGAACTTCAGGTCGTCTGTAAAGACACCTTGACCTTCAGGTCATTTAAAAGTCTCCGTGAACTTGAGCTCGCCTATAGAGACTCCCTGACCTTTACCTCGTCTGTAAGGATACCCTGGCATTCAGCTCATTTAAAAGACTCCTTAATCTCCAGCTCGTCTGTAAAGATTCCCTGGCCTTCACATCGTCTATAAAGACTACCTGGCCTCCACCTCGTCTATAAAGACTCACTGACCTACAGATTGACTACAAAGACTCCCTGACTTTCAAATCGTCTATAAAGACTCCAAAACCCTCTCCTCGTCTATATAGATTCCGTGGCATTCTGCTTGGCTATAAAGACTTCCTGGCCTTCCGCTCGTCTATAAAGACACCCTAACCTTCAGCTCTTTTAAACGACTTTCTAATATTCAGGGAGACTCCCTGGCCTTCACCTCACTCCCTGACCTTCAGCTCACCTATAAAGGCTCCTAAAACTTCAGATCGTCGGTAAAGACTCCCTGATCTTCAGCTCGTCGACAAAGACTATCTGACCTTTAGCTCGTCTAAAAAGACCACCTGAATATCAGCACGTATATAAAGGCTTCCTTATTCATCTCGGCCATAAAGTCTCCCTCGACTCCTGATCTTCAGCTCGTCTATAAAAACTCCCTGAACTTCAGCTCATATATAAAGACTCTGTGACCTTCAGCTCGTCTATAGAGACACCCTGAACTTTAGTTCGTCTATAAAGACTCCTTGATCTTCAGCTCAGATATAAGGACCCACTGACCAGCTCGGTCATAAAAACCCCTAACCTTCAGCACCTCTATAAAGACTCCCTGACCATGAGCTCGCCAACAAAGACTCTCTGACTTCCGGCAGTACCCCGGCCTTCAGTTCGCTAAAAAAAAAACTTCAAATTGTCCACACAGACTCCCTAAAAATTAAAGCCTTCCCAACGTAAGCCTTCTTCCAACCTTTTTCAGAAACTCTCCAAATATGTTGAAGAAGTAATGGGCGATTATGTCGTCCTCAAGACTCAACGTGTAATGCCTTGGAAATTTGAATTTATCAATGAGGTATACAACATCCTGGCTCTGGCCCATGCCGATGGTTATACCCTAATGGATGATATTTTAGAGACACATGGCAAGGAACGACTTCTGCGTCTGTTACGAATGCCCACCGACAAATATAAAGACATTGTGCAATTTGTGTTTGGTGATAAGTCCACATATCGAGAACCCGATGCCCCAGACTATAGTTTGATTGCCTATAAGTAAGATACATACATGAGACATAACCTGTAATTAATTTCGATAATCATTTTTTAGGAAATTTTTACCCCGTCTGGAGAAGCGTATGATTTTTGCCCGATATTCGATAGAGAAATGTTATTTGCTGCATGAAATTGCCCGGGCCCATTTGAAACAGAGTCATTTTGATGAATGTTGTTCGTGGGCACGTAAAGCCATTGAGGGTAAGATTGGGATAATCAGAAGAACTTTCATAATAATAACTCTTCGCCATCACTCTCTTCTTCTTCTTCTTCTCATCAACTTTAGAATCGAAAATCTGCAATAGCATTATCTGGCAATTTGTCAGCATAATGCTCATTGTTAAAGCTCACGCCGCCCTACACAAAATCGAACGTGGCAAAGAGGCCCTAGAGGAGGCATTATCGGTTGCTCAACGTTTACATAACGCCCGCCTCTGTTCTTTTATTGAATTTTGTCTGGCCATCAATGAAGAAGAGATCGCCTTAAAGAAACGCTCTCAATCATTGGAATCGGTACGCAAACGTCGTAGTCGTGTCTCGTTGGGTAGTCGTTATTCGATGCAATCGAAAAATAGTACCGAAGATAATGCACCTTCATCATCGGTCGCTGGAGGTGGGGCATCAGATGGTGGTGCTGGCGATGGCATGTAAATACTGAAATCGAATGATATGGCAAAATATCGGAAATTTCGATTCAATGTATCTTAAATCAAATGTACGACGGGATATATTAACATTTTTAAATTTCTGGAAATAAATAATGCTAAATTTGTTTTTGGATAATTTTAAAAAAAAACATATATATTTTTAAGTGGCTCATCTATACAGACTTCGTTCTCATAAGCTTGTCTAAAAAGGTTCCCTGACTTTCAGCTCGTCTATAAAGACTTCCGCTCGTATATAAAGGCCTTTTGATTTCAACTCGTCTATAGAGACGATCCTTGATCATCTGCTCGTCTATAGAATCCCATTTAAGTCGTCTATTAAGACTCCCTTCAGCTCGAACAAAAAACTCCCTTATCTTCAGCTCGTCCAAAAACCCTACCTTAAAGTACGTTTACATTTAACCGGATTTCGTTAACCCAGTGGGTTTCAATTGTCAAATCCATTGTATATATGTCAAATAAATCCTCATAAAGTAGATTAACCCGGTAAAAAGTTCTAATGTAAACGCCGTTTTATATCCATAACCTCTAAAAAGACTCCATGATCTTCAGCTCGTCTAAAATGACTCCCTTATCTTCAGTTCATCTGTAAAGATTACCTGATCTTCAAATCGCATAAAAAGACTCCCGAATCTTCAGTTCGTCTAAAAAGATTCTGATTCAGCTCATCTAAAATTACTCCCTGATCTTCAGCTCATCTTTAAAGATTCCATGATCTTCAGCTCCTCTGTAAAGATTCCCTGATCTTCAACTCGTATAAAAAGACTCTCTGATCTTTAGTTCGTCTTAAAAGATTCTGATCTCCAGCTCGTCTATAAAGACTACAACTTGACCTACAACTCGTCTAAAAAAACTCTCTTATCTTCAGATCGTCTGCAAAGACTCACTGATCTTCAGCTCGCCTAAAAAGACCCACTGATCTTCAGCTCGCCTGCAAAGACTCCCTGACCAGCAACTCACATATAAAGATTCCCTTCAGTTCGTCGAAAAAACTCCTAATTCAGCTCGTCTATAAAGACCTCCTGACCTTAAGCTTGTCTACAAAGACTCCTTGACCTTCAGCTCCCTAACCTTCTGCTCGTGTAAAAAAAAACTCCATGATCTTCAGCTCGTCTATCAAGACTCCTTGACCTTCAGGAGTCTGATCTTCAGCTCGGCTATAAAGACCCGAGCTGAAGATCAGGGTAGAAAGTCCCTGAACTTCAGTTCGACTATAAAGACTTCCTGACCTTCTTGTCCAAAAAGACTTACTGACCTTCATCTCGCCCATGAAGACTCCTTGATCTTAAGTTCGTTTATACGGACCCCTTGATTTTCTGCTCGCCTAAAACGACTCCCTGAACTTCAGCTCGTCTATATAGACTTCCTGACCTCTCCCACATGTTCCATCAAAATTTTCATCATTTATAAATGGAATATGAAAAAGTGTCTATGAAATTGGGCATTCTGTTCGATTGATATGAGATTTAAAAAGTTTTCAAAATTTTCACCGATTTTGAGGAGTACTAGAAGGAACGGACCTATAAGGCCCATCTTCCAACATTGAACAAGTAGGGTTAATTCAAATCGGATAATCCGTTCGCATGATATTATAAAATTAATTTTCAGCAACATTGTGAGAACTTTGTGACGGAGGTATCAAAACTCTTTTGAATCACAAAATCAACATTCCCATCTCTGCCAACCACACAAGTGTTTGATATTAGAAAGCAAACCTTAATATAAAATTCTTACCTTGAAGAAAAGCCCATAATCCACCATTTCCTTTTTTCTCCTAAGCACACGACAACAATGGAGATCTAACGACGACGGCGATTGCTACGACAACGATTGTTCCGACGACGACCGAGGCTGAGACACGAAAAACGTAAACAGAAGAATTCGCAAAATGACCACTTACCTAAACAAAGAAGAAAAAATGGTAGCCCAATTTTATATAACACAACAAACGCAATAAAATTAACAGTTTTAATAGTTTTAATAACAATAACTAGGATTCACTTAATTGGTTAAATTAATTAATTATAACAATTTGCACATGATTGATCAGTAAATTATTTGCCGAAATTAAAGAAAACACGACTCGCGAAATTGCCGACAACAAACCAATCGCGCCCGGCTTTCTTGAGAACACAAAACAACTGAAGAGAACATAATTGTAGAGTTGCCCTCATCAATGTAATTAGATCAGTGTTGAACAGAACTAAATTGAGAGTAAGTGTGTAAGAGCGTAACTGAGAGATGATCATTAAGAAATGACTGACAAAAGGAGAAAAAAAGAAAATACGTGTTTAGCCATCACCGCTATCGTACTATTTTGTGCAAGGGTGAATTAGATTAAGAAAAAAAGGGGGTGATGGTGGATCTATGTTATTGGTTTTAGACGCCATGTTTCGTTGGACCAAACACGTTTCCTACAATTTGGAGTCGATTTACAAATATCCAACCAGAAACAAAGACAGCCAGATAAACAGACGAACATCTATCAGTCTGAGTGTCTGACTGGCTGGTGGGGACGATAACCCTCGAAGAGAGTAACGGATTTCATCCAAACTTTGCACATCGTAATATTCCTCTCAAGCTTAAATTAAGTTCGAAGATGGAGAATATGGATCCACTGCTATTGGTACCTCCCTCACAAATTGGTCAACATTTTGCAGAAAATTAACTATCCGATTTGCACAACCTTATATTTTAATCATGCGTATTTATTCTTAAATGATGAGACTTATTGTCGCATTCCTTCTAGTTGCTGAAAATAACGTTTGTAATATAACCGTGCCTGTCAACATCAACGAACGGAATGTCCAATTTCAATGAAACTTTGCACATAGTAATCAGCGTTATTCTGAACATCAATTCCCCGTGTATTTGTTCGCTTTTCCCTTTAAAGTTATTCTGAACAACAACTGGTAGAGATTTTTTTTCTCGTTTTCACTTTCCCGGGTGGCGTAGGATAGATGCCAAGCAACGACCCTGATTGCCTGGTAATGACATTCAAAATCTGCTAGGAGATTTTAATGCAAAAATCGGAAGGGAAAATATTTTTGGTCCCACCGTCGGAAAATTTCACTTTTCCGAGTGGCGTAGGGGAGGATAAATGCCAAGCAACGGCTCAGATTGCCTGGTCATGACATTAAAATTCTTTGGTCCCACCGTCGGAAAATTCAGCCTACATGAAGAAACATCCGACAACGGCATGAGGTTGATTGACTTCGCGGCAGCAAAAAAAAATGGTAGTTAGCAGCAACACATGGCCACCTGGATTTCTCCTGATCAAGCAACGAGAAATCAAATTGATCATGTTGTGATAGCCAGAAGGATTTCGTTCAGTGTTTTAGACGTTAGATCGAACCGAGGAGCGAATATCGTTTCGAACCATTACCTTGCAGCAGCCTTGTTTAGCACTCGTCTTAATGTAACAGCAAAGGTGCGATCTTACTCAACACGACGGCTGCAAACACAACAGATAGCAGAAAGCCTACTCCGCTCCACTTACCCACCTGCATGACGAATGCACTCCTTTTCCCGATAATATCTTAGAAGCGCACAATGGCAAATAATTTTCCACTCCCTGCAAAATGCAACAAAAGCAACACTTGGGTACCAAAGACCGTAATGCTACTGATGTGAAAAAAGCCCTGCATACAGGAGCAAAACGTAATGTGATGGAGAATTATCGGCAGAAAATGAGAGAGGGGAAACGTTTTTTTCAAAAAAAAAAGAAGAAAGAACAAGAAAAACGCGAGTGTGAACGACTGAAGCCAATGGTCAATGATATTATTGGGTCATACCAATGCAGCTTCAGACCTGACAAATCCACCATAGACCAGATTTTCACTCTGCGCATTCCTGCAAAATTAAAACGGCTATGCAGTATAACTTTAACTGGCACAAGGGCAGCAGTTAAAGTCGGAATGAACCTCTCGGAGCCCTTCAATACCGAACCATTTAACATCCTGCTGGAAAAGGTCATACGAGAGGAAAAGATGAACAGACACTCTGTACAGCAAACAACACTTGTTACTCTCCTACGCCGATGACATCGATATAATGAGTCGAACATTGCGAGCGGTAATAGCCACCTTTGAACAAATTGAAAAAAAGTCTGGCAAAGTGGATCTGGTAGTAAATGTCGAGAACAAGTATGGTATCAACACACAAGACGTCCAGTAGACTCGAAACTTGAAAACGACAGCTTCGAGGTAGTCAACGATTTTATACATCTGGGTACCGCTATAAATAAAACTGATGAAATCAGGGGGTTTAGTCTGCGTTGCGATGTGTAAGAAAAATTTATCGGATCGCGTAATTCGTACTCTCTAATTTGTTCGTTCGTTAAGCGCAAATATCTTGCGTTAAGAAGATAGTAAACGCAAATGAAGCGGAACATGTAAGTAAACACAATTAAAGGTTTTTTATACCTAAATTGTTAGTTATTTTAGGGAAAAGCCAAAAAGTTGCAGACTCAGCAATGTCAGTTCCAAACTTTAGTAGATTTTATGAACCAACACAGCGATTTGGCAAAGGTACAGTTGCTGAGTTCAAATGCGAAACAACGCGGCAACAAGTTGTGGCCTGATGACCTCAATTCAAATAGACCTCCTGCAAGAGATGTCGCTTGATGGAAAAAAGTAATGTATTACATTTTTTATATAAAATGTGAAACTAACTATGTATGCATATTTACAGATATTGAGGTCGATTTCAATAGCGTTTAATACATACATAAACGCATCTTTATTGAGACGAAAATTTTGTATAAATCTATAAAAATTAAATATTTGAAAACGTTTGTGACACAATTCTATTTTCATACCCTTTGTCATTTAGGGAGAGTATATTTGATAGATCTCTTTTAATTCGTTCGTAATTCTCATTTTCTTCTAACCATAACGCCACTGAATCCATAATTATTTATTTCAGTTTCTTATTGCCATATGTTTACAGCAATTTAAAAAAAAGTAGTAGACAAAATAAATTACGATCGATTACGGTGATCCAAAAATTTACGAAACATAACTCCCCCCAGATGCTACTATGGTCGGCCAGACCAAACTCACAACCCCACAAGACGCTGATACTACCCGTGCTGGTGTATGGATCAGAAGCATGGGTACTTGCGCAAGCAGAAGAAAAAACTATCCGAAAGACCTACGGGCCGATCTGCGTAAATATCGGCGTCGAATGAACCACGAGCTTTATCATCTATACACGGACATCGACATAGTCAGTTGTATCGAGCTGCAGCGACTACTGTGGCTAAATCATGTTGGATGGATGAGCATAAAAAGGCATTTAAAGCGAGCCTACTGATTTTTCGCGCAGTAGGAGAAGGCCACAAATTCGATGGAAAGATTAAGAGGAGGAACATGGTCTTTAAAATTGGAAAAACTACGCACAAGATCGACACGCCTGGAAATATTTTTATATATTCGGCTTATGGAACTAATGTTCTGTCTCGACCCAGCTAAGTAAAATAAGTAATATTTTTAAACAATGTTTGTTTTATTTTTTTAATAATAAAGAAATAAAGGCAATACACACAAAAAATGCTTTCAGCACACTTAATATAACGTTTTCAGTTTTTTACTATCTGGTATCCTTGGTTAACTTTGAAATAACTCATTAATTGTATACGATTTTATTTTATTTTTTTTTTTTGTTTAACATCAGTTGTTATTTTTAAATAGTTTAATAGTTTTTTCAATTTATATCTTAAAATCTCTCCAGAATGATATAGTATTAAAAATATATAAATAAATAAAAAATCAGCATCGATGTTAAATTTAGGTTTTTAGGATTACGTTTTGCTGTAATAATAATAATAACTAATATAATTCATGTTTGTCACATAGAGTAGTTTCATTTTAGAATAAAGGAAGAGTTAAGGGGAAGTGTGTGTTGAAGTGATAATGAACTTATGAGTTTTTTAATTATTAATATATGAGATAAATACTTAAATTTTATTGCATACAAAAAGCAATATTTTTTTAAAACTAATAGTAATTAAAATCGGCAATATGAACAATGAGTAAAAATGAAGGCCAAATAATAAATCCTTATAAAGGTTGTTGAAGGCAGGGAGCCTATAGGTCTTTATAGTCAAGCTGAAAGTCATGGAATCTATATAGGCGAGCTGGAAGTCAGGGCGCCGTTATAGACGAGGTAAAGGCCAGGGTGTTTTTATAGGCGAACTGAATGAAGAGAGCCCTTATAGACGAGCTGTAGGGAGTCTTCACAAACTTTATAGACGAGCTGAATGATATGGGGGTGTTTATAGACGAGCTGAAATATGCCTATTTGTTTAGAGATTTCTACTATCAATATAAAATTATGTATTTTTAAAAATTCATTGGAAATCATGTAATTAAATTTTTCTTTTTTGAAATTCTCAATCCACTGAGATCTTTAAAAATGACAAATATTTTCAAACCGAGTAGTAGTATAACAATCCGTGGTTAAGTAAAAACACTGTATTTCTTTTTAATTCATATTATAATCGCAATTCCGCATGAATATATTTGGCTTCATATCAAAAGAATAATATAAACAAACATACAAATAGAAAGAGAGAGAGTGGGGGATTAAAGGGAGAGCATGGAATTAGGAGATTACAATTGAAAATATAGCATAGCTAAATTGTGAACACTAAAATTGTTAATTGTTAATTATATAATGTTTATAAAGAAAAATTATATGTGTGTGTTTTTTTTCTTTGATGAAAGACAACAATCGACAAGTAAGTAATAACGGCAAAAAGGTAAACAATTAAAAAATAATAAAATAAGAATTATTAATACTCAAGTGAAAATTGGACATGAAATGATTGAATGTAATGGAACAATGTATTGTTGTGTGTTGTTCAACATAAAAGCATTTAAAAAATATTTATTTTTTTAATCGTGTTATTCTATCAATTTTCTTTTTTGTTATATATCAAGTATTGTTAGTCACCAGCTCTGTGTGTGGCGGGGGCGGAGAAGGGAGGCTCCTTTTGCTCGTATTTCTCAATAATCTGTCGTACTTGATATATTTAACAACGACAGACTATTGGCACTTTCTCTGTTGTTGCGTTCCGTCATCGGGGATGGCAATGGACTACTTTCGAAACGATCACGATAGGCACTAAAGAGTCCACGAATTTTATTCAATGGAGTCAATGGCCTTTGGAATTCACTAACCAGTGAACGTGGGGCAGCAATATTATTTTCTGGCGTCAACTTATTTTTCGGCTCAACATTTGCATTCGCCGTGTCGGTGGTGGTCGGGGGTGGTGTTGTGTTGCTGGTCAAGTTCGAGCTGGAGGAATTTGTTAATGCTGCTGAGTTATTTGTTTCATTTACGGCTAATTTTGTGGCAGTTCCTGATTTTGTTGGTCTTCCCGGCGATGCAAATAGACGTTTTGCTGTGGGCAGTTGTAGTATTGGCTCTCGTATAATGGTAGCCTGTGAACCTGACTGTAATGTAGGCTGCTGTGGTTTGGTTTGTCTCGGCGAACCCATATTCAGTGAAGCATTTATATTTAAACGCATAAATGATTGTGACGTCTTATTATCTATAGATGGTGCTGTTGCTGCTGGTGATGAAATATGTGTCGCCGGTATGGATGAATCCGTTTTATTAAGAACTGAGAATGTATGAGTCTTCTTGACAATTCTTGGTGATGGGAAGCTGAAAATAAGGAAATGTATTTTATTTTGAATTGAAAATGGGGGCGGAAAATTTTATAACTTCCGCCATGAGGTGATGGACATTCAAAATACAAATGATATATTTAATATACGCTACACCTTTTAATAAAGGTTATATAAAAATGTCTTACACCTGAATTTAGGGTTATAAATACTTACAAGTCCATTTCTTCATTGGTGTAACGCATCAATGCTGCCTTCCAGGAATGAACTGTTGGATATATATTTTTATCGAGCTCAACATGGAAAATAGCATTTAAAACATCCAAATCACGTTTTGTTGGTTCATTTCTAAAAGGAAAACAAAAAAATTAATTCAAAAAATTTACTCCCCTTCTCTTCTATTCACATCATACCCATAAATAAATATTTTGTAGCCACCATCATCATCATTATCCGCTTCTGCCGTTAAACTTAAACGTGATGGACTTTCGGGAGGTGTTTGAAATATTTCATCTTCTTCGCTATCAGAACCAAAATCAGACTGTAAGATAACATAAAGAAAGAACATTAAACTATTTTATAAATATTTAAATTCAAATGGGGAATTTACCCAAAACACATCCTCATTATTGTCATCTGATGAATCGTTATCATCTCTGGGATTGCGATATTCACGATTATTATGTTCCTGTTTCTGAGCCTCTTTTACAGCTCGTTCCTGTTGTTTCATGCGTTGATGATTTTTATAGCGTGCCTCCATGCGATTGCGATGGCTAGTTTTGCGACTCAAATTACTTTCCCATTGGCAATCACAGGAGTTTTCCTGAGACCATAATTTCGAACACATTTCTTCGGTTTTGAGATTTTCGGGTAAAATTTGTTCAACTAAAAAAGAAAGACAAATATTTAATTGATATATGGAACAATAAGTTTTTTCCATCTGTACCACAAACCTGGATTTTCCAATTTATATAGAATACGTGAGCACACACATTCAATGTGTTCCCGTCGCTCACCCGGTGTCAGCAACAGGTTTTGTAAAATTTTCAATATTTTCGCCTTCATTTCAATGCTGATTTCTTGGGAATTTTCCAAAAATGTCGATACCAAATTACCAATACGCGAATGGACTTTTTCAAAGCTAACATTGACAAAACTGACATCCTCTTTGAAACTGTAAATCAGTGATTTCACTCGTCTCAATTCCAATAGCAGAGCATCATTTATGGACACAACATTATCAATGTTGTGGACAATGGTCTTTGTCATGCGCCGTGCATGCACCTGTAATGATTTCTCCACATAGGTATAGGGTGTTGATGACTGATGTGCAGTGGAGGCATTTAAATTAGCAGTACCCGATCCGGTTCCTGTGCTACGATAACCATTTTGATTAATACCATTTCGACCATGACTATCCGATGCGGTAGTGGCACCAAAACCAAATTTCTCCAAAGCCGAACAAACTTCTTCCAACATTTCCGAGTTATTACGTTTTTTCTTGTTCTGTTCTGCCTCATATTCAGCCTGCTTTTGAGCCAAATAACTTTCCAGTGTCTTCATACCCTGTTCCGAGGCAATATCTATAAATTCTTCCAGAAAATCCCAATATTCACGCCATTCGACATTTTGTTCTTTGGCCAGGTTACGACCAATACATTCAATGCCCTTCTCAGGATCGGTATTCTTGACGTGGCGTTCTTTAAAGCCAGGACTATCATAGATGTCGGAACAATTGAACAAATCTGCAGTCTCATTTTGCACATCCAAACAGGCTGGCATCGGTGAAGCCATTTGTTGTTCACGATATGTAAAGAAGGCATCTCTTTTGATTTTAAACAAAGGTGTACCGGGACAGAGGCCAGTCTTTAATTTTGGCACCAAGCGGCCATGATTGTTATTTGTTTCAATTTTGTTTAATGATTTTTGGCCATTTTCTTTATCATTATCACCGCCATTGCCATTTTGATGATCTTCAAAGGAATCATCTAAAATAATGGAATGATCTGAGAAACCATTTGAATCGTTTGCCACACTCCGATGATCTTTACGCTGTGGCGTTGAATTGAAAAGGGAACGTCTTTGTAACATGGCAGTGGGTGAATTTGTTGCACTGCCGCCACCTCCACCTCCTCCTGGAGTTATTGGTAGACTGCGGCGTGATTTCATGGGTGATATAAATGGACTATTGGCAATGGGTGAGGAGACATTGCTGCCCAAACGTGGTGGTGTTTTCCAGCGTTTGAAAAATTTCTATAAAGAAAATAGCCTTTACAAAATGTGTTCCTTCGAGACGTCTATCTTACAAATTTACCTTTGCCTGATCTTTAGTCATGGGACCAGCTAATGCTTTTATTTCCACTTCGGGACTTAAAGGATCACAGTTTAGTTTCTGCAAGAAAGCAAAAAGAAATATTTTAAAGAATTTTCAACAAAATGATCTCTTGAGTTATAATTGTTATACTCACTGGTGGGTTATTCACAGAAAATGGTTCTCCAATTTGGGCTGGAATTGAGGCATCACTACAACGTAATACAGGCACATAAAATCTCTCCTCGAAAAGGCTTTTGATTTTATCATAAACATCATTTGACGGTGTGCCACGCATGCAAATTATCTAAAAGAAAAAATAAGACAATTTTCAAAATTTATAAATCGAATTATCTTAGAACAAAACAAACTCACGTCTTGTGGTAAACTACCATCAATGTTTGGTTTAATTTTACATTCTGGATATGAAGTCAGCAGTTCAACCATTTTAGGAAAACCATATTTGGCAGCAAAATGTAAGGGCGTCTCACTCCGGCCCTTCTCCGGTATATTCAAATAATAGTCCAATAGATTTGCACACAATTCTTGACACATTTTCTGATCGTTCTTTTTACCCGTCAGAAGGTCAACAAATTTCGTATCGGACACCGTATTGAGTATAAGTTTTGCAATTTGTGGACGATTTGAAATTGCACAGATATGCATAGCATTATAACGGCAGCCTTCTTTCAACGAGGTCGGTGTATCACCCGAACTGACAAGGTAACGCGGATTATCCCATATTATTTGTTTGACACGTTCATATTCATCCGCTTCGATGCATTTACGAAAACGTGCCAATTCTTGTTTGGTCGGTCCTCGAAATGCTGGTGTTTCCAATGCTGTCGTTGACGCTGGAAATAATAGGAAATGAAAATCATATTATAGTAAACAAGTCAGTTAAGGGAAAGTTTTAAAGGAGATAGTTTTCTTCTGTGGGTATGATCGTTATATGGACCATATTTCTGACCATGGACCAATACAAAAAACATTTGGTAACTGCAAATTTAAATAAACATTCGCGCGGATAATCAGCGGGTTTTGGCGGAGTTTCTATGATCCCAACTTCGACGAGCGACCTCTGTCCCCCTCCAAAGATGGAGTTGTCTGTGAGTAGTCTGAGTACAACCGAAAAGATGATGACAGGAACTTCTAATATTTCAACACGGGAATCCACTTCGTAGTAAACAAAAAAGATAAATATCACATAGGAATATTATTTAATTGTCGACTACATAAGGATACTCCTTGATATCCTTTTTTAAAATACCCTTCTTTTTATAGCCTCCACCATAGTATGGAGGGTGGGTATATTAATTTTGTCATTCCGTTTGTAACTCATCGAAATATTCATTTCCGTTCCTATAAAGTATATATATTCTTGATCAGGGTAAAATTCTAAGACGATATAGCAATGTCCGTCCGTCCGACCGTCTGTTGTAATCACGCTATCTTCTGAAGGAATTGAGATATGGTGCTAAAATTTTGCATAGGTTTGTGTTTTGTCTGCAAGCAGGTCAAGTTCGAAGATGGGATATATCGGTCCACGTTTAGGCATAGGTCCCATATAACGGTGCATGAACTATGTTTGAAAGAAATAATAAGATGGCCAACGTTTGGATGAAATAAAAACTTTCTGAAACGGATTTGGTCCAAAGAAACATGGGGTCTAGAACCAATATTTCAATGAGGCACACTTTCACCGTGTCAAAGTATATACCCCCTCATTAGTCATATAGATGAGGGTATAATTATCCATTAAAAATTTCTGAAATTTGTATTACGGTTTACATAATGGGTTTGTAAAAATGTCGGTATAGGTCCACTTTTTGGTATTTTCCCTGTATTTTAATTGCAAGTACCTATCAGTATATCTATGGTGGAGGATATAAAAATTTCGGCCCGGCCGAACTTTACGCTTTCTCACTTGTTCAATATAGCATTTATTCAATAAGAAAAAATTGTATTTCCTTTCAAATTTCTACTCTACTGCGCATATATATTTTTTGGTAAAAACATCATTCTTCGAAAAAAAAACCAGTCACCTCCAAAACGTGACCATATAAAATTTGGCATTATTATTTACACAGCAAATAAGAAAAAACACAATTTCTTAATTGTGTGGTTTCTTTCTCTTATTTCGCAACAACAATGAATTTCTTTGTTTAAAAAATCGTTAATTTAATATTTGTTCTTTTCTTCAATAAATATTTAAAATACTGAAAATACATTCACAACTTACTTCTAACGTCATTATATTTTTGTTGAACAATTTCGAAACCAGTTTGGGCATATTTCATGGCTTCATCTTCATCATTGAATTCCTTGAGCCTGGCATCTTTGTGTTTTTTCAAGACTTTTAATGCTTCAGCTTTGGTACTGAAAACAAATTGAGATTCGGCTGAAAAAAAAAAGAAAAAAATTAAATGAATTAATTTAAAAATAAATATTAAAATTATTATTTTTGTAAAATATTATTTATCAATGCATAAATATGTGGGTCGGTCATTACACCTGCATTTCAAAGTAAAACATACAATTATGCATTATGTGTGTGTGTAATTGTCATGCAGCAGACGTGGCGTCTAGCTGAAAATATTTTAATATACTAATATAAATATTGCTTAATAATATATTATATTTGTATTATATACATGTGTGTATATATATGTATGTACATTACAAATAAAGTATTAAATAATTTGGCACTTGTACAAAAATGTCACATGCAATTTATTGTCTGCAATAATATGTCACCGGACGGTGTGCCACTTTTATATTGGGAAATCTTTACAAATCTACATTAAGGAAATTGACTAAAAATGACTAAGAGAAAATAAATATATATGTTTTATGTACGATATATTCTGTTGATGTTTTCGTAGCACATAAAAATGGTAGCGCGGAAAATTTTATTTTCATTGTCGGTTAATATATTTTTGTTAATAAAAACTAGCAAAAACAATCAAGGGAATATAAATGATATTCTACAATATTCGGGGAGTTCTTAAAGGATTTTGACTTGAGTTTAAATCCTTGTCGGAGGTTGGGAACATAAACACGTATTAATAAGCAGACACAGTGTACAAAATGGGCTAAAGAGACAGTTGTTGGCCAAGCTAGACTCAGAGCATTTCGGTTGATTCGTAAGAAATATTCTTGAAAAATCCAAGCCTCCATAGCTCTATAAGGCCTCGAAAAAATATTTGTTAAAACCTCCATGCCTCTGTAATCTTAAAAAGATCCATGGCTCTATAAGGAATCTGTAAGGCCTCAAAGAAAATAGATTTGATAGAACATCAACGGCTCTGTAAAGCTTCAAAAAATATTTTTTTTAAAAATTCAAGCCTCTGTAAAGCCTGAAAAAAATATTATTTTAAAATTTTACACCTCTGTAAGTCCCCAAAAATATTTTTTGGTTTTTGTAAGTTATCGGAAAAATATTCATAAACCAGTAAGGAAAGTTCAAAAAGACGGATTCAAGCCTCTGTAAGGCTTGAAAATAATATTATTTGAAAATTTTACACCTCTGTAAGTCCCCAAAAACATTTTTTGGTTTTTGTTAGTATCGCAAAAATATTCCTAAATCAGTAAGGAAAGTTCAAAAAGTCGGACGGGGCCGACTATATGATACCCTTCACCACTTGGGTACATACACGAGATGTTAATATCTACAATATCATGTAGAAAGGGTAGATATAGAATCTTTGGAGGACCATTGAGAGGGAACCGGCCCTGAACCGATTTTAAAAAATTGAAAAAATATTCTTTAAAAAATTCAGGCCTTAGATGGTCCCTGTAAGGACTCAAAAAATATTCCTAAAAAAGCCTATGTAAGACCTCGAAAAAAATATTTTATTAAATATTCTTTGAAAATCCACGCCTCTCTCTGGTCTTGAAAAATATTCTTAAAAAATATAAAATAATATCGTCTGGGATGTCTTCACGATAACACATGAAGTCCTGAGATTTCCCAATAATAAAATTAAAATAACCAGAAACAAGATTTTAACAATAATTACAGGTTAAGCTAATTTGTCACGCGTAACGTACTTTTTATTTTTAAAATGCCATATATAAAACACAATGGACATACATATTCAAATTCTTTTGAATTAGCCATTAAAAACAACGTTTTCGAATTCATATTTGTATACGTAGACCTTCGATGCCTTAATCGTCCAGCTAGCAGTCACCTTACTACACAACATCACAACAAAACCCAATAAAAAAGCAATGAAAATAAAATTTCAAATTAGCAGAAAAGTAAAATGTAAACAAAAAATGAAATGAGCAAAACAAAGAAAGGTTGATAAACAAACAAAAAATACGTTATTTGGCATTTTGTTTTGTTGTCACATCCCGCACCGCGCCAAATGGTGGCATATCACACAAACATATACACATCGTCGTGGGAGCTCCCCCATAGAATAGGCAATAGGGGGTCGGTTCAGTGGTCTGTTCAAGACGGAGGGTGTTGATAAATTGCCTTGTATTTCTCTTTTAGAAAAAAAAAAAAAAACAAAACGTGAACATATAGATATATTGCCAAAAATTGGGGCATGCTTGTTTTTTTATATCATTAAAATAAAGATATGTAGTGTTAAAATAGCCGTTTTAAAATAATCAATCTGACAGCAGACTGGGCTGTCTGGTGACGGATTGTTGCCAAATTATGTTAGAAGTTAAGAAAAGTATTAAATAAAGGTGGAATTAAAAATTATGGAAAATGCTATAAAATATATATTTCATTCACCCAAAAATATAGGTGGGTTTGAATGGACTGCAGCGATAACCTATATTATAAAATTTGTGCATGTGGTGCATGTCGTCGTCGTCGTCAAAACATTACGACGTCACGACAACGTAAATAATAAAATTCTCTAAAGTTCATTGACCTAATTTTTTAGTTAACAAATGCAAACACTTTTTATGATATAAAAAATCATGATATCAACAATGGTATGTACACAAAATAGCAATATGTAAAGAAAAAATGTATAAAAGTTAATCGGAAATAAAAATTAGCATTTAAACACTCATGATAAGAAGTTAATTTGGAGTATATTTGAACTAAAGCTGTTAAAAAAATAATCTTTATGAGGGTCAGTTCTTATAAACTATTTTCAACATTGTTTGTTTCACTAGCTGGAATCAAAATCGTAACCCACATCATTTGCCGAAAATTTATGCGCTGCGAATTATTTTAAATTAAAAAACACACACAGTAGTAGTTTTTTTAAAAAAATTTTGCAATCCTTGAATTTTTTAGAAGATTTTGTGTTCTCATTCATTTTTACCAATATGTATGGAAAATAAATAATACGAATCGAAAACAATTCCAAAAGTCGTTTGGTTGTGTAAAATTGTATAGTAAATGGTACCAAATATAGATCTGGGTGAATCGATAGAGCTGGAATCTTGAAATTTGGAAATTCATACTTCTGGGTACTAAATTTCGTACAATTCGAATTTTGGTTGAATTGATAAGGATCATTATTTCTCACTATAGCATTTTTGTTTGATTATAAAACACTCTCCCCCAACATCCATTTGAAAACTAAAAATATTGGTATAGGGAGCCCTGACCTAAAGTCGACTATTTAGAAAAATTTATAAAACGGTATAACTTTTCAAATTTACTAACTCATTTAACGCCACCGTCCTTTTATAATAACACCAAAAATGGCAATAGCACTTTTAGAAAACTACCGTTATCTCAATGAATTTCTATGAATTATTTTATTTTGTTGTTTTGTCTTGTTACATACTCTCCTAGTTTCATGCTAAAACAAAATGTTATTCAAAAATATTTATTTATTATTAAAATACGTAAGTTTTAAAATTAAATTTTAGATTTTGAAGACAAAAATCTCAGACTTTATCTAGGTTAAATTTTAGATTTTGAAGACAAAAATCTCAGACTTTATCTAGGTTAAGGGAAAAAAATTTATTTATTTTAAATATCTTTTTTGCATAATTAAATAAAAGCATATTACAGCACCCTGTTCTTAAAAAATAGAAATAGTTACTCATCCAATGAGGCATTGTAGCGTTAATTAGAAACAATAATTACTTGTTGATGCCTCATTCATTTAAAAACAATATAGGTGTGTGAATTTTTTGTGAAACAACAACAATACTCTAACCTTAATAGGATAATTTAATTTGCATGCACGATTGGTAATTGTGGAATGACATTTTAAAGTAAAAGTAATGAAATATATTGAATAAGATTAATAAAGGGGCCAAAATGGCGCAAGGTTGTGCCAAAACCTAATTTTTTGATGAATATTAAACACCAAAATTCACAAAATATTTCGGCGATGATCGATGTACAAAAAAATCGTATGGAAAATAGATCACATACGTCACAACCATAAGTCTATAGGCAATATACTTTTAGGCTCTGACGGACAATTGAATAGGAGGTGGTGTGTGTCGTGATGGCTTTGCTGGCAGGAGGGACACCTATTTAGGGCTCCGGGACAATGCGCTCTCCTTACGAATTGAGGACTTTATTACATCTGTAGCCATTTATGTCTTCGGAGACCGCAAGTTGATGCACGGATTTCATCGCGTTCGCTATCGACAATTCCGATGGAATGACGTCTTGAATACCATCATGATAGCGCCTGAAGTCCTGACGGATGTGTCACGGAGGTAGATCTGAATGTTTGAATTTTTTACTACGGAACTCTGCGAAGGCTTTCCGTCCATTAAGGTAGTTGGCTAGCTTGATATCACTCGGAGGGGTGAATTTGTGATGTCGAATATCAAATAGGAATGATCGACCGTATCAAACCCATTGGACAGATCTAAGGCTGCCACAATGGTCCGTTCAGGTGGTCGTCGCTGTTTGAGGCCATTCGCAATCTTGTTGTTCTATATGTTTCCCTGAAACCATGTTGATGGGCAGCAAGAGCGAAATGCTGTTTCAGAGACGGATGAAATAGAAACTCTAAAACCTTAGCTACTGGTGAAAGAAGTGAAATCGGGCGGTAGGTTTCCCCTTAAGTAGCGGATTTAACAACTGTGACATATATAACTTTAGTCAGATAACCCAGCCCTATTGCACCAAGCTTCTTTAACATGAACGTGGATATACCATCTGAACCAAGGGCTTTGGGTGGCTTGGATTTGGAAATAACTGTCTCTACCTCACTCTAAGTAAATGATATGGACTGCAAGTCTCTTTTAATATTCATGGATCTCCGGATAACTGCTCGGTTGATCCTATTCAGCGAAGATGGATGCAAAATGAATTGGCGGCAGAACTGCAATGCACATTTTTGGCATCAGAATGTTGAATGTAGTTGAAAGAAATAGCAGCCCGAAATGAAATCCTGTATAGTTTGCAGATGGAGATGAATGACTAGTAATGGATTTTGTATATAATAGGTCTATGTTAATATTTTAAATAAAATTTACTTCTAGTATGTCAATGCTGACATTGTTGAGCTTTTAATGGGTCAAAGGAACCAACACTGTTGCGTAAAAGGTGACAAAATTTGCATCTTATGAAGTAAATGTATATTCCGGAATAGTTATCAGTATAAGAAAGAGAAGCTCTTGACATCTAACCTAATACCAATTCTATTTATGGAACAGGTCGGAGATGTATTATGGGACTACATATTTCAGTGTTTTTTAATATCAAACATCGCGAATTTTTGCCCAATAAGATGCCTTAAATCACAATTAATCATGCAGTAGTTTGCTGAAGAGAATGACGAGTGGATGCAAATCACCTACTAATAAAAAAATACCCCGTTTTACCCACTAAATTATATTTCTTGCCTTTTTCTTCAAACCACAAAAAACAATAACTTAAAATCATAGAGAATCAAAATTTTCTACAATAAACCATTAATTTCACAATGCACACAACTTTCATACATCACTGTTACAACCAGCAGTCAATGCAATTCATATGGTTTTTGTGTGTTTGTCTGGCTGTGAACAATTCAAGCACAAACAAAACACGCACACACACAAACAAATACATTGATTTCTTTAACATCATCATCTCCACCGTCAACACGAAGTCGTACGATGCCACGATGAAAACAACAGCAACAACAACAATGAAACGCAATATTGATGTGGGGAATACTTAAAAACAAAAATAAAAACAACAACAACAAATGGCAACAGTAACAGCCCATCAAACACAACAACAGCAACAAAAGCCAAAACGGATAAAATGAAAGGGAAAATAAAATTCCTAACCTTTAAAATACAACAACAACAATAAAACATTAATAAAGAAAGAAATTCTATTACGTTTCCATTTTTTCCGTATTTTTCATTGTCATCTGTAGCCAACAATATTCCATTCCACTTAATCGGACATTCATATTGCAATTGAAGCTTGTTGCAAAACTTACCGGTTTCATTGTCGTTGGCAGATGCAACATTGGCTGTTCCCGATCCAGACGCTGTTGTAGTACCTCCGCCCTTAACGGGTATATATAGACCATAAAAGGGCATTTTATTTTTAAATCTTGAAAGAAATTCTTCAAAATCTTTTCACTATTGTGATTCTTAGTTTTCGCAGCTAAACAACAACAAAACGACGGTTTCTTCTTTTTTCCCAAATCGTTTGTTTGTCTGCTCGAGCTGAGCTATTTTTTCGTTATTTTGTTTCTTTTCTTCACAAAGCCACCAACAACAAATGAAATTTTTCATTAAATTGATTTGTATTATTTTTCAATTGATTGTATGACGTTAACAACTGAGTGTTTTCCTTTTTAATCCATTTGATTTGTTAAGAAACATTTGTTTAAAGAAATTAAATTGTTTATTTGCAAGCTTTTATTCAATACGTTGAAATATTTTTTTGCCGTCCACTCTCATCGCGTTTCGCGATAATACGATAATATCTTGGTCGATGTTAGAATAATTATTAATCGATTAATTTTTATGCAGCGAATGGAAATCGACATTTTATTGCCAATAGAAGTCGATTGTGTCGACTTTTCAGTCAGGATACAATAGGTTCGTTCGTTTACTCAATAATTTGTAAAAAATGTTGTGAATTGATAGAGCAAATTTGCCTATTCTTGCAGGGAAAATTTACTCAGTAAGAATTTTCTTGTAAGAATTTTCCATCAGCTGATATTTAATCAACTGTTTTGTTATTTTTTTGTAAACAACAAAATTGTTCTCAGGCTGATTGTTAGACGTATCGAGATGCAGCGGCTAAGTTGGATAGGTTATGTTGTGGGAATGGATGAAGATGCCCCACCTCAAAAGGCATATAAAAGCGAACCAGCTGATGGTTCACACAGAAGTGGAAGGCCACAAATTAGATGGAAAGATCAAGTGGAAGACAACATTGCCGAACATGGTCTTTCAAATTGGAAAAACTGTTCAAAAGACCGATGCGCCTGGCATATGGAACGAAAGTTCTGTCACAAGCCAGCTAAGTAAGTAAGCAAGGATTATTCCTGCCGATTCCGCAACAAAACAAAATCTATATGTTATGTTATGAATATAAGAAAAATATGAAAAAAATGAAAATCTCTATATTTAACTAGAATAAACAAATCCCAGCACGCTTACATCAAATGTGAATGAGATCATGTTATAGTTGTCCATATTGAGAGACATTTGAAGAGTTCAGTTTTACATTAGCAATGCTATGCATTTGAGAGAGAGAGTCCATATCGCCATTGCACTGGTCCTATCTTACTTTTACATAGCTTTCGACTAATTCCATTGTTTTCAATATTGTAGGAACTTTTGATTAAAAGTACTTCACACTGGACTATAATTAGTTACTACTTTCGTAAGGTCCAGAATATTTATAGCCAGAAGATGGAATTTATTGATATTATAACATTGATTTCTATAAGCAGGAAAGAGTTAAAGGTAACTGTAAGGATCATGACAGGTCAATTTAAGAAAAAGCCTCTCTTTTCAAAGTGAGATATTTTAGAGGTTGATAAAGAGGAGACGGCAACAATCGAACAATACACCACCAAATCTTTGCAACAGAAGTCATCAAATGTTTGGGAGATGTGAGATAGATACTTTAACCTTTTTCTCCAAATTACACCCCAAATTCATCTACAACTATGACAAAAATTTGTCATGTCTTGGTTGAGTTGTCAGTCCTAACCCTCTACTTTTCCTTCACACTTTCCCTTTTGTTCTATTCTCTACAAAGTCTTTAGGATAATCACAATGAACTATATATGTATCTCCGCGAGAAGAGCATCCTTTTACCTATTCATATATAAATTGAGGGCATTGTTTTTTTTACAGCAAGAGGTGCTAGATTGTATTTCGGTAGCTGTAACTTTCGATGCTTATTTCTTTGGACTTTGGTAAAATATATCTCAAACCATTTTTAACGAAATGTCGTTTATAACGACGATATCCAAATGTCCCGAACAAAGTTTCGGGACATTTCGATTTCGACCGTATTTCTGGTCATGTAGCCCAATATAAGCATGGTGCAAATTGAAGGCATTGTTTAAGCAAAACGTTTTTGTTATTGTACAATGCTGTAGGGGTTTTCAAGAAGAGATGGACTTTGCTAGCAATCACGTTTGAACTTTTTTCTCTGACAAAGAGAAATTACGCCCATAATTATATCTGAAACCTTCTCTGACGAGCTGTCGGATACAACAACAGTATTTGGAATCGCTTATGGCGACCAGTTATAAGAGATTTTGACTTTGCTTCTGATCGTCTACTTAGAGTCACATTTCAGGCTGGATTATTGAAGTACAAGTTATTATGTTATCTTGATTGTACGTGACAAAAAGTACTGATCAAATTCGTTACATACCCAAAAATCGTGTTGCAAACATGGAAAAGGATTTTCTGATACCACATTATGTATACAGATACATATTTTCAATATAGTTTTTTTTTTTGTGTCCAAATAAAAACAGCCGGACATATCTTCTACCTACACAACATGCATGTTACACTAATGTGTGGGACCGAGAAAAATATTTATGCTGCTCAAGTGGTGCACCACGGGATACCTACCCTAAAAAATGTGTTGTAAAAAGATACCTTCTTTAAAAAATGCAATAAGATTTTAAATATAGGTAGTTCTAGATTGTATTAAAGATTCTCAAAATTTTAACTGATCTCGAAAAAATAAAGAAAAACTAATAGTATTCGATTAGAAGTTGAAAGAAAAGGTTCAATGCAAAAAACCCTCACATATTGCTCGAATTTTTTTCTAAACGCTTGACGTTGAACGCATTCATTTAGTAGCACACCATTGCGTTATTTCGGATCGATTACTCAGCTTAATAACGCCAAACGATAAATATCGGCCACTTAGAACAAAGAAGAGACTTTTTATTTTAGTTTGGAAATTATTTATTACATTTTGTGTAAATCCTGGTGTATTGGAATCTCTACAAATATGGAAAACGTTCATATGCAAGATATAATGGAATGTCCCTATGAAAAACATCATCAAATTTTAAGATCACGAATGCAGGTAAATACAAATTGATTGTAATTATAAAGAAGTCTTACTTACATTATCCTTTCTTATTGCTTAAGGTACATTTGACACGTTGCCGTAAAAATCACACGAATGTAAAGAAAGTTACATGTCCTTTTAATGTAACGCATATCCTCAATGAGCCAGAATTAGAGGTAAGTTATTTCACAATTCAAACATCGTAAAATGATATTCATTTTGTGTATTTGTTGTTGTTCTTTTTATTAAAGTTTCACATAAGTTCCTGTCCCGGACGAACATCATTTGAACATTTCCGTAACACTGTAGAGGTTCCAATAAGTCGAACAGTGCCACCACCAATGCCCAAATATGAAAGTGAAGAGAATTGGGATGATGAAAATGTACCTTCTTACAACCCGCAAGCATATGCGGCAAATGCTGATGTTTTACGCTCCATTCAGGGAGCACCACCATCCCAAAGAAAAGCATTTCGTAAACAAGAACGTTTACGTCTTTTAGGGATTGATAATAATTAGTGTTTGTATACATATGTTTATTTGTATGTTTATATGTTGTAAGTGACATACTGATGAATGATGTTTTAACAATGTTTCTATTTTGTTTATTATTCAATGTTCGATAATTTACTTACAATCATCTTATAAATGTTAATTTTTTTAGAATTTGAAAGTGTTTTTATATATTTCAGAAAGTTTATATTGTGACGATTATATTTGTAAATTAAGAAATGTTTGTTCGTAATTTTGTTATATTAAGTACCAACAAAACTAAAATAAACAGACGCTTTTATACATTTTTAAATATTGTATTGATATTTTATATAGTTGAAATCTTGATTTCTTGGGCTAACGCAGTTTACAATAAAGCAAGGTAGATAAGATATTTTCGAAATTTTTCTTTACAAAGTTTTACCAGTTCTCATGTACGTGATCGTAATATTTTTATTACATTCCTATTCTCGAACCTAATCATGTGTGAAAATGTACCCTTTCCATAATCGGGTACATTCTCGAAAATTTTCTTTACAAAGTTTTACCAGTTCTCCTGTACGTGATCGTAATATTTTTATTACATTCCTATTCTCGAACATAATCATGTGTGAAAATGTACCCTTTCCATAATCGGGTACATTCTCCACAAAAGAATCACTTAGAATATAAAGCACAGTCTGCCTGGCCCTTTTGTAAAAACGACACAGTTTAGAAATAAATAACCAGTAAGGAAGATAGTAACGTAGACTAGGCTGACTATATGATACCCGGACGAAATATGTATAGAAAAATTTTTTCAGAAACATAGCACGCATCATTCTAGACTCAATTCAGTACGCTGTGCCAAATTTATTGCAAATCGAAAGATATTTAGGGACTTTGTTGCATCATTTACCTTAAATCGGACGAAAATAGATATGGGAGCTATATTTAAAGCTGAACCGATTTTTTCCCATTTCGTCCTTGAGTCAAATAAATGAGCTGTGCCAAATTTCATCCAATTCGAATCATAAATGCGATCTGTACTTTGTTTACAATTTAACATGGACAGACAGACGGACGGACATGCATAAATCGACTTAGTAAGTGATTCTATGTATATTCTCAAAAGGAATATATATTCTCGATATCGGTTTACTTTTGAGGATATTCCCAATATAACGGTACCTCAATTATTCGATAATTTGAGAATTTTTGACGTGTTTTTCAACCAAAATGTCTGTAATTTTGTGGTATAAGTACCCATTGGGAGCAAATCTCCCTACCGAACATTATTGAAATCGATTCCCCTGTGCTTTAAGTGGGCCACACACGTCAAACATGTGCGTTCGATCGGTGTGAAGCTCCTAGCCCACACACGTCAAACGGATCCACAAAACTTCATTTATTATTTATTTTTGAAGCGTTAAGATGGACAGCGATAGTGATGACGGAAAAAAGACCAAATATTTTTATTTAATATAAATGTATTAAATATTTTTATTTTATTCCAGAAAAACATTTTTATTTTCCACACAGTAGAATATGTGTAAAAAAACATCAAAAAATTTTCCAAAACGTTTTTTTCATATGTTTGACATTGTCCGCTGATCCGCACTCCACGAAATTTCGCAACAAATGAGAAAATATCCACACACCAGGCCACAGACGTCAAACATGTGCGCGTCGCACAACGAAAAATTAAAAATTTTTAATTTCTTTCGATCGGTGTGCGCACCGGCAAATCGGTGTGAACACCGTACCACACACGTCAAGCATTGCTTCGATTCACACCGATCGAACGCACATGTTTGACGTGTGAGGGCCACTTTACCGCCAAACATTCTATATTTTGGGGATTTTTTGCACGCTTTTAAACCGAAGTGTCTGCAATTTGGTAGCAAATCTCTACTAAAAATGATTTTTGGTCCACTTTTGAATATAGCCCCAATATAAGAATTGGGAGTTTGGGCATATTTTTTATCCGAATTGGCTACAATTTAGTATTTATTGAAATCAGTCCACTTTGTACCACAATACCCGGAATAGAATTTTACTTGTTTAAGCCGTATGACTAATGTTAATTCTGTAAAAAAATATCATAGATATTAATTTCAGGATGTAGAAATATTTTCGAACCGCTGTACTGTACTCACTGTGTCTTGATCGTCCAGTAATATTTTTAAGTATATCTTGGCAACCCTGCTTAGCAGCAGTTGTGCACGTGCATTTGTTTGTAAACAAATCGTTCGTTGTAGGAAACTGAGCAAAGGCGCAGGCAGTGCAACAAAGCCTTAAAAATTTTTAGTGTAATAACAAAATTTAAATTAGTAGCAGTAGCTAAAAAATTCTCAAAATGTCATCAAGTGATTCGGAAGATGAGGAGCAGATGAAAATGTTTTTGGAAGCCTCAGACACAACACTGCTGAACAATGATATGTTTAAGGGCAAAGTTGAAGAGGAAACAAATGACAATAAAAATGTTGGGATAAATGTTGTGATCACAAAGAAAGAGGAAGGTACGTATGGAAATTTGAGCAACTACGGTTCAAAACACGTCTAGACAAAGGATCGTACATTAATTCACCTTCCTTTACAGATAAACCCAAGTCCCAACGTTACCTTGTAGACGAAGAAGACACAACCGGAACAGATTTTAATTTACCCGAATCTATGCAAAAACATTTGGCTAAAAAATTCAATGATATCTTAAAGGAAAAATACGAATTCTGTGAAGTAGTACAGGAAGAATCAAACAAAAAGAAGACTAAAACAAAAAGTCGTGTTCGCCTATTGAATGGATTTGAAGATTATGTAAAACCCTATGAAGAATTTGAATATGAAACGAAAGGTCCTGATCGAAAGCCGGAAATCAAAAGAAGAATAATTGAAAATACTAACGCAGATGATGAAGAATGTCTTAAACAAATAGCCATAGACGGAAATGATATATTGTCCGGCAAAGAAATGAAATGTTGGGCAAAGAAAAAAGAGCGAAAAGATAAAATATTTCATTATCGCTTGGGGGCAAATGATATTTGTCATGCCAAAGAAGTTGTCAATGAATTTACACCAATTAGACGCAAAAATCATTGGAGTGAAAATAAAATAAAAGATTTTAAAATTGTTAAAAAGTAGAATGTGGCGATTTTATTAAAGATTTCTTTAGGAAGTTCATTTAGATTGGTTTAGAAGAACTCAAGTCGAACGTAGGAAAATGTATTGTCTGTTCTAGAACTTGCAAAAATTTACAACTTTTTACTAAAATAAGGATTTTGTCTTTCAAAAAAATAGAAAGAAATAGGAGCAGGTCAATTGTTTTCAAATATTGAAATTTATGAATAAATAACAAGGTAAAACTTTTGGCCTGTTCCCGTACTGCAAGAATCTACTATATTTTACTATTCTCTACGCTATTATAAAGGAAAATTTATTATCGAAGTAACAAGTAGTATATTCTTGCAGTATGGGTACAGACCATTTGATATGAAGAAAAGTTCACTTGAAGAACCACCAAAGTCTCTGAATTTTAAATTACAGCCACTACGTAATTCTAAAATGGAAAATGCGCCTAGGACAACGAAAATACCTATAGAAGGAATTGGCCTTAAATGGCGTGTACAGTTTTATTGAAAACCAAAGCCAAACTCCACAAATACAAATTATTAAATGTAAATGCCCAGCTAACAATTTCTTCCTATTTTTTCGAAACTCTGCACAAATCAGAACAAAATTGTGTAAAGGTGCCCAAGAATTAGGAAAGTTTTATCGAAAAAATCGAAAGGATTATTCGAGTTTCTTAACGAACTCGAAGAAAAAAAACGGGGAATTTTCGATATTCTTAACAAATTCGAAAAAAAACTCTAAAGGGACATTCGAAAATGGGCAGAAAATATGACGATTTTCGGATACGCTTTCAAAAGTTAAAAAAAAATATCAGAATTTGATCTGAAATTTGGAAGATTATCGGGTATTTGATCGGGAGTTTTTTTTTGTTATTGTAAACAAAATATGCACAGTTAAATTTTTGTTTCAAAAAATCTACGATTATTAAGTCTAGGTTTATACATGCAACTTTTTTAAGCAACTCTGCTGCTGCTCTCTGCGATTTTTTTTTAATATCTTCTCCTTGTCACTTTTTATACCTCTCACTTCTAAGAACTCAGCAGAGTTGCTTATAAAAGTTGCATGTATAAACCCAGATTAAGTCCCTCAGAAATATGTCAAAAAAGTTACGCTTATTGTTCTTATAGTCACTCAGATATGCTCTTAAAACGGCTATTCTTATTGGTCAGATAGTCCCTCAGAAATGTTCTTTTCAAATCCACGCTTATTGTGCTGATAGTTCCTCAAAAAAGAATATATAAAAAATCACGCTAACTACCCTTAGAGAATACTTTTCAAATCCTATTGCGCCGATATTATTATTATTTATTAAATTGTAAATTCTGAATAAATATAAATGCTGTCCAGTTGCCTTGAAAACATTCTTTAAGTATTCACGCTCACAGCTTTATTAGTCATATAACGAAAGCACTTCTAAAAGTCCATTCAAATTTATTAATAAATAAGATAGGCCTTCAAAATATATTTATTTCTAAATTAATTCATTCACAATAAACATAGAAAAAATGTACAACTGCATTCACAATAACCCCTATCAACAATCAGCTGTTTAATACAACGTACGTTACGACATTGACTAATTTCAACTTTTTTTACACAAACATCAACGTCAGCGTAAACAAATGAACTGTCATCGAATGTCTATTGTGATTGGTAAATTTTCTAATCTTCATGAATTACATTTAGAAAGGAAACGCTAATTTGTTAGTTTTAAACATTTAATTAAATAAATGTTAATAAATTTATTGTCGCATATCCCCTCAGCCGTCAAGTAGTTAGAGTGAAAGTGAACAAAAATGGATCACAGGAGTCTGCATGCTCCTGTCGACTTTAATAAGGTAAGGCCCAACACAACACCTTTACAATATTTCTTTGGAATGAAGAAAAACTACCCCAACATTTGTGTTTTCTTTTTATTTTTAGTCCATCGATGAGATGACACCAGAGGAGAAACTAAGGTATAATTAACAAACAAATTATGCTGCCCATAAACTGGGTCAGCCAAGAAACATACAAAAATGTAATGTTTTCTTTTTGTTTTTTCATTGTTTCCTTTGATTAGATATGATCACCAGATGATGCACGAAAAACACAAGGGTCATGAAGCAATGCACTCGGAAATTGTGCTAATTTTATTTGTAACATTAATTATAGCACAAATCGCTTTAGTACAATGGAAAACGAAACATTATAGATCATATTCGGTAAGTTGGTTTTTGGAAACAAATGCGTGTGTGTGTTTGGGGTTTTTAATTTTGGTAACAAAATTCGTTGTCACGATTCAGGAGATAAGATAAGAAGACTTCAACCGTCAAGGTATTTGTTTATATTGAAACGAAATTCAGCACAGCAAGAGTGTGCGGAAACTATACTTTTAATTTGGATATTTTATTTTGTATAAAGTGATACATTTTTAATGTAGATAGTTCGGGAAATGGAACTTAAAATTCCTAATGGCCGGAATAAATATTCCATTAATTTAAAAATAATTTTTAGATCTAAAAATTAGTTAATTCAAACGTTTGATCCTACTTAAATTGGGATATGTCGATAGCCTATATATGGAATAGTATTTAAAAAAGAAAACACTAATGCATCATTTTTGAGCTGCAATCAGAGCTGTGAATAATGGATATTTTAGGAATAATTTTTGAGGTTCTGTCAGGACTATAAAGGGTAATATATTAAAAAGTCCAAGGGACCACCTGTATTTTTATACCATCCACCATAAGGTGGAGACCCCACAAATTATATATTTTTGATCACAATAAAATTGTATGTCGATTTACACATGCCCGTCTGTTGAAATCACGATATAGATATGATAGTGCTCTGAAATTTTGCACTCCTAGGATTTTGGTATTGCAAATAAGATATATCGGTGGTCCCCACTTTTGGGATTTGAACAGGGGTTTCAATCGAATTGGTTGTAATTTGGCATTTTGGTTTCTCATTGAATAACTGTACCAAAAACTATAAATATTGACCCAAATTTCAGGGTAGCTCCCATATAACGGTACACCCCAAAAATATCAATATTGATCTACGTTTTATTATAGTCCCATATAACGGTAGTCCCCCTATTAGATATTTTGACAATTTCAATCATATTTTTGTCACGTATTTTTCCTTTAATGACATGAGCTTTCTCCAAAGAGCTCCCATTAATTTTAGATATTTTGATTGTCATCCTCATAGTGGAGGGCATAAAAAGATAAAAAGATTTTTTAAAGAATATTTTTGAGTGGATCTTTAAGAGTGGATTTTTAAGAATATTTTTGAGGTTATATCAAATCGTAAACTAGAATATTTTTGAGAATAATTTTATGGTTGTTTTAAGAAAAATGTTCAAGGGACTATAAACTAAAAGTGTAAATATTTTGGAAATATTTTTGAGCAGATATCTGAACTTTAAAGCGTAGTTTTCGAGAGGTAATCAAGTATCGATATTTTGAACATATTAAAGACATACATATTTTAAGAATTCGTTAAGGTTTATCAGGAATTTTTGATGGAGTATCAACGCTATTAACCAGATTGTTTAAGGATATGTAGTTTAGGACCTATTTTAATATAGAATATATTAATTAAAATATGTTGTTTATTTCTTTTCAGGCTGTCACATTGCTGGCAATGTGGATTATACCATTAGGCATATCATTCTTCTATGGTTTCATACGTTTTATAATTATTTGGTCGATATTTTCGATTATTACAGCCGTAGTAATAAGAAAAGCTATAAGTAAACCAATTGAAGGATCAACGCCAAGGTAAAAATATATTAAAATTAAATAATCTTATAATTTTTTTACTAATTTGTTTATGTTTTGTTCTTATTTCAGATTGGTCTACAAATGGTTTTATTTCATCTATAAATTAAGTTATGGTTTGGGTATTGTCGGCTATCTGATAATGATGGCCACATTTTTGGGCTTTAATTTCATATTTAATCAGGCTCCGAATGTTTGGATGGATGTTGGCCTAATGTTTGTATTCTATGGCCTTTATATTGGTGTCTTGGGTAGAGATATTTCAGAGATTTGTTCCGAAAGAATGGCATCGTTAGTGGGGGTATGTAAATAAATATCAACAATAATTTTATAAATGTAATTTTATTTTTTTTATAATTTTCCCTTTTGCAGTACTACACCCCCCAAGGAATCCCCACTAGACATTTGGAGGAAAATGTTTGTGCCGTGTGTGGTAATCAGTTGTTGGTTAGTGAAAAAGAAGAAGGCATAATCGAGAATACCTACAAGCTGTCATGTAATCATGTATTTCATGAATTCTGTATACGTGGCTGGTGTATTGTGGGTAAAAAACAAACGTGTCCTTATTGCAAGGAGAAAGTTGATCTTAAGAAAATGTTTTGTAATCCGTAAGTTAAAAAACAACAAATTTAAACGTATCGAAACTTGATTTTAATTATTGTACTTCCTTTTGTTTTCTTTTTAGCTGGGAACGCCCTCATGTCCTCTATGGCCGTTTATTGGATTGGATACGCTTTTTGGTGGCATGGCAACCATTAATATTTTTCATTGTTCAGGGAATCAATTATGCTTTAGGCTTAGAATAGTAATCAATTCCCTAAAATTCTAGTCAAGCTGTAGTTGTACACACACACACCAACTCATACCTATAATTATATACATTTATATATATAAAAAATAGAAAATATTTTTACATGCCATTTTTTTCTCGTTTTGATTAATTTTTGTTTGTCCATTATTTATTTTTGTTCCCACCAAAAAAACAAATGCAAACTTTTTTCTTTTATAAGTTATTTAGATAAGGTATAAAGTCAACAGAAAGTGTGTATAATTTAATTTTATACAAACAAAATAAAAAACAAATAAAATAAAACAATGCCTTTCGAAAAAAATTTATTGTCTTAATAAATTCGTGAAACTTTACATTCTTCAAATTTCCTTAGAATTTATGTCGGATGTTACGATGTACTTTCATATGCCATCAGGACCTTAGCATAAAGTCATCAATACAAAGAAAGAAGTTTAAAGAAAATATATATACGATTTTTTAAATAAAATTTTTGAGGTGATATCAGAAATATAAACGTGGATTTTTAGAGAATGTTTTTGAGGTCATATACCGGCTAAAAGTGTGCATTTTTTGAAGAATATTTTTGAGGTAATATGAAATATATAAGCGTGGGTTTTTTTAAAGTATATTTTTGAGGTTAAATCATGTCTATAATCGTGGATTTTTTAAAGAATGTTATTGAGGTTATATCAAATTACAGGCGTGAATTTTTTAAAGAATATTTTTTTGAGGTTATATCAAATCTATAGGCGTGGATTTTTTAAAGATTATTTTTTTTTAGGTTATATCAAATCTATAGGCGTGAATTTTTTAAAGAATATTTTTTTGAGGTTATATCAAATCTATAGGCGTGTATTTTTTAAAGAATATTTTTTTGAGGTTATATCAAATCTATAGGCGTGGAGTTTTTAAAGAATATTTTTTTGAGGTTATATCAAATCTATAGGCGTGGATTTTTTAAAGATTTTTTTTTTAGGTTATATCAAATCTATAGGCGTGGATTTTTTAAAGAATATTTTTATAGGTTATATCAAATCTATAGGCGTGGATTTTTTAAAGAATATTTTTTCGAGGTTATATCAAATCTATAGGCGTGGAGTTTTTAAAGAATATTTTTTTGAGGTAATATCAAATCTATGGGCGTGGATTTTTTAAAGAATATTTTTTTGAGGTTATATCAAATCTATAGGCGTGGATTTTTTAAAGAATATTTTTTGAGGTTATATCAAATCTATAGGCGTGGATTTTTTAAAGAATATTTTTTGAGGTTATATCAAATCTATAGGCGTGGATTTTTTAAAGAATATTTTTTGAGGTTATATCAAATCTATAGGCGTGGATTTTTTAAAGAATATTTTTTTGAGGTTATATCAAATCTATAGGCGTGGATTTTTTAAAGAATATTTTTTTGAGGTTATTCAAATCTATAGGCGTGGAGTTTTTAAAGAATATTTTTTTGAGGTTATATCAAATCTATAGGCGTGGATTTTTTAAAGAATATTTTTTTGAGGTTATATCAAATCTATAGGCGTGGATTCTTTAAAGAATATTTTTTGAGGTTATATCAAATCCATAGGCGTGGATTTTTTAAAGAATATTTTTTGAGGTTATATCAAATCTATAGGCGTGTTTTTTTAAGAATATTTTTTTGAGGTTATATCAAATCTATAGGCGTGGATTTTTCAAAGAATATTTTTTGAGGTTTTATCAAATCTATAGGCGTGGATTTTTTAAAGAATATTTTTTGAGGTTATATCAAATCTATACGCGTGGATTTTTTAAAGAATATTTTTTTGAGGTTATATCAAATCTATAGGCGTGGATTTTTTAAAGAATATTTTTTTGAGGTTATATCAAATCTATACGCGTGGATTTTTTAAAGAATATTTTTTTGAGGTTATATCAAATCTATACGCGTGGATTTTTTAAAGAATATTTTTTTGAGGTTATATCAAATCTATACGCGTGGATTTTTTAAAGAATATTTTTTGAGGTTATATCAAATCTATACGCGTGGATTTTTTTAAGAATATTTTTTTGAGGTTATATAAACAATATTTTTTGAGGTTATATCAAATCTATAGGTGTGGATTTTTTAAAGAATATTTTTTGAGGTTATATCAAATCTATAGGCGTAGATTTTTTAAAGAATATTCTTTTGAGATTATATCAAATCTATAGGCGTGGATTTTTTAAAGAATATTCTTTTGAGATTATATCAAATCTATAGGCGTGGATTTTTTAAAGAATATTCTTTTGAGATTATATCAAATCAAATATATAATACGGCTAAAAGCGTGAATTTCTAATAGAATATTATATATTATATACCGATTAAAAAACATTTTAACTAATATTTTTAGGTTATAAAACATTGATTTTAAAGTGGATTTTTTAAAGAATATTCTGAGATTATATCAAATCTATAGGCGTGATTTTCGGAAGAATATTTTTATAAGTTATATACCGCGTAAATGCGAATATTTTTAGGTTATAAAACATTGATTTTAAAGGAATCTTTTTGAGGTACTGTACCAGCCATAAGCGATGATTTTCGGAAGAATATTTTTAAAGTTATATACCGCGTAAATGCGAGATTTTTTAAAGAATTTTCGATGTCCTGCCACATTTTTGATATTTTAATGGCATTAGCCACATTTCCGCACCCAATGAACTGTAATTTGGCATTGCGGAATTTTAGAGGCTGCAATACATCTAGGCAGAAAATTATCAATAGAGATCTCTATTTTCATATAGGCTCCACATAGGTACTGTGAAATTTGGCAGTCTGGATTTTTTGAGGCTGACATCTATATAAAAGTCCCAACCCACATTCCGAGTTTTTAGGTTTTAAAGCGCATTTTCCCACCAAAGTAGCTTTCGGATTAAAAAAAAATAAATCATGTTTGCCGAATTTTCGGTTCCTAGCCTAGTTTTCCAACTTAGATGTCTATAATTTGGTACTTAATTTTCTAAGATCATGGTCTCTATAAATGTCCCGAACTTTTTTATGAATTTTTAAAATACAACAAATAGAGGATGTTATAAAAAGTTCAGAAAAAAATTCGTCGGGACCCTAGGTCCGTTTTTTCTGTAGAAAAAAAAACTCGTCGGGACTCTAGGTCCGTTTTTTCCTATAGAAAAACATTCGCCGGGACGCTAGGTCCGTTTTTTATATAGAAAAAAATCGTCGAGACCCAAGGTCCTTTTTTTCTATGAAAAAAAATCGTCGGGACCCAAAAAAAAAATCATCAGAGGTAAAGGATTAGAGAAAAAAACAATACAATACTTCTTTTAAAATATTTAAAAAGTCAACGAATATTTTTGCATTCGAAACAGCGATGAAAAATTCCTTCAAACTTTTTAACTAATGCATGTCAAAATAATATACGATTTTCTGCATTTTTTCCATTTTGTACAATTATGCGCTGATTTTTATTTGGTATTATAAATAAATATGTATGTAGTATATATTGATATATTGTCATTAGCTCACATTTCAAAATTGCTTTTAAAGTTTCACTGTATCTCTTTTTTATTTTCGAAATATATATGTATATGTCTAACATTTTTCTTTTTTTAATTATAAATTAACAAATAACAGTCATTTTATTTTTAAATAATTGCTACAAAACAAAAAATATATATATAAAATAAAAACAATTAAAATGGGCTAATTTTTACTTTTTTTAATATATAGCATGAACTCAGTTCGAGGGAATAGAAGTAGGAAAAATAAAACAAATAATCACAACGGGGGTATTTGTTATTGGCTTTCTTTTTTTTATGTTTTTGTTAAAGCGTTGTGTGCAGCAACAATGAACTTAATTTTTATTTCGCAGGAATATCAACAATGTAATGTTTATACACATCATACTTTTATATATAGTAGTCTTTATAAATATCTATATGTATATAGAGGCACTGAAAATTTATGAAATATTGTGTGTGTTTCAGAAATTTAAAAATAGTAATAAAAATAGGAGTTGGTTGCAGCAAATTATACAAAGCATAGTACATACAGAATATAAGTAATAATAATATTTATGTCATATATTTTTTACAATTTCTCTGTTGCTGTTTTAGAACAGTTAAGTATTTATAATTTCAGTGATGCTCAGCAATAGTTCTGTAAAAACAAATTCTAATATTTAAAAATAAAGAAAACAAAAATCAAAAGGAATAAAAATAACAAAAAAGGGAACTTAATAACTAGAAGCTCCGATCATTGTGCGTATTTGTTCGAACGACAGCCAGAATGTCAGAGACCAAGGGGCCATGCGAATCCAACAGGGCAAGAAACCTTTATAGAGCGCCGTAAAACCTTCTTTGTTGACAGTTTGGCGTAGACAGTCTATGGAACCCTTATACAATAGTCCTCTGCAAGAGTAATAAACAAATTGGATAGTATTAAAGTAAAATGGAAATAAAAAACAGGAAAATATATATGGGAGCCAAATGTCGTGCAAATCAAAGAATATATAGGGACTTTGGTGCACCATTTACATTAAATTAAAAATCCAATCTTTTTGTCCTGATAGTTTCTTTAGAAATTGTTTTAAAATGCCCACATTTATTGCTTTAGAAAATAGTTCTGAATTAACCATTGTTATTGCTCTGATGGTCCTCAAAAATTTGTATGAAATATCTACGCTCTTTAAAAATCTGACCTTATTAGCTATCAAAAGAATTCTTAAAAATTCCACATAGTCCCTTTACAATATTCTTAAAAAATACTGTTATTTCGCTTCGATTAACTTTAAAAATAAATTTAAGAAAAATGCTCTGAAAGCCCGTCAAAAATAAATCATAAAAAATTGAAGTTTATTGTCATCAATTTATTTGCGTTTAATTTAAACAGAAAAATAGTAACTTTCCAAAAGGAAATTTCAAAAAATCCCAGACTATTGTAAAAGATTAGATAATATTTTCTTAGGCATACATTTGAGACACATGAGGTGTGAGATTACCTAACCTTGTATTCCCAAAACAATTGTTCACAAAAAAAAAAAAAAATCGTATACAGTTATTATTTTTAATACAACTAAAATAACACATTGAAAATAGTGGCAAATAATGGAAAAAGAGTGTCGCGTGGTTTTATTAACTCACACACAATAATAAATTTTATAGCCCAGACGATAATCAAAATTATGAGCTAACATTTCAATTACTCTTTTTTTTGCTATATAGTTTCGCATGCAAACATACTGTCTGTCGTTAGGTCTGGTCTGCCTACCGATAGTTGTTGACAAGTTAAAATTTTCCTTATTCTTTTCCAGAACAAAATAATAATGGGTCATTATTTGTCATAAATACAACATCAATTTGACCGACATGTTGCCTGCCGACTGTTAAAAGTTTATAAAAATAATCATGTTTTTCTTGTTGTTTTTGCCAATTTTTGTTTGGTTTTTTATCAAAGATTTTTTTACTGATTAGCAATCAATCAAATCATAGAGATGTTTTTGGCAACGAAAACAAACCGTGCCTCCATTATTAGACAAAGAGAAAAACATATTGTTGTGATAAGCCAAACATTAACCAGAAGAAGAAGAGGTAAAAAGTGCTAATTACCGCAGTAGTGGCGTTTATTAATCTTGACAAATATATATAAATTATTTACTTTTTTCAAACATTTGATAATAAATAGCCAAATTTATAATCTGTTACGTTTTCTTTTTTTTGCGTAGATCATTATTTATCGGTGATAAGAATTCAAAACAATGATGGGAAGGTTTCATTTCACATATGGAATGTTTATTATTCACTACGAAGTAATGTGGAATTTTTATTTTAATTTTTTGGGATAGATAATATAAGAAAAAATCTGTGATTACAGCCTTATTCTGGATGTCCGCTAGTGAGAGATCTCTCTTGTGAACAATTTTCGCTTTCAGTTTCTCGCCTTATTCTGAACGAATAGGGAGAAGGATATATAGGACTTTGGGGCACCATTTACCTTAAATCGGACCAAAATATATATATAGGAGCTATGTCTAAATCTGAACCGATTTTTATACCCTACACAACAATATTGTCAGGGTATTATTGCTTTGTGAAGCCCCGAGAGTTTGTAACGCCGCGAAATATTGGTCCTAGACCCGCCTTTAAGTAGGGGCCCCCCTCTCCTTTGAACACTTTTTGCTTTCAAGCCTTATAAAATTTTTTATTTTATAATTTTTGGTTTCTTATAAATTTTAACTAATAGGTACATATGTAACCTTTAAAATGAATATTCATATGATATACTATAAGCTTGATAAATATATTTTATTACTGTTTTAATGGACGAACTCAAAGTGTTCAAAACTGCCCCCCAGGGGGGCAGGTTTGAACAAAGGTTGACATTTTTGAACGACATGTTTTTTACAGTGTTTATGTTCAAATATGTATGTATTTTATTCATATATATCATAAATACATTAATTCATTAAAAAATATATAAAAAATGTTCAAAATTTAAAAAATTTAGATCAAAAGTTATTAAAACATTAAATGACTTAAAAACAAAAATTAATATGGTGAAAAATACAGTTAATTTCGTAATCTTATTGGCCCATTTGAAATTTTGAGAAATCGAAGCCAAAAGTTAAAAACTCATTTTTTTACTCGAGTTTAATGGGCATGTTCAAAGGTGCCCCACCCATGGCGTTTTACGGAAATTTAAAATAACTTTTTTGTAATAAATATATATGAAAAAAATTACATTTGTTATGTTTGAAACGATTGTTGGAATGCAAAAAAATTGTTTGACGAGAGAAAACAATCACAAAATTCTTCCTGCGCCCTTACAACCAAGTGAATAAAAGTTTACAATGACACTGAGAAAACATGGTCACCCATGCACAATTTTTCGACAACTGAAAAAGCAAGCCAAAGTGGTTTACGCATATTGAGAACAAGATTGCAATATACAAAAATGTGGTTGCGGGTCGGAAAAATATTAAACCAAGATTTTATGAGCGCTGTTCAAAGGCGCCCCACGTTCAAAGGTGCCCCCCTCTCCTTTATACTGATCGTCATATATCCACTAGCGATCTAGACATGTGTGTCCGTCCGTCCGTCTGTCCATTATAATTTGTAAACACGATACAGGCCACAATTATTCACGAAATTTTGCATGTAGGGTGGATTCTGGCCAATGATTTTTGTCTGATTTTCTGGTCGCTCCAGAGGCTGCAATTATGGCCCGAACATCACGAATTTTTACATGGAGAAGGGGATCGGGCTAAAGAATAAGCGTGCTTGTTTTGATTTGGTCAATATTTAGCGGGTCAAATGACTTTAGTGTGAAAAATTTCAAAATTTGTATTCTATGGCGTATATATATAATCCTGAACAATATAGACTCGATATATTTCTCGATATTATAGACAATATATTTCTTGAAAATCGGTTCGTACGATTTAAGGTAAATTATGCTCCATAGATCCTATATATTCTTTCCTATGTATATTTGCACGCAATTTCGCACATCGTACTGAATTAAGCCTAAAATGAAGTGCGCAAGGTTCCTGAAAATCGGTTCAGATTTAGATATGGCTCCCATATCATTAACAACAGCACGAACATGAAAAGATTTTCTTTGAAATTTTGTCAACTAGTGTTTTCCGATTATTAAATTATTCACATTACTAGTGTTTTCCGATTCTTAAATTATTCACATTATTTATAAACAATTTATACCAAATATAAAGCGTCCATTTAAGTTGTTAATGTATATCGAGACGATGTAAAAATTAACAATTTATACAAAGTTAATGAACCAGACTATATGCAAATACAATTAAAAATATTTGCTGGTCGCAAAATACATACCTGCCCTTTTCATCTGTCGGCTGATTCATAACTCTTGTTTTGACCACATCGGCAGGTGTGCCCAAAAATGCTGCAACAAAGCCGGCACATATTGATGCCAATACGTGAACCGTATGACAATCGGGCATGTGTAATTTATTCATAATCATATGTTTAATTGTATCATAAGTGGTTAGATCACCTGGCAGGCGAAAAAATGCAAATCAAATAAATAAACAAATAAAAAATAAAATTTTTCTTTATTTACCTAAATTAACTAAAGCGGCACGCTGTACATTCGGTATACTGCCTTTCCACAGACCCTTGATACCACCACGACGAACAATCTCGCGGAAGGCATGAGCAGCACCATGAACTCTTGGTGGCTCACCCATGAGGCGACGTTTACCTTCCATTTGTATTTGTACTTTAACTAAATCGGCTGGAGAGGCCAGCCACTGTGCCAGACCGCCAGAGGAAACACCACACAGTGCTGATTTCCACAGGGGTAGTGCTACATTTTGGCCTTTATCGTTTTTGCCCAATTCTTTGCGTAAAAAATCGTAAGTACATATTCGTACACCACTGCAATATAAATTACAAGAGAAAATAAAATCTCATTACATATATGAAATGGTATTTGAAATGTTAGTTAGGTTTTCTTTTGTTTGGGTACTTACCTATATACAATGTGTCTATATAAGGCTGGAGTAACACCTTGCCATAACTTGAGGGGGCCTTCTTCTTTGACAATGCCAGCCGCTGTTGCCATCATACCACGATATTGAACCTACAGACATATTTTTTTATATTTGTTGTTATTATTATAAAAAGTTATACTCAACGAAATATAGATGCAAGTTAATTGTTAATAACTGAATGAAGAGGCAAATGAATGGACAACATTCGACCAATGTACGTCAGTCACTCGATGGTGACAATTAAAAATTTACAAATTGGTTTTTTTTTCTTGGGAAATTTACAATACAGTGTTTCTAACCTATAAAACTCAATTATTGGCAAAATGGCTTTTTATTCAAAATAATATCCTGATACAATGGTTATAGCGAACCGAACCTCCAACATTTTTAGATTCCATTCTTTTGATATCTTGGAGCAGGAAATAGTCGTCAGGGACTTGATCTAATGAATACGGAAAATGAGGATTATTTCGATGAAAGAATATTTTTATAATGCTTTATTTCGAAATAATCTCTAAAAAGTAGATATTATCGATTAGAATAAAACTGTATGGGTTGTACAGGTCGCATTTTTGATCCCAATTGGATGAAATTTAGCACAGCTCATTTATTTTGCCCAAGGACGAACCATATTGAAATTGGGTAAATCGGTTCAGATTTAGATATAGCTCCCATATATATTTTCGTCCGATTTTAGGTAAATAGTGCACCTTATATCCTTCGATTTGCACGAAATTTGGAATAGCGTAATGAATTGAGTCTAGAATGATGTGTCTTAAGTTTCGTGAAAATCGGTTCAGATTTATATAACTCCCATATACATATATTTTCGTCCGATGCTAGGTAAATAGTTCACCAAAGTCCCTTTATATCCTTCGATGTACACGAAATTTGGCATAGTATGATGAATTGAGTCTAGAAAGACTTGTTTTAAATTTTGTGAAAATCGGTTCAGATTTAGATATAGTCCGATTTAGGTAGATAGTGCACCAAAGTCTTTTTATATCCTTCAATGTACACGAAATTTGGCATAGCGTAATGAATTAAGTCTGAAATGATGTGTGTTAAGTTTCGTGAAAATCGGTTCAGATTTATATATAACTCACATATGGCCACTTCCGCAGTCGCTTACACGACTTTCAGAGACAAAATCAAAATTTAAATATTAAATAAAACAAAAATTTTTTAGAACTTTAGGAGTAGAGAATTCTTAACTTTTTAAAAGCCATAAAAGACGGTTTTTTTGTAGACAACTATTAGGAGTACTGCGAATTGTGTGAATATTTTAAACTTTTAATATTATTTACATGAATAAGAGATACCAAGCATTATTATTGCACTTACTATTCTTTATTTGCGAAGGACTTTTGATTTTGCATAAAAGCCACAAAAGAAAAAATAACAAATGTGGTCTTTCTTTTTATTTTTTGCCTTTACGTAAGCACAATTAAAGGAACAAATTCTTCGTCTTTGGTTTACCTTTTTCAATATATACATGACTTTATGTAAATTGTGCACTTACAAACATTAAAAATATGACACAAATTTTGTTAATATAATTTAGTCACAGTTAATATAGAATAATTTCTGGCAATTTTTTTTTTTTTTTTTTTGAAATTGGTTCAGCCACTCACTCGATATATATTTTTGTTTGACATTGTTGATTTTTTGCTTTTTTTATTTTTCTGCAGACCACATTGAAGAAATTAATAATCTACATTTTAAAATTGACTTATTAATTAAACACTAATTATCAGAACGAAAACTAACAAAAGTAGCATTTTAGGTAAATGTTGCAACGATTGACACGAAATATTGCACAACGTATTGAAAATTGATACAGCTTTCATATATAGATTGAGATTAAATTTTGAAGAGTGCAGCCAATCGAATAGCGGGTATAAAATTTGATAAATCGATATATATATTTGTTTGATTTTAGGTAAATGTTGCAACGATTGACACGAAATTGTGCACAACGTATTGAATTTAGACATATGCAGATACAACTTTCATATATATTTCAAACGGGCTTCTGATTGAGATTAAATTTTGAAGAGTGCAGCCAATCGAATAGCGTGTATAAAATTTGATCTAAATCGATTTACATAAATGTGTCCCTTTGTACGCGAAAGACTCCAATTGAAATGAAATTTAGCATAGGTTCCAGAAACGCACATATTCAAGTTCGTTCAATTTCATGACAATGTTCTTTCGAAAAGGCGACGTCTGTTAGGAGACATATGTAGAATATACCCAAAGTGGTGAAGGGTATCATATAGTCGGCTCAATCCGACTTTACTTCTATCCTTACTGTTTTTTTTTTTTCTTTTTTTCAAGATTCACAGGCGTGTATTTTTTTGATGTGTTCAACTAGCAATAGGCGGGGATTTTTTTGGATATTTGTGATGTATACTATGGGCCTATCTTTCTGTGCCTTTCAATCATAACCACAAATATATAATAACCTGTATTGTTGTCTTGTGTAAAAAATTGTTGTCTAGTGTAGCTTCTAAAAATAATTACAAACAAACAAAACAATAGCAAGATGAATGAATGTATGTGTATACATATGTATTATGTACCAATGCATATGGGTATAAATATTTCAGTACAAAGTTCACTACTTACCGGCGCCTGACCTTTTCCAGCAACAACATTTTTACTCGTTGCTTCTCCTTGTATTTGTAGGCGGGTTTTTGTCAAATCCAATGGATATGTAACAAGTTCGGCATTTGCCGCTCCAACCACTGACACAATGTATGTACAGGCGAAACTATCGGCAAATGAAATGACAGGACGTAATTGATTGCGGGTACCGCCGGGTGGAGGAACTACATTAGGATCATCAGCTGCTGCTGATGCAGCGGTCGCAGCTGTTGCTGCCGAAGTCTTTGGCACCGCTTGCTTTTGCATTGTTGTGGCGGCGGTGACGACGATAGTTGGTGCGGTATTGGTGAATGGCCTTTAAGTTCACTTTGCTGCTGTTTTTGGTTATAAACAAAACAAACAAACGAAAGGAAGAGATAGGAAGGAAACAAAACCAAAAAAAAAAGAAAAACTAGTTCTTTGTGTTTATGTTTGGCCTTTGGCTCGGCATTCATGTGGCGATTACGACGACGACACGTTGGTAATAGTGATTACAAAAAAGGCAGTAGTGAGTGGTCATGAGACAATATTTTTTTTTGTTTAGCCTGAGAAGAAATTCCCAAAAATAATCACAAAATTGAACAACAAAAAATGAAATACCAAACAAAACAAAAACGCGCCAAGTATTGAATAATTTCACAAATCACTTAAAAAATTTGGCATAGAAGATATAGATAGCCTATGTCATTTATGTCATTTAATTGGCTGATGATTATTACACTAGTTCTTCTTGATGAAATCATGGCATTTATCTCTCTCGATATAAAGGATTATGGAATGGATCACATCAATTGCATACAATATCCTTTGGTTCGTCAGACATCAGACACTATTTGATTGAAATCATTGCAAAATATAACACAACTCGACATGCTATGCACAATCACCCACACAAACACACTGTGACGCTGCCAAATGCATAGTTATTACAAACAAAAAACTTTCGCTTTCATTGTTTTTATCACAACACTCACTCACGATAAATAAATTGTTGGATGCATGCAATTTTCCAAATATTTTTTATATTTCAATTTTTTAAGCAATTTCTTTTCGCATTTGTTGTTGTCCTTTTATGTTGCCATCGCGTTCGTTCGTTTCCCGTCTCTCAAACGTTTTACATAACTTTCGGGTCTATTTTTTTAACTACAATTTGTTCACTCGCTTCTGCATTCGATTGTTGGTGTGCCGCCGCGTTATTATGATCTTTGTCGGAATCGTCGGAATAATGCGCGTTATAATTTCCTCCTCGTATTGGTATTTTGGTTGGCGAATATTTCGTACGTCTTATCAGTTCAATAAAAAACACAACAATAACAAATGAACAATGAAAAAAAGACCGACACAACAGCTGTTTTTGAGCGAACACCTGATTTGTTGTCGGGTTGTAAAAATATGGGAAGATTTTTTCAATATACACTGAAGAAAAAATTAAATGACAAAATAAATAATTTATTTATATCCGGTTAATATAAAATGGCTATCATTTTAATGCTTAAAAAATACCTTTCCATTGAGTGGTGATGGACTATGATGGGCTTATCTTAAACCGTTTTAAATATGCAGTCAAAGAACTGGGTTTTGGATCCCGATGACAGATTACAATTTTTCCTTTCCAAAATGGTGCGATATGTGGCAATATATGTTGTCGATCAAAATATATGGGCCTTAGAACCCTATAAAAACAAGGAATTTTTTCTACATGACAGAATCTCCTTTAATCAAAATGTTTTTTTTTTCTTTTGATGGCCGGTGCGGCCGGTTTTTTAAGACTTTCTCCTATGGACACATACCTACAGCGCCTACGCTACAGTATCTTCTTTCAAATAGAATAGTCCTCGGGGTGGCCGGCCTTCGGCCGGGGTTTTAACACTTTATCTTATGGAAAGATATCAACACCGGCTACGGGACAGAATTTCCTTGTTTTTGTAGGCTTTTAAGACCCATATCTTTTGATCTAAAACAAATACAGCCACATATTGCACCATTTTGGAAAAGGGCAATTTGTGGTCTATCATTTGATTCAGGATTGGAGAGGGACCATAATGGACCCAAGTTCTACTTTTAGGCAGTTTTCAAAAAAATCGGGGACCAAACCCCAGTTTTTTGACTAGATGTTCGTTTACTTTTTGCAAATTTTCCTTTCCTGAGAACGAGAATTTCGTACTGAGAAAATGTTACTGGGAAAGTAAACGAACGAACCGAATGTTTGCCCGAAAAACAGCAAATATTTGCCTTTAGTTGTTCACATTACTTTTGTTTTCAGCTGATTTTTTGTTTGCCATTGCTGGTCATGGTCAGATTGTGGCAAAGAAATATTTGACACTTTTTGTCAAAATTTGCCTGATGTGACCTTACCTTAAGATTTTACATACTTAGCCAGTTGGTAGCCCTATTTTAATTTACAGCTGTTGTTTTTTTAGTTTGTTTTGATCGCTTATTCCAAACAATGTATTTATTTACAATTTTCCTTTGATCTCTTATACTAAACATTACATTTGATTTATTTTTTTAAGTGCCACTTCGCTTCAGTGGAAAACTATAAAAATTCTAATTCTATATCCCACGCTTGGCGCCCAAATACTTTCTTCTTCGACTGGAAATTGCACAGGCTAACAAAACGAATGATATTTACTTTTTTTGTTTTTTCCTGTTTTCGGTAGCACTATTAAATTGCTGCGCTTTTTCAATCCTTCCTACAGATAATATACTATTTACAACAAAATGGATAAGTCAAAAACTAAACATCGCAGTGATCGTCCACCCTCGGAACCCAAAATGACTAATTTAATTGATTTTTCATTTTGTGATCATAAATCGGCTTTTGAACATTTATTGCTGAGCAGTGATCAACGTAATTCCATTATTGAAGATCGTAATGATTTTTGGAAATTTGTTAATAAATATGAAGCTATGTTGAAAAATATGGGACAACCAATATTACCACAACCCCTCGAAGATGAAGTGCCGACCTCAACATCGTCAACGTCAACTAAAACCAATAAACTTCACTGTATTCCCATTCGATTGAATGCAGAGGCAAAGAAAAATAGATATTTCTCCGAACAGCATGGAAAATACTCAAGTGGTAGTGGAGGTGGGGAGGGTGGCATTGTCACAGCATTACGTGAAAAACAATTACAAGAAATTATGCTCATTTATTTGGACTTTAAACAAAAAGAACGTTTTGCTAAAATCAAAAAGCTAAGAAAAACTCAACAAAACTTGCCAATCTTTAAGTACAAAGATGCTCTAAAGAAGGCGCTGGATGAAACAAATGTTCTAATTATTGCCGGTGATACAGGTTGTGGTAAATCGACACAAGTTCCACAATATTTATATGAATTTGGTTATAAGAGTATTGGTAAGATGATAGATAACAAATCCTACTTTTAATTTATTATTATAACATGCCCAATTTATAGCATGTACCCAACCCCGTCGTCTGGCATGTATCTCTCTATCAAAACGTGTTGCTCACGAAATGCTGGATGATTATGGCTCCACGGTGGGTTTCCAAATTCGTTTTGAGAAAAATAAAACACAACATACCAATATTTTGTTCATTACCGAAGGCTTGCTACTGAGACAAGTAAGTAAATGGGTATATTTCTTAATGCAATACAAATAAATTGAAGAATATTGTGTTTTCCTTTTTCCATTTTTTGGCAGCTAGCCATGGAATGCAATTTGGAGCAATATGATGTTCTAATACTCGATGAAATTCATGAACGTAATTTATATGGAGATTTCTTGCTGGGCGTCACCAAGTGTCTGCTGCGTGCCAAACCAAATTTGAAGTTAATACTTATGTCAGCCACCATTAATGTTGAACTATTTCATAATTACTTTAAAGATGAGGGAGCCAAGTTACTGCAGGTGCCTGGTCGTTTATATCCAATAAAAACTGTTTATATGCCACCACCCACATTGGAGTTACAAGCTAAAACCTCATCAGCATCGTCATCTCGGTCACAAAAATCTAGCGGTCGTTTGGATCCAGCACCATTTGTACAAGTTTTGAGTCTTATCGATGAGAAATATTCAAGTATGTATAAGAAGAAAATATTAGACTCTCGATATCGTTTATACCGACATATAGGTTGCAACGACGGTATTTGATATCGCTTATAGCGAAACAATTCGCCGGTCCATTGACTCCTGTTATAAGTGATTTCGACTGTATATACAACAATATATTAAAAGATACATTTTCTCGAAATAATTCTACATGAGACTTAAAGAACGTCTGGCCTTTAGTGGGACACGAAAGTCCTTAAATCTTCTATGTAAATAAGAGGCGTTTGGATCTCGTTATTTTTTTTTTTTTATAAAAATATGGACATTTGGTATTCTTGTGATTTGAAATTAAGTTGTTGCTTCTTCATCGATAATAGTATCTGATCTTCTCCCAAATTAGAAAGTATAAAACCCCGCTATATTTTACAGCTAGTGAACGTGGTGATGTATTGATATTTGTTAGTGGAGTCAATGAAATAACCACAGTTTGCGATGCAGCCAAAGAATATGCAGAGCAACAGTCTCATTGGATTATATTACCTCTGCACAGTGGTCTATCGTTGGCTGAACAAGATAAGGTATTCAAAAACAAGGTGCAAAATGTTAAAATGTTCCTAACTTTTAAAGCTAATTCCAATAGGTGTTCGATTATGCACCCGAAGGTATGCGTAAATGTATTGTGTCCACAAATATTGCGGAAACATCATTGACTGTGGATGGAATACGATTTGTGGTGGATTCGGGCAAGGTCAAGGAGATGTCATATGATGCCTCATGTAAGGGTCAGCGATTGAAAGAATTTTGGGTCTCAAAATCATCTGCTGAACAGCGTAAAGGTCGTGCTGGTCGTACTGGACCAGGGGTAATATATAATATAGGGCAGTGCAAATAATTTCTTCAGTGTTATTTAATTGTTTTTTCTGCCCCACAGACTTGCTTCCGTTTATTTAGCGAAAAACAATATGCCTCCTTTGAAGCATATCCTACACCGGAAATATTTCGCGTACCACTCGATTCGATACTATTACAAATGGTATCGATGGGTTTGCCAAATGTAAGGCAATTTCCTTTTATAGAATCGCCGGATGAAGAGAGTATTGAACAAACAATATTGGGTCTAAAGCAGCATGTAATAATACAAATTACTAATTTGAATATATATCCTAATAATGGTATTTATTCATATTACAATATCTGTCTTTCAGAACGCTTTTACGCCAGATGAAAAAATTACTGCCTTGGGCAAATCGTTATCGAATTTACCCGTTGAAATAACAATTGGTAAAATGTTATTAATGGGTTGTGTATTTCCCGATGTCGAGAAGATTTTAACATTGGCCGCTGTGATGAGTGTACAAAATCCATTTACAAATCGTGCATATACAGATCCCAAGTGTGAGGTTTGTTTGATGATAACAATCGGTTATTTCTGTGAGTTTATTTTTTAATGAATTGTTTTTTCTTTTTTTCAATGCCCAGGAAGCTCGTGCATCTTTTGAATCTGATCAAGGGGATATATTTACATTGCTAAGAGCCTATCATGAATGGCTATTGCTTAAGTGGGAAAATCGAGAGAGTACACGAAAATGGTGTCATAAATTGGGCATTGAGGAACAGAGGTAAGTTTTTAATAATGTTTTTTTTTTTATAATTTTAATATCACTCAGGTCGTCAAATGGAGAATGTGTTTTCTTTATCAGATATAAAGCAAAAGCAGGATGGTTTGGATGACATATATGCTAACTAGGGCTGAATCCCCTGTATGTCTATCCTAATTTATGCACTAAAATAACTTTTGGTCTCCTATGATACTAGAGAACCTTCTGTTCTTCAAAGAGATTGGAACATCCTCTATTAGGCTGAATGTTCTTCAACTTACATGAATCTTGGCCAACTAATCTAAATTTCGATACATTAAATGAATAGACCCTTCTAGACTTCTCTAGCAGAGCAAATTTTATACATGAAAATCTACGCTTATTAAACATTTCTTCAAAAATTCATTTCTTCAAATATTCGGGGGCTATATATCCTCTACAAATATTGTAAAAATCATTCCATAAAAATTTCGATAATCTCAGTAAAATATTCTTAAAATTGCCACGCTTTGTCACAGAACATTTTTTATGATGGCAAAACCAGCATTGAACGATGTCTAAGATACAACGAATCAAAAGAGAAGAAATCTGCGATTTAATTAAATTAATTGACCGTGAATTTGTTCACTCTTCCCTTAAGAGTCATTCTGAACCAGAACTCGCATCGCATTTTTTCTCATTTTCACCTTCCCCTTATTCAGAATCAAGTTCCAAAGCGAAAAATTCCGCTCCCTTTAAATTTATTAGCGAACATTTTCCCACAAAATTTCATCACATTCTCCCACTCTCTGTAATCCAAAAAAACTAATTTTTCCCCAAAGCGGTTGTTTCGCTTTCGAACTTGATTCAGGATAGGAGGGAAATGAAAACGCGAATAACTTTAATGGGAAGAGCGAACAAAGTCATGGTGAATTGTTGTGCAGAATAAGCCTGATAATGACTACAATTCAAGATATTGAGCAATCTCTTCATGTATAATAGGGTCGCCCGCAAAAAATGATAACGTCATACCTACGACTTTGATCTATGGCGTTTTCATATACTCTCCAAGGACTTTCATCCTCAATGTATATTCATTTACTTAATTCCTTGAAGGTATATACGAATTTTTCACCCCCCAAAAAATTTGTCGAAAAGTGTAATAATGCTTATTGTTTTGGAGTTGGGAGGCGGAAACAAAGTTTCCCCATTCCATCAACAATCTCACCCTTGTTCTTCTTCAAGTACTCCTCTCCCGCAGAATCGGTAGCGAACTTCGCGACTACACCGCCGTTCCTTTCAAATGAGGCGAGGATTCTCCACCTCCTCATCTGAAGGCCATCGTTCTGCTTCTTCGATAACCTCAGTGTCTTCTCCAGCCCCTTGAAAGGTTTTGGGATAAACATTGAGGTTACCATATCGCTCGGTATCTCTCGGACCGCTACAGCAGCCACCCTCCCAAAGGGGGTCCAGGCTCTTGATTGTCTTCTTAAGGAAATCTGAAGTCTCCTTAGTGCGACAATCAACAACCTTTACCCCTTTGTAAGAGGAGGTGAGGCCAAACCGCAGGCTCTCTCGATCAACCTTGTCGGATAGGAAGATGTCCTTCAGATAACTGTCGACCAGATAACTGTCTATCCACACTGATGAACCCGTCGGGGTCAGCTCGGTCGATGATCGCTACCCGCAGATCTTCCGGTACCTCTTTCGAATCAGCAGAGTCGCTTTGCGCCGTTCGAGACAGCGTGTTTGGTTTTCACCCACAATCGCTGCTCTTGGCAGGTTTCTCCTTCGACGCTACCACCGACGCAAACGAAGCAGAGCTCTGTACGGCCGACGACTGCGTGGGCCTCTTTGCAGCAGGTTGTTGCTCCTCCAAGGACCTCATTCTCTTGACAGCCGTGGGCTGTGGCCGAGATTTGGCACCCGGGGTAGGAACTACTGCAGAGGTATGCCAAACAGACACAGGCACCTGCTTCGCGTCCGCTACCTTCTGTTTATCCACTGGCGACTGCCCAATTGTCACCGCCTTGGCTGTCAGCTTTGGCAATTCGGCAGAAGGTGGATTGACAGAGGGCGGTTGTGCCTTATCGGTCTTCTTGGAGGCCTTGTTACGGGCTCTCCTTCATGTCGAAGTCGGCCATGCCTTCTGTCTTTGTGGATTCTGATGCCTGGGACGTCTCAGTCCTCAGTTTACCCTTTGGGGGTGCTCAGAGCTTAGACGTCTCAGGCATCAGCTTCCTGGATGTACCAGGGCCATCAACAGCTTTCTCCTTCTTGGATGGGACTACCGCTGTGGTCCTAGTACTGGGTCGGGGGATCCTATCAATCAAGAAGTCCCTCTCAATATCATCAGGATAGTTCCTAGAGAACTTCCTATTGAGTTTGAGGTTCCTCTTGATTAACAGGAACCCCTTCCCCGTGTTGGAGTCGCTGTCCCGTCCGATGTATCGTTTACAGTAATTTACTGCTCTCCGATACATTTTCTTGGCAGCGATCTCCTTAGCGTCGGCTTGTCTTGTAGATAATGGTACTGATGAGTCATCCATCTTAACGATGGGAGTCTCATCGGTGCCAGCATCTGTTTCGACAGCCAACAGCCTGAGTAGTCTCGCGACGTCACTGCAGGCCGTGGAGACTGAGTCGAGATCATCAACCTCGCCAGGGTTTACATCCCTAGTCAGCAACTGGGAGGACCCTCCTTGCTTCAGAGGAGACACCATGGTTGCTACCGTGTTTATCACCGTAGTTTCCATGATGTCATCCTCGTCCCAGAGCTGATTTGGGATGCTCTCCTGACTAAGGCGGAAGGAGCCTGTTTCCTCTAGAAGATTGAGGAGAAGATCCGACTGCCTTCCAGGCTTGCATTAACGTCGTCGAGAGAAGGACAATTGGCTAAAGAGAGGTCCAGGTTGTGTTCAAACATCGACCATTAAATCCAATTTGTACTTACTTTGACTTTTGAAATGATTTTCGAAAATTCGAATCCTTATCTCGCATTTTTTGCTTTTCACTATTTATTCAGAACATGAAATGCGAAAAAATTTCACAAGCGATATCTCTCCCTAGCGAATATCCAGAATAAGGTTGATAGGGTTAAAAAAACATTACGTTTATTTCTCAGATAATCCCTGACAAAAACATCACATGTACAGTTCCTTTTTATATCCAACCTGTAAAAAATATATTCTTGAAAACTAAAATTCTCAATTTTTTTGTAGATTCTATGAAATTACCAAATTACGAAATCAATTTCAAAACATATTGGAAACATGTAACATGACCGCTAACAAATCTACGGAAGACAATTTAACTAGTTCGGAAAGAGCAAAACGTCACGGTGAAGTTCGCATGTTGAAGGCCATTAAACGTAAACAGAAATATCAAGAGCCAAGAAAACGTAAAGTACTAAAACATCACAGTCACGATGCTGAAGAAGATTTTGATAATGCTGATGATGATATACGGGATGTTGATTTTCGTTTGTACAATGATGCCGCGAAGTTGGAGGTAAGGTTCATCATATTTCCCTTTTAAGACTCTTTTCTTTATATGTATATTGTGTTTTATCTTTCTCAGGTTCTTCTTAAATCCTCCAAAACCGACAAACTACGTGATGTGCTTTTACTAAAATTGGTGATTGTGAGTGGATTTTATCCTCAAATTGCAATATCTGATGAATTTAATTATTGCAAAGGCGGAACGCAACAATTTTTCCATACCTTTCTGAAGCCATTCATTTCCATACATCCCAATTCATATTTTGCCAAATGTTTTGACATATTAAAGTTGAGCGATAGCGATATATTGGAAAAGCCAGCATATTATCTACCAAAGCAGCCATTGAGTGAAGCTCATCAGGTGCTGTGTTACCAGTAAGTTTTTAGGGAAGGTTACCCAGTCACCTATAATGTAAAAAAATAAATTTCTTTTCCCCTTATAGAAATCTATTGGAAACAGCCAAACCCTATTTAATGAATTGTATTCGCATGCCGGCTGCCCAGTGTTTGCTATTGTTTTCCTATAGTGTTGAAACAAATGCCTCAATTACACGGATAGTTTGTGATTCATGGTTATGTTTGGAATTTCCCACACCCGAAGTGGGTTGTGAACTACTCTGTAGAGCCATTAAATTAAGAAGACTGTGGAACAGGTTGTTAATGGATAAATTAACAGGTGATTTTGAAAAATTCTTAAAAATTTTATATTTAATTTATAAAATATTTATTCATGGTTTTTATTTAGATTTGGAGTTAAGTGTCGAACACCAAAGGAAGTTGCCCGACAATAAACAATTACAAGAAGATTTATGGTATGATTTGATAAAATTCATGAGCCTCAATGTTGCCTATACTATAAAACGTTTATTGCCTGCCGATCTAAAGAATTTATATAACCACCAGCCAATGGAGGATGTAAACAATTCGAAAATCAATCCATTTGCTAAAGATTATGAAATGACAGCGAACATGGAAAAAGGTGGCATTAATATTTCCGAAAATTATATTTATAATTGGTAAGTAAGATTTTTTTTAATATATATATATATATATATATCGACGCCTCCGAACCATAGTATGCTAAACCGACTTAACATGTTTTAAAGTTCTTTACGTTTTTAGATACTACGATCCTTAATTTAAATTCTCTGAAATTTTGGTAATCATCGGCCAATCCAAACAAAGTTATAAGCAAAAATGTACTTAGCATGGCACGTAAGATTTAAAAAACTTCCATACTTTGAGAGCTTCTGCTGAAAAAACTCTCTTTTCAGACTTAGCATGCTATTCTTCGGAGGCGTCGATATATATATATAAATTAATTTAATTTAACATATTTTATTCGATATTATAGCCTCCAAGAACAACAGTGGTGTATAAATATGGATAATGAATTGAGCCAACATACATGGACATGTAGCTATTGTGATATGGAAATGGATTTCAATGTCATTGAGAAACTAATACATAAACAAAGTAAGTAAAAAATGGACTTAATAGGTGATGGGGGGGGAAACAACAGTGAGGGGATTGGGAGGAGCTATAGGATATTGATAGGTTATTATTGTAAGAGAATATCGTATAAATATTTTCAAACGGATCATCGAAAGAGCTTTGAATCTAATTTTAGAGGGATTGTAAGAGCTATAAGCGTGAGAGTTTTGTGATCAATTTCTAGAGGAATTGTCGTAGGTATTAGCCTTGGGGTTTTTAAGTGCAAAATGGAAAAAATCGCTGTTGCAAACATAAATTTACTTGAAAAAATTCATTTCGTAAAATTCATGCGTACGTCCATGCAAATGTTTTTGCGCAACCTTGTCTGGCAGCATTAAAAGGAAAACCAGGGGAAGATCCTATGTACCCACCATTATGTGACGCGAAGAATTCCTATATACCTTCAATTTCAAAGGAATTAAATAAATGAATAAATATTGAGTACATGAAAACGCCATAAATCAACGTCGGAGATGTGAAGTTATCCTTTTTTGCGGGCGACCCTATTATACATGATGAGATTGCTCAACATCTTGATTCGTAGTCATTATCAGCTTTATTCTGCACATCAATTGACCCTGCATTTGTTCGCTCTTACCTTTAAAGTTATTCTGAACTAGAACTCGCAGCGATTTTTTTCGCATTTTCATTTTCCTCCTATTCTGAATCAAGTTCGAAAGCGAAAAAATCCATTTTGGGGAAAAATTATTTATTTTGGGTTAAATAGAGTGGGAGAATGTGATGACATTTTGTGCGAAAATTTTCGCTAATAAATTTAAAGGGAGTTGACTAATAAAATATAAGTATTCAATATTTTTATGAAAAATATCTCCACAAAAGTCGTTCAATGGCAATTATGAATATTATAAATGGTTGTATGCATATTTTTAACTCAAAAACGACAAATTAAACGCATTGGAAATCCTATTCAGCCTTGTTCTGGATATTCGCTAGGGAGATTTCTCGCATGTAAAAAATGTTTCGGTTTCACATTCTCGTCTTATTCCGAATAAATAGGGAGAAGCAAAAACTGCGAGATGCGGATACGAATTTTCGAAAATGGTGGTTGAAAAATGATTCGTGTTACCATATTGCAATTTAAATTGTAATGTGTGTTGCCCGAATGTAATTTAACTTATATATGTTTTCAATATTTGATTTATTGATTTTTTAAAGAAATTGTTACTTTTAATTGCTCAGCCTTATTGTGGGTATTTGCTAGGGAGATTTCTCGCATATAAAATTTTTTCATAAAAATATTTAATACTTAAATTTTTGTGGTCAGCTCCCTTAAAATTGATGTGAAATATTGAAAAATAATACAAAATTTAATAACATTAGAATTTAAATTACAATATGGTAACATGAATTATTTTTCAACCACCATTTTCGAAAATTCGAATCCGCATCTCGCATTTTTACTTCTCCCTATTTATTCAGAATATGGCGAGAATGTGAAAGCGAAAAATCGTTCACAAGCGAGAACAATGTCCAGAATATGGCTGAATATGTGCGGAGGGATGAGGGTAGATTATTCATGAATATTTTTAAAGCAATTATTCGAGTTACAAGCTAAGATTTTACTATATTTAAAGATGGATTATTGGACCTATAAGCGTACATTTTTATCCCGAGTTTTCAAGAATATTTTTGAAGGGATTATTCGGAAATAAAGGCATCCAGTTCTTAACTAGAAATTTAGATAGATTATAAGTGGAATTTTTATCAATATATTTGAACGATCATCGGAGTTATAGTGATGAAGTTTTTATGAACAATCTTAGAGGTATTATCGGATGTACAAGCGTTTACATTTTAGGAATATTTTTAGAAGGATTATGTGAGCTCTAATAGTAGGGTTTTTACAAGGATTCTCGATGATATAAGTGTGAACATTTTAAGAATATTTTTAAATGGATTGTCGAGACTCTAAGCGTATTTTTTGAAGGGATTCTCAAAGCTCTAATGATGTTTTGAAGATTACTTTTAGAGGGATTATCGAAGTTATAGGTGTGGAGATTTTGGAATATTCTTAGAGGGATTATTGTTGCTCTAAGCATGAAGTGTTTTCGAATATTTTTAAAGGGATTATCGAAGCTATAACCGTGTAGATTTTCAGAGTAATTTTAGGCAGATTATCGGGCTTACAAATGTGGATTTTTTTAATTTATATCTAAGGAATATTTTTTTAGGAATATTTGTGGAGGGATTATCGAAGCTCTAAGCGTTGAGTTTTTAAGAATATTATGAGAGCGATTATCGAAGCTATAAGCGAGGTCTTTTTAATAATATTTTTAGAGGGTTTATCGAAGATATAACCATAGAGTGTTCAACAATATTTTTGAAGAGATAGCAACACTTTGATAGGGAGATACACGTTTGTTTTGTAATTAATTAATTTTTTTTATTTCAGCTTGTAAAAACCGTCATCAATCCTCTGGAACACATGAAGACAAAAAGAACACAGAATCTGCCACTACATCCTCAAATATCGGTAATAATAAGAATAAAATCAAATACAACTGTACGATATGCTGTCAAGAGTTGTATCTAAGTCAAATAGATATACTAAAGCACAAGAAAATTTGCGTCGCAAACAAATAAATCACTCTTCAGATAAAAATAATAAATGTTTGAAATTTGGCGCTATAATATAGGTTAGGTCAGGTTTGGGGATGTGCAGTCACTAATTAGGCTGCAGCACTCTGAGACCGTCAGGTCCACTAGTCTGTAGGCCAGGACTGGGCAGCGACACAGGAGATGCGCAGAGTCTACATTAATCAGTAACATCATTACTGGTAAAGGCCCTGATATTGCAATAACCAGTAATGATTCCTGTCATTATTCTCATTTCAGCTTTGCTCAGGTTCAGCAGTGAGTGTGTCCTTATTGTAGACAGAGTCGGCCAAATAGATCTTGACACATTGCACCTGCCAAATAGATCTTGACACATTGCACATTGCGTTGTGCCAAAGTTCTTTCGCCGAAGAACGCCTCAAAGTTTCGATAAAGGTGACATATAGGTGGTTTGATTGATACATCAATTACTAGATCTGTAGATTGAGATCCTCGTCTAGCTAATTCGTCTGCTTTTTTTTTTTGTCCTAGTACCCAACACAGCCGATAGCTGTAAGAAGGTTATTCCAAAGCGGTTCTACACATGAGGACGGCCTCAAATTTGATGTAACAGAATTTGACGACTTTAAGAGCCGTTTGACTATCCACAGAGATAGTCACCGGTTCAATGATCTCTGCATCCAGACTTTTTATCGATTCCGCTGCCTTCCAAATCGCGAAGATTTCAGTTTGGAAAACACTACAGTTGCTATCCACCTTGTAGGTAAGCTCAAGGCCTAGCCTTTCACAGTAAACGCCAGCTCCTGTTTGTTGCCCAGCGACAGCCGCATATGAGGTAGATGGGTCAGTCAGACGCGAAGCCATCGTCTTCTTGGGTGAAGGTTGTGGACCTTCTGATGATCGAATGCGCTTCACAGATTTGCTCTGCGGGGCAGCATTTGAGGCTCTCCCGCTATAATATATCAGTGGAATGTGCAAAGATACTATTCCTGGAATATGACACCAGCAAATTCACAAAAAAAGAAATAATTCAAATAAAAGGCCTTTTAAATTTATTTTTATAATTTTGTCTACAAATCAAAGTATATCATTTCTAGGCAGTAGACACAACAACATTAAATAATTTATTTATTAATTTGTATGCTCTACGTTATTTATAAACAATGATGATATCTGTAGTCATATATATTATTTTCATTTTCCTATGAACATGAATGTACATTTAGGCTTATTGAGATGAGAAAGAAATTTCTATAAAATCAATATAAATGTAAAAGAGGGAGAACTTCCCCTCCTTTTCACTTCCCTTCATTTGAACTTAATAGGCATAATCAAATTTGGCTCCAATTTTGGGAACACGTGGTGGTTTCTTGCGAGGGGCATAGGTGGTCTGGAAAATATAGAATGAAATGAAAAGAAGAGATCGTGATTGATCAAAATGCTGTGTAGCGAAAAATGTTGGTTTGTTTACCTTTTTCTCATTTGTATCGCCGCCTCCGCCGTCTGTTGAGGTCATAGCTTGAGCTTGTGTTGAGTTATTTCCTGAATCACTACTAACATTGGCAGTCACTGATAATTGAGAGAACTGAAATTTAAAATCAAATTTGAAATTGAAATGTTTGTGTTTTGTGTGAAGAAACTCGGTTTCAATTACATTTTTCGTTACGGCATCATCAGTGGTTTCCGGTGCATTGGTGGTGGTGTTACAGTTATTTGGAGATGATGCTGTGGTGGACTTCCGGGCAACTTGTAGTGGTATAAATGCACCTTTTTGATTTAGGCTGTTCGAAGCAAACGCTTGTGACGGATGCTGACTTTGAGTGTATACCTGAGTTTGCACACGCGGTTGTTGGTGGTGGTGGTGGATTTGTGGCTGAAGATGTCCTTGCGGTGGCGGCATAGCAGCTAACGACATTTGTGACGGTGTGGGTAAAGGTACCACAGTGCCACCTATAACAGCCATGGGAGCATTCGTTTGATTGAATGTCGGTTGGGAAAAGGATAAACGTGCAAAATTATTTTGTGGATGAGAGGGAGCAGGAGGAGGTGGTACTCGTTGAGCATCAGATCTCCAACTTGTTGGTGGTTGCGGTAATTGTGGCTTGAATTGAATGAAAGAGAAAAACGTAAAAAGAATATTTTGTTTATTTATTTTACGGAATTTAAAAAAGGCTATAAGGAGTATTTAAGACGAATTTGATGCAGGACACCGTGATATCATGGTCTTCTCAACAACGGAACCTGCTCTAATCTACAGCATAATTAGAAACCTAAAGTGGTTGTGAAAAGTGCAACCTTGACACGTAATATATCTTCTGTCCGATCTCTATAGCCATCGATATTATCTCATACCTGTCTTGTCACACTTCCTTGTAAGCTTCTCATCTCTCTCTATCCCACCTTCGTTGCTCCCCCCATAGATCTCTCCATATCTTTATCTTTTCGTGGATAATCACATTGGACCTGACGGTCCCAAACCTAACATAACCTAACACGAATCTTTTTTCAACCACCACTTTCGAAAATTCGAATCCGCATCTCGCATATTTTTTCTCAAGCGGGATCTCTGCCTAGCGAATATATAGAATAATACTGATATATTTAAAGCGATAGTCGAAGTTTAAGGATATTTTCAAAGGGATTATCAAATTTTTAAACGTAGAGCTCTCATGAACGTTTTTAGAGTGATAATTAGAATTCCTATTCCGACCACTGGTGGATCCACTCAAAGAACCAACCGCTTCACCTTTGTCGCTAGGCACAGATTCGGGCTTTGAGACAGAGGCCTCCACACGTTGATTTCCCTTATGGATGACATTTTGTTTCGGGATGTTCTCAGTAGCTTTTTCCTTTGCCTTTTGAATCGGGTTAGGCTTCGAGCTAGGCTACCGATCAGAAGTCGGCTTCGCACCCTTGTCAGATGCAGTGGGCTTTGCCGATTCCACTACTTCACTCGATTCAGAGGTCCCCTTGGAGATTTTTGATCGGGAGGAAGATCCTCTCTACGGATAGATTCTTTCGAACTTCCTTACAAATCTCATTTTGCCCTTGACGAGGTGAACCTCCCTCTCTGAAAGCAGATTCGCGTCTCGCCCCACGAATTTGCGAAGACAAGAAACAGCAAGTTTGTTGTGCTTCGCATCAGATACTTCTCGGGCATTTCCAACCTTCGAGTTGCTGGATTCTCGATAGATTCCCCCATCGTCGGACATCGCCTCCGTCGCAGATTGCCTCTGAAGTTTATTGTCGGCAAGTGCCGACACAGGCCCTGTTGGAGTCAGACTTGAAGTCGGTCGGTCAACAAGGTCTACGTTCCCTTCGTTTAGGCTACAACAATCCCCCTTGGCCGGGATCACCGTGGTGTCAGCTCATCATCAGCCACGTTGCGATTTAGTAGCAGTTCCTCCGGATGCGTAGCCCCACATTGCTCTTCCAATACAAGTCTATCTAACTGGTCTAATATTTTCCTACTCTGCTCCTCTAACTATCGCGGATAGCGTTGAGGGATCCCGTGTAGGTCGTCCCCTCCCAGAACTACAGTCCTGTCAGTCAGAGACTGATTTCCATCAGTCTTGACTTGATCAGGTGCCAAGGCATTCACACCTAGAACAGCCGGATCTCGACGACACGTGGCTTGTTATCTCATCAACGATTGCCGCCGGTACTGGGTTATTAACTACCTTTACTCTTTTTTCCCATCGTATTTTATTAATTTAAGGGCATGTGTCACATGCATGGTTGTATTTTTAATGATCATAAATATTTGATATTCTTTTAATTATAAGAGCTTTGATCCTTATACGGTTCTACGGCTAATGGAAAAAGGAAATAAATTAAAAATAATAAAAAGGACATACCTTGCATGCAGGAGCAATTGGTGATGTTGGCATTTGTGGGTGTGTACCTGCTGCTAAACCTAATAATGATTTTAAGGCATGTGTACCATCGTCCTGACATCCGGATGGAACGACAATAGGCGCTGCCGATGTTTTAGGTGGCCCTCCTGCCAGTGTTGTGTTTGAATTTTGTAAAATTTTTACTGGCATATTGGGTGATTTCGGTGCAATATTTGCATTAAAGAATGACGATACCGTATTATTTGTTGTCATCATACCACCACCGCCACCTCCATTATTTCCAGTGTGTTTAATTTTCGTATTTGCCGATGGCATCCAAAAATCATTACTACCTTTTTGTATAACCTGTCGTGATGTTGTGGCCGTTTTAACATCTTGATTGCCCACCAACATTGGTACATTTGAATACGAATTATTTACAGGTTGTTGTTGTTGGTTTGTTCTTGATTTAATGGAAGAAGAATTGTTACGACTTTCTTCCAACTGTAATTTGGCTTCGTAAAATTGTTCATTATTGTTGCCTAGATAGCACAACAAACAAGATAAATTATATAAATTTTTTATTGAAATAAAATTTTGTTTAAAGATTTATTACCTTGAGTAAATATTAATAGGACGGAAGATTCTGGAACTTTATATACTCTTTGTGCTGCAATACCATGTACATCATGGCCATTCGGTAAATGTTTATCGAATAGTACTTCATAGAAATTATCCACAGACTTGACACATTCCAAACGTACGGGATTTGGATCACTTACCGGATATATACCAATAACCGTGCCTTTGGCACCGAGAGGAACCTAAACGCGCAGGAAGAGTGTTTCAGTATAAAATGAAGAATAAAATCATTAAGAATGAAAGCAATGATGCATACCATATATGTAGTCTTAACCACAACAACCCGATCAAATAATTGTATGGATCTTTTTGGTTTATAATGGCTGGGCAAACTAACATCTGGCTTCAACAGCAGATGTGGCTTAACTTGTAATTTTACAGTCTTTACTGGTAGAGTCTAAAAAATGTATTGTCAAAGGTTATATAAAATGTTAATTGCCATTGTAATAGAAAATTTACTGTGCACCTTTAATTCTTCAATCGCTTCCAAAATCTTCTCCACAGCCTCCTTTTCCATGGTCTTTGAACCACAAGCGATTTTTTCCGCTTTCATATGTGGCTGTTCCTTTAGCCATGCTGCAATTTCTTCTAATTTCCCTGAACCCACATCGTTTGGAAAGATGTCTTCCTCAAACAACAACTCACTACGTTCGGAGGTATTACTTAAATACTCAACAACCATTGGGAATTTCTCTATATAATCCTGAATAAGATTAATTGCCTTTGTCGACATAAACCATTGATTGTCCATGCGTCTGGTGTAGCCAACAAGTTCTTCTTGAGATTTGAAATATTTAAATTGTAGACCAATGTTAATTTTTGCTAAATTATCGGGCAAATCCGATTTGGGACGACGTGCTCCCTTCACTACCAAAACGGGACCCGTTAAACGGGCTAAACATTTTATTTGTATGCCAATTTGTGATGCTGCTTGATATGATGTTATATAATCTTTTTCCAATTGACTTTGTATATATTTGGCCTCGGAGAAATTCGGTTCGGGAAGTACGGTTATATTTACTAAAAATAAAATTAATGCGAAAAAAAAATTAGTAAATTTAACTTCCGGTTTTTGAGGAAGAATCTTACCCTTTAACCTTCCACATTCATAGACCAACAATGGATTCATTACCACACCTTCGCTGCCATAATAAGGATTTCCAACAAAGAAAATACGACTGTTCTCTGGGAATAGTTGTTCGATTTTTTTAATTTGATTCGATAGAGTATTTTGCACCGCAATTTGGGAAACAACACCATGAGCTGGATATGCCGTCGTTGTTGGACTCCACATTTCATTTAGGGTCACCTTGCCTTGGCTACCGCAAATATACGACGAACCAATATATGTACGTACATGTACAAGTACCGAGAGATCGGGGAATTCAATACCCATGCGTGTTGTTAAGCTATAAAGAGGCAAAAAAAAAAGAACACAAAAAATCGTTTACGAGAGTCTTACAAAAAGTATGAAAAACTGTTCCCAACAAAAACTAGGCCTTTCACTCATAAAAATTTATCAATGACTAAATTATCTACTTACTGTTCTCTGACAGCCTTGGTATGTAAATCAAATATTTTCGGTTCCATATCTTTGATGCCATCCACATCAATATATTTCTCTCGATTCGAAATGCCAACAACTTTCGATTTAACTAAATGTGGCCAACCAATGTAAACGGTTTGATTTAGCATTTGTTCGGCCACGGTAAAGATGTCGTCAAAATTTTTACGTGCTTGTGGTTGTAGAATCATATTTTCATTACGACTAGGATAGTCAAAAACTTTAACGCGTGCCGCTCTTATTTCGAACTGAAAGAATAGAAAAAGAAGATAAATAAAATTCAATAAATGTTAATGACAAAAAAACAACTGAGTTAAATTTTTTTGTAGTATTGAATTATAGTAAAAAATATTTGCTTTGATAGTCTTTAAAAAAATATTTAAAAAATCCCTGCCTCATACTTTGATAGTTCTTGAAAAAAACCCGTGCCTCATACTTTAATAGCTCTTGAAAAAATATTTAAAAAATCCACGCCTGAAGCTTTGATAGTCCTTGAAAAATATGTTTAAAAAATCAAAGCCTCACACTTTGATAGTTCTTGAAAAATATATTTTAAAAATCCACGCCTCATACTTTGATAATTCTTGAAAAAAATTTAAAAATCCACACCTCATACTTTGATAGTTCTTGAAAAATGTTTAAAAAAAAATACATGACTGAAACTTTAGTCCTAGAAAAAAAAACGTTAAAAATCCACGCCTGAAGGTTTGAAAATAAAATGTTTTTTTGTTGAATATAAAACGTTCAAATGTTGAATATAAAATCTTTAAAAATGTTGAAAATAAAATGTTTAAAAATGCACGCCTTATGCTATAAAAAATTATTAAAAAATCCACGCCTCATGCTTTGATAGCGCTTGAAAAAATCCACACCTATCCATGAAATAGTTCTTGCAGAAATTTGTTAAAAAATAACAAATAATTCAAATATAATTCTAGCGGTTTTTCTGTTCTATATTAAAATAAAAAACGCGGGTTCATTTTAAAATATCAAAGTTCCCAAATTAAACTATATAATACCAAAAAATCTATTCTGTTCAAGCCATACATACCTTATAATCTAAATGTTTCATAGTTGGAAAACCAGGAAAGAAAACATGTCTTGCTGCATTTGGTAATTCAACACAAACCGTCGTGTCCGTGGCCACCATAATATCCTTAGACCAAAAAGGCTTTTCAGTGCAATAGACATTATACAATGGCTTTAGAGAATAGATTCCTGGAACTTGACCCTGAGAATCTGGTGTATAATCATATTGTAACATTGGGCCATGTTGATTACGTTTTCGTTCACTGGCTGTCAATTGTTGGTCACAAATTTCCATGGCTTGTAAAAGGCGTTTCTGTGGGAGGGGGAAAACAATTTAATTTAATTTAAAATTTTTAGTTATAACTTTCTTGTTTTTGTTGTTTAATATACCTCATCAATAAATGGTATTAGTACCACCGCCTCCCATTCATTTATTTTACCATTGAGATCAGTTTTAAAATCTTCGGGATAAAATTCAATTAGTTCACTAGATGGATTTGTCATTAAGTCCCTATAGGCTGAGGGTAATAATTGTTTACTAGCTGCCGGCAAAACTGCCAATAACTAAAATCAGGAAAATGAAATCTACATTATTTTGTTATCGTTATGGTAGATTATTATTCAAACTAACCTGTTGAAATGGCAAAAATGGTTTGCCTAAATCAAATTTAATTTCATGATCTTTGAAATTCTTTAAATCACTTATAAATGGTGCATAATGATGGGGATAATACCATCCCCATGAACGCACGCCACGATAATAATAATCCAATATCCATTGCAATGCAGTTATATAACAAATGGCCTGCTCTTTTTTGTATTCACTAAAAGTGTTAGGGATATTTGTTTAAAAAATTGGTTACATTGATGAAGATTGAAGAATTGTACTCACCTATCGGAATTTTCTTGATTCAATTTATTCATATAATAATTACGTTTATAATTTTCAAATTCATCATTTATATGTTGACCATCATCATCCGACAAATCTTCGTCATCGTCCATAAACTAAAAATATGGTAATGTTTAATTATAGAACAGAAAAACAAGAAATGCCTGAAGAAGTAATTACCTGTTTGCTGCTTTCAATTAAGGCTGCCAAATCGTCATCTAATTTTTCATTATTTATTTCACTGACATCGAAATCAAAGGCTTCATCAATACCATTCTGCAAAAAATAAATAAAATATAACATTCAAAACCGTTTATAACGACAGAATTTTTAATCACATATCAGTTATAAAGACTGTATCCAAATATCGTTATAGGGACCAATATCGATGGATCCCTGACCTTCGTTTTTTTTTTTTTGAAGCGCTATCGACTCCCACATAATTTTCATTTAATCTTCCATATAACAAGGCCTCATCCATATAGAGATATCTTTTATTCGTCATCCATATTAAATGATAATCTTATCTATATAAAGACACATCCATACTTCTCTCTTTCAATAAGACTTTCTTGTCTTCTATATATAAAGGTCTTTAAGTCTCCTAGATTTTAAGACTTTCTGATCTCTTATATGGAAGACCAGAAAGTATTCTAATCCAGCAGACAGGAAAATCTTCATATAGCCATTGTGTTCTTGTGTATGTATATAAAAAATCTTCTTATCATCTATATAATCTTCGTATCATCTATATAAGCAAAAGCATAGTACCTTTGATTGTTTTGCTTCAAAATATTTCAAGTCGGCATAGTTTTCTTGGAAATTTTCAAATTCCACTTCTGATAAAACCTCAAAATATTTCTCCAAACGTTCCAAGTTTAGTTTGCCATTTTCATTTATGTTTCCTAAGAAAAAATATATAATTATAATTAAACATTTCTTTATAACATCAAAAAATACCCCTCTCCAACTTACCACCTAAACTGGGATAAACTTTTTTATATGTATTGTAGAGCAATGGCAAGGCATTCGATGATATATTAAGACATGGCAGATGTGGTATGAAATCATTGCCCACCAAAAAACCCATAAGTACCCAATCATCAATTAGTTTAGCAATATCAAAATCTGGATATTGCTTCAATTCGTCAAATTCCAATTCCAAATATTCTCGCAACAGTCCCAAGTGTAGCAAAAAGAAACGTGTCTCTTCTACCGAAGCCTTTTTATTCTTTTTGCCAAATTTAACTTCTTCGCGTAGCACCACAAAATGTAATTCATGTGTACATAATCCCAAAATAATTAAATCGGCATCCAGACCATATAAACAATGACGGGTATTTGGATCGAAATCATTTTGTGATTTCAAATAACGTATATAATCCATAATTTTGTGTTCTCCTTCACCGGGTGCCTAAGAGAATACAAAAAAAAAAAAAAAAAAAAAAAATTAGCGTTTTTTATAAAATTAATAAATCCTATTCAAGCACATACATTATGACCACTCAGTATGACGCGGCATTTTTGCCACAAAGGATCAGCACTGATTTTACTCTTTATAAAATAACGCAATGCTTCATGCAAACGATCCATGAACTCCGTACCGGGTGTAATACAATTGCTATCGAATCTTTCATGTTCTCGCACCTCACCACGACTGGCTGCCAACTTTTCCAATGTCTCCGCCTCCTTGGCCGAACGAAAACGTCGGCTACGCTGTTGATTCATTTTGGCACGTGGTGCAACACCATCGATGGCCATAAAGAACAGTTTTTGTGGCTTAATAAGAAAGAACAGCTTATCGATATAATTGAAAATATCCTTAAACATTTCCTCTTCGGTGATATTGAAGTGGATATTTGTATCATCCGGATGTGAGCAATTATGTATAATTCCATTCATGTCCAAGTATAAATTATCGAAATCGGGAACCTATACCAATCAAAAAAAAAAAAAAAAAACATTTTAATAACAAGTGGTTGTTGGTGGTGGTTCGGAACTTACACATTGTTCGCGGGCCAATTCGCTAAGGCAAGGATACCTTTCACTAATGTATCGAAAAAATTTCGGTACTCCCATTATGCTTGCTGTTGTTGTTGTTTCTACTACTGTCCAGTTAATAAAAAACTTGGCCAAAATAAATTACTTGTGCAAAACCGTGCAAGTCGGGTCAACTTGAAATGACTGTCGCCAATGTAAATGTTTATTGTTCTGAAAAAAAATTAAAGAAATGTTTGTTGCCAAATTAATACACATTTTTTATTATTTTTGTTGTAGTGCCATCAGGCTTCCCCGCTGCCGATCGTCTTTTTATTTTTTCTTCTTCGGACAAATCAACAAATGTCTTTGTTACAAAAGTACTTTCACTTTTTCCCAACATCTTTTATAATATTCCACTTACTAATGAAAGGCAAAAATACTTGATCGTATTATTTGTATTTTTTTATCTAAATAAATAATATTTTTTCGTAAAATACCTATTTACAAGAGAATATTGCAATGTATTTGCAATGTTTCCCTCTATGCAATAGGGATACGTAGATCGATATACGACAAATAAGTTATATTAACATCTATTATGGTCAGTGTTGCCGCTTCGCACATATCCGACCAAATTTAGCCGCAAGAACAAATTTTTAAACTATTGGTTTCAATATATTGTGAAATTATGGGTGTAGGCTTTCAAGTGTTTCCTGATTTAGATTAGGCGAGTTTACTTGCGGCAAGTCTTTGTTTGTAGGGGAATAGAAATGAAAAAAAATTGCTCGTACCGACAATTTTCTGGCAATTCGTTTTGTGTATTTCGTATTTGTTGACGTTTTATATATATGTATTTAAATGTGAAAAAACAACAAATAGAAACATATTTTGGAAACCGAATTGCCTTGTATAGACGCATGAAACAAGTTCAAAAGAGAACGACAAGATTTGCAGCAAGTAAACTCGCCTAATCTAAATCAAGACTATTCGTCATATTTTTTACTATTTTGTCTTTAATTTTTACTTTTTAAAATTTTACATTCTTACAGGTTCTGGAAAAGACTAATTACTATCAAAGGTGTAGTTCATTCTTTTCGAGATATGGGCCTCTAAAGTTTCGAAATTCATAACTCATAACATCGTAATGACATTAATGTCGTTTTTTAATTTAATCACCGGCCTTCGGACTTTCTCCTATTTATAGGTGGACAAATTTGCCTATCGATTAAAATTCCATTTCATATTTCAAAATTTCTTAACTAGCCGGCCAACGGCCGTGTCTTAAAGTTTTTCCTCTGTGAAAAGGTTAGAAAAATGTGCTACGCGATCCAAAATTAATTTAATTTAAATTGCTATTAGTATTACCGTAACAGCTCATAAATGACGAAGTTATTATATGTCTGGAAGTATGACCTTTCCTAATGAGAATTACATTAGGTTGGGGAAAAAGAAATCCATTATTTTAATATGAACTGTAGGACTTTATTTAACATGCTTCGGAATGCCCGATTTGGGACAAATATGCACCCTTTTTTGTATGATTTATTGTAATTTTAAAGATAACTTCATAATGCCTCTCTCATAGAAGTCCTGCTCTCTATTTGGAAAAAAACTCTAGTAGTCGATTAAAGAAGTTTTGCAATGCAAGAAAATTATGATAGTCGCTTGGTACCAAGTCCGGACTGTATGGCGGATGCATTAAAACTTCCCAACCAAGCTCCCGAAATCTCCTTCTGGCGACTCGTTGTAGATGTGTGGTGCCTAGCGTTGTCTTGATAGAACGGTCAGTTCAATTCTGACGGTTTCTGGTCAATTGCTATATTCAGACGGTCCAGTTGTTGACAGTAGAGATCAGAATTTAGCGTTTGGCCATATGAAAGCAAGTCCTTCCAGTCCCACCAAATGCATAGCAGAACATTCCTGACCGTTAGTCCTGCTTTGGCCATCATTTGAGGTGTTAGTTTCCGCACAGGGTTATCGTATTTGATTCATTTATTATCTCCAGTCACCATCCGTTTAAGAAATGGTTCTATCACATTCCGTTTGGCCAAGGCTTCGCAGATGGAAATTCGATCCCTGCTATTTTTTCCTGTTAATTGGTGTGGCATCCAAACATCGATCTTCTATTTGAATCCAGCTTTGTGTAAAAAATTTAAAACAGTTTTATGGTTGATTTTTAGCTACTGGGCGATATTACGACTGCCAACATGCCGGTCAACTTCGATCATTTCTCCGATTTCATCAACTTTTTTGAGGACAAAAATAATGGATTTCTTTTTCCCCAACCTAATATATTTTCGACAAATCCGAGATGTAGCCCAGGTTTTTACTATTTTTTTTCGATATCATAAAGAAAGAATTGTTACATAGTAAAAATTTTACTTTCTTGCAGAATCTGGAATGGATATATAATTGTGTCTACAACATTTGAGTAGACCGTAAGAAATATATAACGTTGTAATGAGGGACACACTACTTGTGTAAATGTTTGGACAAGATCCACACATATATAAAGAATTCCCTTTCTTTGGCTATAAATACTCCCTTCTGTCAATAAAGAATTCCTTTCCGTTCGCTTATAATAAATTACTTCCCTTCTCCTATAAATATTTCCTTCTACTCGTCTATAAAGACACCCTTCGTTAATCTAAAAAACTTCCGTTTTTCTATAAAGACATCATTCGTCCATCTAGAAAGGCTCACTTTTGTTCGTGAATAAAAACTCCATTCTTACAAGAATGATCTGTTATACTGACTTTCGTTTGTCAAAAGACTCCCTACCATTCGTATATAGACTCACTTTCGGTCATCTATAAAAACTCCCTTCCGGTTGTATATTGACTCCCTCCCGGTCGTCTATAGAGACTCCCTTTCATTCGTCTACAAAGAATCCCTTCAATTTGTCTATAAAGCCACCCCCTTCTGATAGCCGATACAGACTCTCTGAAAGAAAATTTCCAAAAAGTTGTTTTTTCTTATTAATTTTCTTTATTAAACATATATATATTTGAACATCTAATAGTTCGCCTCAGACAGTTCACATAATCTTGCCAGAAGACTAGTTAATTGTAAGAGGGAATTGAGACCATCTACTACCTTCATGTGTGTTACACCAATTTCTCGTATAAAATTTAATTTCATATGTTCATCAACATTTAGCCGTTTACATACACGAAATATATTACCAATAATATCCTCGGCCGCATAACCAAAACGCCATAATTTGGCTAATATCTTATAGGCTTTGTGTATATCATTTTGAGCACAATGCTGCAACATATCTTGTATTAGCATGGGATGTGGTTCATCGCAAACCTTAAAGACGTTAGGTCCAGTGATTTTACCAAAACCCTGTGCCGTTGATTGTAGATTATTCAATGCTTGACGCATATCACCCTGTGCCGTGAATACAATAGCCTCCAACCCCTCTTCGTCGTATTGTAAATTTTCACGTTGACATACTTCGATGAGTTTGGCCAAAATTTGAGCATCAGACAGTTTGGTGAAACGCAGCATGGCACAACGTGACTGGATGGGTTCGATAATTTTCTCACTTGTATTACAGGCCAAAGCAAAACGTGTGGTATTACTGTAAATTTCCATGGTACGTCTAAGGGCCTGTTGGGCACCTTCAGTCATACTGTCTGCCTCATCCAATATAATGATCTTATGGCGTCCGCGTGGTAGCGTTACCTTTTGTTGGGCAAACATTTTGATTTTGTTACGTACCACATCGATGCCACGCTCATTGGAGGCATTTAACTCCAGGACAGCTTCTTTATAGCTGTCACCCAATAGAATGCGAGCCAAACATTGTATGGTTGTGGTTTTACCCACACCAGGTGGTCCCTAGAAATATGAAATATTTATTGTGAATGTTTTTGTGATTGGATTTGTTTTTTTCTTTTTTAACTTACAGCAATTATAATATTTGGAGCATTTCCTTGTGTGGCAAATACGGATAGTCTAGCAACGGTGTCTTCATTGCCGACGATTTCATCAAACTTCACAGGCCGGTATTTCTCAATCCTTTAAAGTTAGATAGAAAACAATTAAGCAAATGTTTTTGTTTGTGTTATTGCTACTTACCATGGAAGATTGCGTTTTTTAATTTCCTCGGCAGTTAGTTCCACACTTTCCGGCATTTTTGGGTTCTAACAAAACAAATTGCAATTAGGAAGCTGTTTCTGCAAAAAAAGTTTTGTTGTTTGTAGCGCCAAAAAGGCTTGATAGTGTTGCCACGAGGCAAAATAGAAACAAATGATGCCACTCTACTGTCACACACATGCAGAACAGCTGTTAGCTTTTGCTGTCAATTAATGTTAATGCTGATAATCAATAGAAAAATATGATTGATTAATAAGTTTTTAATTTATTTTATTTAATTTTCCTTGTTTATTTATTCTTCTTTATTAATTAATATTCATTGTCATTCAATTGTAGTGTGGCAATTCTACCCCTCAAATCAGAGTTGTATTTTTTTCGCAATACCATCACTACGTTGATGTACAACCCCCCCACAAACTGTCAGTGTTCAATCGTGTGGCAACGGAATCCGACGTGTGTGTGCGGTTAAGTTTTGTGTGTGAAGATTAGAAAGAAAATTGCATAAACCCAAAATCAAATCAACAAACTACCATGGCTGCAAGATTAATTCAAAAGATTGTAAGATTCTTAACCAACAATTTAAAAAAATGCATGTTTTGTTCAAAATAAAACATGTTACAGAACATACATTTCCCCGATAAAAGTTAACAATAATTTCTTCTGTTTGTTTGTGTGTGTGTAACGTATATCCTATCCAACATCATTTTTGTACTTTTCGCTTTAATTTTAGTTAAAAAGTATTGGAATTAATGTTTCCCGGGACACAAATGCATTGCCCTCCTCGAGTGGTATAAAGGTATTAACAGGAGACTTGTCTCCCAAATTCCAATTGGAAAAAAAAACATAAGGCAAACGCAAGAAGTGTCTTGCCAAATTATTTGCCAAAGGCGAAGAGACGACTTCTTGCGGTGGCTGTCAACATTTTTTACATAACACTTTGATATGGGGTAGGAGAAAAAAAAATAGCAAATATGTTTCAAATCAAAGATGATTTTAGTGTTTTAGTTTAAAAATCTAATTCTTATTCAATTCAAATGTTTTCTTTATTTGTTTTTTTGAAATAGTTATCAAATTTTTAATTTCAATATTGCCTCTGTTAAGAAAAATTTCTTAACCTCAACTTCTTTAGTTAGAATAAAAAAAAGGAAGTGGTATTTTGGGTTTCATCTTTTTTTTTCACAATTTCGAATCATAATGAAATTTCTCGAAAGGCTTTTCTTGATATTCGAATTTCATTTATATTTTAGAATATTTTTTATTACTTTTAGTCGTTTCTTTTTAGATCGTTTCTCTTATGTAATTTTTTGTCTTCTCATATTTGCATTTAATTAAAGGCAGCAACCAATTGATGGATATTATCCACACAAAGTGTCTGTTTGTTGTGTTATTTATGCATGTAAAACAATGTGCTATCATTGTCAATTGTTATTGTGCTATTGTAATTATTTCAATTAAGTAATATAATTTACGCTTCTGCTGTTCTCGATAAAAGCCGGTATAGTGCATTTAACCCTCATGTGGGTAATGGGGGCGTAGTGTAATAGTTGTAATAGTAATTTTGAACACTTTTTTTAAGAAACAGCTGTTTTGATATTTAATTTTTTTCATTTGATTAGCCGGTTGGTTTTGAAAATATATGCGTACAAAAATTATATTTTTCAAGAAAACTAATTGAAACGAGTCGAAGCATGATCGTTTTTGAGAGCCGTATACAATTGTGTATGAAACCTGAACTCGGGGTTTACACATTCAACTTTTTTAAACAACTTTGCTGCTGTTCTTTAGGATTTCCTCCCCGCGTTGTCAATTTTCTTACCTCTCTGTCCAGTGATTTTACCAAAATCCTGTGCCGTTGATTGTAGATTATTCAATGCTTAACGCATATCACCTTGTGCCGTGAATACAATAGCCTCCAAACCTTCTTCGTCGTATTGTAAATTTTCCAGTTTTCATACTTCAATGAGTTTGGCCAAAATTTGAGCATCGGACAGTTTGGTGGAATGTAACATGGCACAACGTGACTGCTGCTCTTTGCGATCTTTCCCCCCTTGTCACTTTGTTTACCTCTCTGTCCTAAGCTGAGTTGTATGCGTAAACCCTGAGTAAATGAAAAAAGTTTGTCTAGGATAAACCGTGTTCAAAATTCTGTGTCGTTCATAATTTTCCATAGCACTCTTCGATTTCAAGAAACTAGGTGTGCAGCGCACTCAACGAAAAAGGAGCGTGGCTGTCCTACACTCTGGATACACTAATTCTCAGTTTTTGCCAAATAATTCCTAGTCCAGAACGAGTGAACTTTTTCACCTGGAACAAGGATTCAGGTGCGATATGATTAACTCAAAAATTGATAGCATTTTGACAGCTCGGGTGAAATCATCTGGATTTATCGTTCGACCTTATAACTGGGCAAAAAACTGTTTTAAGTCTAATTTTGCAGCGTTCTTTAAGTCGAATTTCTAGCAAAAATTAAGGCAGCCGAATTAGTCAGAAAACTATATGGGTTAGTGTCTTGGTAGCGGTGAATATATGAGTCGTTTATTTTGAAAATGGTTTAAGTCCATTTTAGGTTCTGATACACAAAACATATTACGTTATATATTCTTACTTGATAAAGGGTACAAAGCCACAAACAAAATTAATACCACTTAACAATGTTGGAAATAAATTAAACACAAACCCATAAATACCTCAATAAAAAAGTGGATTTAACCAAATTAAAAATAAGCGACCCTCAAGCGGCCTTTAAGGCAATCAAGTGGAAGACTATAATTTCGAGATTAGTTCGTGACTGCAATGTAGCTCTTTGCGATATACGCCGCGTTCGGTTATACGGGTTCCAGCGACTTTATAAGGAATGAAATAGTTAATGAGCTTTCTAGAAGTGATTTACATTTAATTGATATTGGTTTTAGCTACTGCATTGGTAGAATCCGTAAGATCTACTTCAAGAAAGCTGGAACTAGGCCCTTTATGCTCAGAAGCTAATATATGAAAACAATTGAATAAATGAAAATATATCTAGCCTATAATTTCTAGGCTGAGGCCTCAATAATTGACTTCTTTCGGTAAGAAAGAGATGTAGTTTACAGTTGGAATTATGAAAGGTTACTGCCGAATTTGATGTCTCACTTCACTAGGTCTTGGCTAATCTGCGCACCACTACTCTGTGTCCAATAAACATGGACTATTTGGTAGATACGAGATTGACACTCTGGCCTGTTCTCCGAGTATTAGCACCTATCATGAGTTATGATATGTGCTAATACCTTAGAACACACGCCCAATTTGAAAAAATATTCCTAAAAAAATCTTTATTTGAAGCCTGGAGAGTCCCGTACACATCGTCAAGCCTGTTGCCGATTTTTTTTGCTGGCACATTTATTTTCATTTTGAATCATCAAATATTTAAAGCTTAATTTATCCATAATTCAATATGGATTCCAAGTTGTTTAGATTTTTAAAAATATTAAAACGTGATATTTTTTTATTTTTAGGTTAGCACAACCCCTGCCTGTGGCCGTTCCTATTCATCGGGTGTACGCAAAGTCACTTTGATTCCTGGTGATGGTATTGGACCTGAAATTTCTGCTGCTGTGCAAAAGATTTTCACCGCTGCCAATGTACCCATTGAATGGGAAGCCGTTGATGTGACTCCCGTCAGGGTAAGGCAACCGTTTTTTTATTGCAAAAAAAAGCTTTATAACCCCTTGGTTTTTGTTATAGGGTCCCGATGGCATGTTCGGTATTCCTCAAGCTGCCATTGATTCCGTGAACACAAACAAAATCGGTTTGAAGGGCCCCTTGATGACACCCGTTGGCAAGGGTCATCGCTCTTTGAATTTGGCCTTGCGTAAAGAATTCAATTTGTACGCCAATGTCCGGCCTTGCAGAAGTTTGGAGGGTTACAAGACATTGTACGATAATGTCGATGTTGTTACCATTCGTGAGAACACTGAAGGTGAATACTCTGGCATTGAACACGAAATTGTTGATGGTGTTGTCCAAAGTATTAAATTGATTACCGAGGAGGCCTCAAAGCGTGTTGCCGAATATGCCTTCCAATATGCAAAGAATAACAACAGGAAGAAGGTTACCGTTGTCCACAAGGCCAACATTATGTAAGTTGAGATCTTGGTAATATTTTTAAAACCCCTAAAACGAATGTTTTTTTTTGTTAATGTTTCCCTTAGGCGTATGTCTGATGGTTTGTTCTTGCGCTGTGTTCGTGACATGGCCAATAACTATCCCGAAATTCAATTCGAAGAAAAGTATTTGGATACCGTTTGCTTGAACATGGTACAAGATCCCAACAAATATGATGTTTTGGTAAGTTGATAATTGGCAAATTTTAAATAGAAAAAAATTAATTTTATATTTTTTACTTTTAGGTCATGCCTAACTTGTATGGTGACATTTTGTCTGATATGTGTGCCGGTTTGGTTGGTGGTCTTGGTTTGACTCCCTCTGGCAACATGGGTCTTAACGGTGCCCTCTTCGAATCCGTAAGTACTCAACGATCTAGGGGTGTAGATGTATAACTTTTAATTCTATCTTTACTTTTGCTTGCAGGTTCACGGTACTGCCCCCGATATTGCTGGCAAGGATTTGGCCAACCCCACTGCCTTGTTGTTGTCTGCTGTTATGATGTTGAGACACATGGAACTTAACTCCCATGCCGATAAAATCGAACAAGCCTGTTTCGCCGTCATCAAGGAGGGCAAATATTTGACTGGTGATTTGGGCGGCAAGGCCAAGTGCTCTGAATTCACAAATGAAATTTGCTCCAAACTGTAAATATTTCCTATATTTCGGCAGCAACAGAAAAAATAGCATCGCCACAAACTCATATTTGTTCTAAGCCAAATAAATAATTGCATCGTTCAAAACAAACAAACCAACAACAATAATAACAAAAAACCACGTTCTCAAAATACAGAAAAAAGAAGAAGCTCTTTAAACACGGATAGTATTGTATGTTCGAATACCTACTTAATGCAATTAAATGCAAAATTTTATTATTTTTATTTAATTTTTTCGATTAGTTAGAGAAAAAGAAAACCCAACTTCTGCCCTCCTAATTTGCCGTATTATTTTATAATTTGTAATTTATATTACGTTTATTGATTATTTTGTTTTTGTCCAAAAAAAAAAGAAAAGAGAAAAAAGAATTGTATTGTTATATAAATATTTAATTAAAATTAAAAACCCAAACCAAATTTTATTTTCATTTGTAATTATATGCTTTTTCCTCCCACCTATTCTTTAAACAAGAAGAAACAGCAACAACAACAACACAAATGTAATGTAATGTATTTGCTGCGCGCATATATATGTTGATATAAAGAACAGGAAAACAAACTTCACATTTGTCATCAATATATAAAAAAACGCAAAACAATTGTTGAGATAAATATATAAATAAAAAATTAAAAAAACAATATTTAAAAGAATATTTGTAAAATTCTTTTTATTTGGGTAATGAGGAGATTTTTTTTTAAGGAGCATACAGATGGAATTGATTCCATAAAGAAATATGTCAAAAAACCACGCCTCATGCTTTGGTTGGACCCGTTTTTTTCAATATTTATAGGAAAACAAATTTGGTCCATTTTTTCTATAGGAAATAGTCGTTGGACTTATTTTTTCTATAGGAAAAAAATTCGTTGGACCATTTTTTCTGTAGGAAAAAATTCGTTGGAGAAATTTTTTCTATATCGTTGGACCAATTTTTTCTATAGAAGGAATTGATATCGCCTCATGCTCGGATAGTCCATGAAAAAATATGTTGGGAATATCAACGCCTGAAGCTTGGATAGTTCTTTAAAAAATATGTTGGAAATATCAACGCCTGAAGCTTGGATAGTTCTTAAAAAAATATGTTGGAAATATCAACGCCTGAAGCTTGGAAAGTTCTTGAAAAAATATGTTGGAAATATCCACGCCTCATGCTCGGATAGCCCTTGAAAAAATATGTTGGAAATATCCACGCCTCATGCTCGGATAGCCCTTGAAAAAATATGTTGGAAATATCCACGCCTCATGCTCGGATAGTCCTTGAAAAAATATGTTTAAAAAATCGACGCCTGAAGCTTTGTCCTTGAAAAATGTGTTTAAAAAATCCACTCCTGAAGCTTTGATAGTCCTTGAATAAATATGTATAAAAAAATTCACGCCTGAAACTTTGATAGTCCTTGAAAAAATATGTTTAAAAAATTCACGCCTGACGCTTTGATAGTCCTTGAATAAATATGTATAAAAAATGCACGCCTGAAGCTTTGATAGTCCTTGAAAAAATATGTTTAAAAAATTCAGGCCTGAAGCTTTGATAGTCCTTGAAAAAATATGTTTAAAAAATCTACGTCTCATGCTCTGATGGTCCTTGAGAAAATATGTTTAAAAAATCCACGCCTGAAACTTTGATAGTTGAAAAAATGAAAAAATATGTTTAAAAAACCTACACCTGAAGCTTTGATGGTCCTTAAAAAAATATGTTTAAAAAACCTACACCTGAAGCTTTGATGGTCCTTGAAAAAATATGTTTAAAAAATCTACGCCTGAAGCTTTGATAGTCCTTAAAAATTCGTTTAAAAAGTCCACGCCTCGTGCTTTGATCGTCCCTGAAAAAATATGTTTAAAAAATCCACACCTGAAGCATTGATAGTCCTTGAAAAAAATATGATTAAATAAAAATAATTTCAGTTTTAAATTCTTTTATTATTTTCTTTATATATATAGACTTATATGTGTATACATACTACATTTATATATATATATATAATATTTTTTTTATATTATTTATAGCGTTTATTTAAATAAACATAATATATCAAAGTTTTGTAAATTAATATAATTATAGTTACAGTGAAAAATTGCACAGAGAACTAGGAGGGACGGTAAAATGGAAATTTCCGAATTTCAAATTGTCATGCTGAAAGCTATGGTTTTTATTACACAATCATATTGAATTCTTATTTCCCTTTCTACCACCATCCATCCTTGCTCTGTGTATGTGTGAGTGTGTGTTTTTTCAATCATTCGTTATTTGATTGTTACAAAATAATAAAAAAATAAATTTCTATTAAGGCTTCGAAATTCTTAACGTGTGTGCTCTTTAGTTTTTTTTTTGTTTTTATATATATTACACTAATTATTGAAATATTATATTTGTATGTATGATTCTTTATAGTATTGTTTTGTCTAGAATTTAGTTTTATGTTTTAAGTCTATTTTTTTAATTACAATAAAAAAGCAAATCTAATAATCATAGTTTTTAGTAATTGTAATACATTTTTAATGTAAAATAATAAAAAACTTCACAATTTTTTTGTAATATCTAATGGAACTAAAATAAAAAAAAAATCTACATAGTTGAAATAACCCGATTCTTTTTTTAGGTTAGTTACGTTTTTTATGTTTTTTATATATTTTTTTAACTATGCAAAATAAAATCTAATCATATTAAAAATAGTACTACGTTCTTATGAATCGTTAAGAGTTAATATTACATTGAACATTTACAGCTTAAAAAGTATATTTATTGTTGTTTTCTTTTTTTTTTTTTGTATTTAAAATATACAAATTGTTGTAGTTGTTTTTTAGAAGAAATATTAATCAGCACAGTTTAAAACAAATATCATAAATATTACGATAATGTTTTTTGTCTCAAAAGGCAAAGAACCTACAACATATTTTGTTGGTATTGTAGTTTTTGCATGATTTATATAACATTTACGAATTCGAATATAGTTTAGGTCAGAGAGTTTTTTTATTTGCAGCAAAAATCGTAAGAAATGAGAACACATTAACACGGTCGGAATATCCTCATAAAAATTCTATTATCTAGGAAAACAATTGTCTCGAAAAAACAAGATTATTAGGTCCTTAATGATCCTATAAGTATATATCCTGATCGGTTTATCTGTTTTCGGGCAACAGTGGGTTCCTTGTGCTCCATCATTGTCGTTGAGGTGTTATGAAAACATTTGAAATGAGCATTGGAGTTTTGACAAGACGTACTTGGAGGCTATTTTAACCTCAATCCCACTACTAACGTTGAAAATAATTGAAACCAATACAAAGAGGACCACACTTTCCAAATTTTACGACAAGAGACCTAATTCTTTTCCAAGGGTCTATTTTTCTATAGAACACAAATTTTTGGACCACAGGACCAATAGAAAAAAACTATATTTGATTGAGATCCTTAGATTCATTTTTTTTAATCCTTAGAAAAAATTGAGTTTGGTCGATACATCGCAAAGGTCCAATTTTATTTTTAAGAAGAAAAAATTGTTTGTCCAATAATTTTTTGAATAGAAAAAAAAATTGTGAAAAAAACGTTGGCACATTTTTTCTATCGTTGGTCCGTTATTGATTGATTAATTATTAGGTCCAATTTTTTTCATTTTTTCTAATAATTTAAAATTTTTGTCGGTTAAAATTTTTCTAGAAAAAATTTTCGTCGAATTATTGGTCTATGTTTTCTAAATGTTTTTATCAATTTTTTTCTATAGGAAAACTTCGTTAGTCCAATTTTTTTCTATAGGGAAAATTGTTGCACCAATTTTTTTTTTTTTTTATAAAAAAATTGTTTTTTAGAAAAAAAAATGCAAATGTTTTCCTATAGAAAAAAAAATTCAAAAAATTTTTTTTATAGAAAAAATTGTTTTTCTATAGAAAAAAGTAGATTTTTTACTGAAAAAATAAATTTTCTATAGAAAAAAGTAGATTTTCTATAGAAAAAAGTTGATTTTCTATAGAAAAAAGTTGATTTTCTATAAAAAATGTAGATATTCTATAGCAAAAAAGTAGAATTTCTAAAAGAGAAAACTAGATTTTCTATAGAAAAAAGTAGATTATCTATAAAAAAGTAGATTTTCTATAAAAAAGCAGATTTTCTATAGAAGAACATTTTTAAACCCATTTTTTTCCATCCGAAAAAAATTTTTGAACCCACTTTTTACAATAGGAACAAATTTGCTGGACCCATTTTTTTCTATAGGAAACAATTTGTTAGGTCCATTTTTTGTGTAGGGAAACAATTTGAGGAACCCACTTTTTTCTATAGGAAAACATTTGTTGGTCCAATTTTTTTTCTATTGAAAAAAATTTGTTGAACCATTTTTTTTAAAAAAAAATTGGACAAAAAATTCTATAGGAAAAAAATCGTTGGTCCAGTTTATTTCTATAGAAAAAAATCTGGTGGCCCATTTTTTTTGTATTGTAAAAAAAAATTAGTTGGACCCGTTGTCTATAGGAAACAATTTGTAGGCCCAATTTTTTTGTACAGAAAAAATCATTGGACCCATTTTTTTCTATAGTAAAAAATTTGTTGTTCCCATTTTTTCTATAGTAAAAAATTTGTTGGACCCACTTTTTCTATAGGAAAAAATTCGCTGGTCCCACATTTTTTCCATAGGAAATAATTCCTAGGACCCACTTATTTTTATAGCAACACTTCGTTGGACCCACTTTTTTCTACAGGAAAAATTCGTTGGTCCCTTTTTTACAATACTTTTGATTGACTTATGGATACAAACCACAATGTTTAATTAATAAAACAATAATTTCCATCTCTAACATTAGCCCATTTATAAATAGATGTTATGTGTTTTCAAAATCCAACCTAAACTATAAATCGAATTCGCACATAGACTTATATAAGATTCTCCTTGCCTAAACTTTGTTATATACACAAGAAAAAATATATATGATCAAAATCTGCAAATTGTACAATGACAATTTCTGCTTTGCGAAGAATAATCTATAATAGATTACAGAATGTCATCTCCTTCTCCTCTTATTATTGTATTCTCAATACCTCTTGCTTGCTTTTCTAAATTATTAACATTTTTAGTCATTGAAAATACGTGATTCACCTGCCAGGGCT